TTTTATAGGGATATTATGTATTTCTTTTAACACTGTGTCGTGAATTGCTAGAAGTTCACATTTTTTTAGATTTAGGTTCAGACCTGAGGCCTCAGAGAAGAGTTGAATCTTTTGGATGGCTATAGAAATTTGTTTAGAATCCTTTAAAAAAAGCGTGGTGTCATCTGCAAGTTGACTTATAATTAGATCAGTGCCTAGAACATTTAATTTTGCAATGTTATCACAGTTTTTTAAGTACAATGCCAACATTTCGGTAACCAGAATGAATAGATATGGTGAGATTGGGCAACCTTGTGGGATTCCAACATTAATATTAAATCTAGGGGTGGTGTTTTTTGGTAGGATGACACAGCTGTTTATGTTGTCATATAGGCCTTTAATTAAGTTGATAAAGTTGGTACCAAAACCCAGGCGTTCTAAGACTGAGAAGATGAACTGATGTTCTACAGAGTCGAAGGCTTTGTAAAAGTCTAAGAAAAGTATGAATCCATTGTCAGTAATCAGATCTTTGTATTCAATTAAGTCCATTACCAATCTAATGTTATTATGGATCGATCTGCCTTTTAGAAAACCGGATTGTGATTCACTGACAATATCTGAAATTCCTGACTGGAGGCGTAAGGTAAATATGTAAGTAAGCAATTTATAGTCCGAATTTCTAAGTGTGATGGGTCGTCTGTTTTCAATATTTCTTGGGTCTTTGCCTGGTTTGGGGATAGATATGATGATGCCTTGTCTCATCGTGGGTGGAAGAGTAGAATTATTAAAGATTTCCGAAAAAACTTCAAAGAGTAAAGGTTTTATGTCCTCCCAGAAGTGACGGTAGAAGTTACCTGTAAGGCCGTCTGGGCCAGGTGCTTTATTAATCGCTAATCTTTTGACTGCCTTATCTAGTTCGCTCATTGTAATTTCCTTTTCACAGGTATTTTGGAAGGAGTCATCTATTTTAGGGATGAAGGAATCAATATGGTTTAGAAAAGCATTAGAATTAGGGGCTGAAAATTTAGAAGTATATAAATTTTGGTAAAAGTTGAAAATTTCTTGTCCTATTAATTTTTCATCCGTGGATTCAACATTATTTATTAGTAAAGAGTTTATAGAATTTCTTTGTTGTCTTCTTTTTTCTAGGTTACAGAAATAAGCAGTGTTTTTCTCACCTTCCTCAATCCATTTGGCTCTCGATCTAATGAAGGCTCCTTTAGTTTTTTGTATGTACATGTTATCCAACTTTATTTGAAGGGTTAGGACATTTTGCTTGTCTATCTCAGATGGATTAGGTTTATTGCAATATAAGTTTAATTTTTGTATAATGTCTAATTCTAAAACCTGAAGTTCGTTTTTAAGTTGCTTACTAAATGAAATGGAAAGTTGTCTGATTTTGTACTTTAAAAATTCCCATTTAGTGGTTGGACTGTTTAAATCTTTTGAGTTTACAATATCTGTAATAAGTGACTTTATTTTTTTACAGTAATGGTCATTTTGGAGAAGGCAAGAGTTAAATTTCCAATATTTGTTTATCCTATAAGTGTTGTTTTTCGGCTTAATTTTAAGTGATATAAGGTAATGGTCCGTTAGTGGGGCAGCAGATATATCAGAGATGAAGTCATATAATAAAAGTAAGTCATTAGTAATAAGCCAATGGTCGATCCTTGATTTATTAGTTGAATTAAACCATGAGAATTTCTGAGTGACTGGGTTAAGGTGTCTCCATATATCCATAAAATTATGTTCAAAACAGAAGTTGGTAAATAATGGATTTGGGTAGCTTATCTCATATTTAGATGGCCATCTATCCAGAAATTCATCCTGAACAAGGTTGAAATCTCCTCCAATAAGGACATTATTGGTGGAATGTTTGGCTTTTATATGGTCTAACCGTAAACCTATTTCTTCCAGCAATATTTTATTTTGAGTTAAGGTATTATATCCATATATATTTACTAGAATAAAAATAGAATTTTCTATGTTTATGGTAAGAATTAACCAACGGCCAACAATATCATTCTCAATAGAAGTAATTTTACCTCGAAAGTTTTTCAACAAGATGGCAACCCCAGCTGACCTTGAAGAGCCATGAGAAAAAAAGGCTTCATCTCCCCATTGCTTAGTCCAAAAGTTGCTGTCTTCATGTGTAGAATGAGTTTCTTGTAAAAAGGTAAACACAGCATTTTTCCCTTTGCAGAATAAGAAAAGGCTTTTCCTTTTAGTGATATCTCTCAACCCTCTTGCATTGATAGAGATTAACGAAAGTTCGCTGTTTATAATAACCATATAATGAACAAAAAAGAACAATATAGGATGAGCTAACCTAAAGCAATAAGAGAACCTAGGTAGCAATCCCCAAAAACTATAATCTGAGTGAACAACATTTATAACATTTGCGGATCTGTATCCTCATACAACTACAACTACATACATATGTAAATAATCATAAGTGGTCTCATTTTCACTTACACATGTTTATGTTAAACTGGCTAGGGTGTAACCCGCTGTCCATTGATGAAGGCATATGGACCTTTAAAGGTGGTTTTCAGCCCTGCTTTTCTCGCTTGTTCCACCCTGGGCCATACCGCAAGACGTGCTTCACGGTCCTCCTTGGTGAGGTCCTCGGCGAATCGGATGTTGAGCTCTCTGCATGTGGGATGTTGTTTAGTAGATCTCCAAAGTTCATCTCTGTAGAAACGGCTGGTGAATTGTATGATGACTTGTCTTGGGTGATCAGGGTTTTTGGGGCCGATACGGTGAACAGAATCCAGAATGAAGTTAACCTTCTCCTTCCAGCTGGGTTGGATCTTTTTAATGATGTCCGATACACTTTGTCTTGTGTCCTCCTCTTTGTCCTCTTTTAACCCTTTGAGCCGTAGGTTCCATTTTCTTTGGTATCGGTCAAGGTTTGAAGCTTTGTTTTCCAAGTTGTCAACTTTTTTAGTTAACACTTCATTTGTGGTTTTCAGCTGAGTTATTTGCTTTTCCATCTGCTTATTTTTCTCTTTACAGTCTTGAATTTCAGCGCTGTTAAATTCAACCGCTTTGGCAATGTTAGAGATGGAGAGTGTATTTTGTTTGAGGTCAGCGCCAAAGCTTTCCATCATTTTTTGTAGACCTTCAATGGCGGCTAGTAGCGCACTGTTGGATACATTAGAGTCGGTTTCTTCTTCTCCTTTTTGTTTTTTGTGTGATGTTGTGGCTTTGCAGGGTGATGAAAGTGGGTTTTTATTACCTCTTGAGTTGGTGTCCATATTTTCCGAACCAAGGTAGTCGTGAGTTAGCAGGGCTTTGTGAGCTTTGCTGTTAGCTTTAGCCATTTCTTCGTGTTTCACGTATGGCCTCATCCACTCTTGTTTAGCTAATACCAGTACTAGTTGTAGAGGGTAGTTTTATATTCCCGATGAGATTTTTCATTAAACATTAAGTAATAATAGTTCTTAAATTAGACCATTCTTTGAGGTTGCTACCGGAGCTCCTTACAGAACGTCTGCTCCTTCCGCCATCTTGCCTCCCTCTCTCAGCTAACCTGAAGCTAACCCTGGCTAACCCAAAGCTAAAGCGGAGGTGGGAGCCGAGCTAACGGATGTAGCCACCTAGCTTCAACCCAACCGGAGCTAACTGGAACACCCATCGACCTGAACCTTACACGGAGTTTAGGTGGAGGTTTTCTGCGCCTGTTCGTGAGAAGTACCTGTATTAAAAAAGTTTTAAATCGGTAAGTTTATAATTTATTTCCGTAATGAAAACATTTTGCTTTGAGCAAGTTTTCAGTAGTTTTTTTTGGCGCTATCACTCCTGAGTCGCACCAGCCATTAAATGTATCATGAAGAAGAGAAAATATATTTAAGTCGTATTTTGGGGGGACATTTTATTATCTTTCTTACAAAATCTGAGACCAAGCGTTTCACATTGCAACACAAGCACCGGTAACCATAACAGAATTTACAGCCAGCAGAGGAGAGGATGGCGGTGTTTCAAACCCTCCCGGCCGGCGTGTAGAGCTCATTCCTGGGCTGGAGCCGGCCCTCAGCACCCCGCCACAGGCTCTAACAGATGCTGGCGGTGTTTCATATATTTCCAAAACGTAATACTTGTTTGTATCTTGTACAGCCAACTAGCCTTTATTCTGGACTCAGTACAATTTACCAAAAGTAAAGAGACATTATACAGATGAAGTAAGCACAAGATAACTTACTGGAAGACACAGAGTTATCATCAGAACCAGAACAAGAGAGCCTGATAACAGTCATGTGAAAATAACAGTTAAAAAGTATGTATGTATAATAGAAATAAAAATATATTAGAATTAGTGTAACTCACTGTGATCCAAACAAATCAGCCATAGCTGATGAGTAAATATGACATGAGGTCTGGGAGTTTTTAAGTTCATTCTTTTATTACATTTTTTTCTTAGATCTATTAAAAGGTCACCATGGCAGCCTGTGTGTCTCCAACGTCAGCTACACAACGCAGCGTGTAAGTTCCAAGTACTTGTCTTGACCACTTCATGAATGGTTTTGTACTTTAAACAGCTAGGCCAAACCTGTTATTTTTTCCTCCATAGCCATTTGGATCATTGGAGACAGCTGAGTGAGGCGTGGTGCCCAGAGAGCTGCAGAGACAACCTTGGCCTCCCTGACGTCTGTGTCTCTTGGTTTGGTTGGGGCGGACCATCGACATACATACATGTGCCGACACTTTGCGCCCTGTTTTATAAACTGTAGTGTTAAAAATAAATGTTTTTGCTCAATTACTGGAATTTCTTTGGTTAAGACAAAAGTGAGGAATAATCATTTACAAGTTATTTGTACAACAGGCCCATTTTAAATCCCAACAGTTTCTTAGCAGACAATAGAAATGTGTTCTTTACTAACTTTACTTGGTTTGAAAATCTTACTAAAATAAACTTGAGTGCCGTATTGCAAAACCCAATCATACTTGTTATGTAAACATTAGCTTTGTAGATATTTTTTACAGATATATATTTGTGTGCAACAAAAACCAAACTTAAATAATTTGTCATTCTTTATTGAAAAACAACAAAATACAGGTATACAGAAGTGTGGGAAAATGATAATGTGAAAGTATTGCACTATAAATGAAGTGAGATGAGATGAAGGTGGACGCCAGCGGGCTGGACGCCGGACGAAGAAACCTGGAGACGGATCGCTCAGACAGGAAGGGAAGAGCTTCCTCTTACCTTGATGGAATTAAAGTTAGCCGTTGTCTGAACGCCCAACCGTACGGTCTGAGGTCAAAGGTCACAGGAAACACACACCAGTCAGCAGTCATACAGATGCATAAAGATAACTAGCCATGGCAACCAGCTGACATGTCCCCACTTTCACCAAAACCTGGTGCCTGCCGGGTCACCTGAATTCCTGTGTGATGTCAGCACGGTCGGCCGTGACTGCTGCCATCAGAGGTGACCTCTGATCAGCTGAATGAACTCACCTTCCAGGGTGACGCCGTGTTAGAGTCGGCTTCATCCTGTAAACAAACAAATGAGTGGTAACATAAACACCACGTCTGGTTCTGGTGGAGGCGGAGGACAACACGCACCTTTCCAGGAGCAGAACCCAGATGTTCTTGTTGCTACAAACAGAGACGAGCAGAGTTAAACCAGGAAGTGAGAGGGACCAGCTGCTGCAGACAGGTGACGCTCACCTGAGCCTGAACCATAGGAGCCTCCTCAGCCATCAGACCTTCTGACTCCAGTTCAGATGCCACCTTGTTGATGTCCCTCAGGCGGGACTCGTTGGCCTTCAGGTCCTGCAGGACAAAAGCACCTGCTGATCACCTTGTTGCTGTCGGGTTAACAGGTCTGGTGTTAGAACGTGGTGGATAAGAATGTTCTGACGGGCCGAGGGCTCTGAACTCACCCTGCAGGACTGGGCCTGCTCCTTCAGGGCCTGGATGCTGCTGCCGTAAGCCGACAGGTCCGACATCAGGGCCTCGTGCTTCTTCAGGAGAGCCTGTGGAGCAGAACATCAGAACCTTCAGCTCGTCTGACACAAGTGGAGCTTTCTCGCAGCGATGGTCCAATCGGATCCGCCACCGTAAAACAAACCCTGCTCAGTTCACCGCAGACGTAGCTCTGCGGGTGTTTAGTGGAAAAGCGTGAGCCTTCTGCCGGCTGCCACGTGTCATGGCTGCTCTGCAGCGGGAACACACATCACAGCTTGTAAACCGTTTGAAATAAGAGCGACGGGAACACGTTTGTCATCACTTTCTGTGCGAGGCCAGCACTTCTACCCCTAACCCATGAGACGCTTAAACGAGCAACGACGTCTGGTAGACAACCGAAGGAAATGCCAAATACAGAAACACTAATTATGAAGGACTGGAAAGAGAGCAAAGAAAAGCGATTGGAGTTTCTCAGGAAGGGACTTCCATACCTCGGCCAAGTCCTCGTCTTTCCCTTAGTCTGGACTTCCAACGATGGGCTCCTTCTCCCTCATCCAGGACTCGGCCTCATTAGCATCCGCAAAGTACTGCTGGGCCTGCAGAGAGTCCTCCAGGTCCTGCCTCCTCTGGGACGCCTTGGCCTTCAGCGTGTCCCAACGTCCATGAAGCTCCCACAGTTTAGTCTTCACCTCCTCACCAGCGAAGTGACCTGGACCCAAAAAAAGTGAGCCAGAACCTGCAGACACCTCAGAAACATGTCAGGACCAGACCTGCTCTACCTTCTTCCACCATGGTCTCTCCTTTCTGGGTGACAGCCTTGATGCGAGGTTCATGACCTGTGATCTCAGCCTGCAGAGCCTGGTGCTTCTTCAGCAGGTTCTGGACACCAATCAGGTCCTTCCCTGAGGACACATGTTAGAGTTCAGCATTATGCAGTAGACAGACCAGTTTAACCCAGGGGTTTCTTTCTTCTACAATCTGCTCTTTAACTGTATTATTTCCTGCTATTTCAGCTGTTAACTTTATTTTCTCTCTAAGTGTTTTTCTCCCCAGAAGAAGCTACAATGATGTTCTGCTGAGTTGTGGTGGCCTCATAGAGGGGGCCATCGGCTAGCACACTGCTGCTAACCACTTAAACATTCTCCCTCTCCTGATAATAACATTTTACTTTCTTTGATGTTGGATGTGCTACTACTAGTTTACCCGTTTAATTATAGATTCACTAGGATAAATACAATAAAGTTTATCTCTTGCCAAATAGAATATTTACTGTGGCGAGCCCGTGAAGAGGTGTAGGAGAATGCGACAAATTTGTCTGTTAAAAAGTCTGTTATGTACAAAAAACACAATATCATCACACTATTTTGGACCGATACATGACGGTCAGGTCCAGCTTGGGGAGAAAATATGACACGTCTTTCAGGATGGACTTCATCTTTGGTAGCTGGCGAAGCCGGGAAAAGCAGGATCTAACAACCTGGCTAATGTGGGAGTCCATCCGCATCTCTGGGTCCAAAACCACCCCCAGGTTAGTGATGGTTGGCTTCACTAAGCTGCAAAAACAGGGTTGCAGGACAGGACTAACTGCAGTGGGAGAGGGAGGAACAAATATTCCAGTTATAAATATTAAATATTTGAACAAATAAATATTTGTTAAAAGGAAGAAACTGATGATGACTAAGATTAGAGGAATGTTCTAGAACGGGTCTGGAACCAACGATGGCCCTTTGGATCAAATTTGGATTAAAAAAATAGCTCATGATTTTATTTATGGATGGAATAAAAATACAGGTTGTAAGCATCTTCTCAGTATCTTCATGTTGCACGACTTTCCACAGCAGAAGGACACAAAAACTGCCAGAATTATGATTAGAAAGATTTACGTTTTAATCTCAGAATCCCAACTTTTCCCAGAATCTTCACATTATTCTATGAATTCAGAGAAAATATACATTTTTCAGAGGTCTCGCTCCCCTGTTGTGGATATTTCTCAAAATTCAACCATTTTTTCTTTTCAAAAGCTTTAGTAAGAGTTTGGACTCTAAACAAGTTTTACTTTGCAGACTGCTTGTCTAAACCTTCATCAGATCTGCTCATAATAAAACATTTGGGTTATATTTAATGCCCAGGAAGATGCTCTTCCTGGGCATTAAGTTATCAAAAACAGATAAAATTATTTTTTACCATAATTTTAACTGCTATCAGCTGATAAAAATAATAAAAAACAGCCTGATCATTAAAGGGGTGTAAGTGAAACCGCACGGATCACACAAACCATCATGCTGTCTATATGACTTTGAAAATATATAGTTTAATTACAGTTTGATTTATTTGACATCTGTATAATGTTTATTATTTTGTTTTTCCCCCTAAATGCCTAACGTTTCAGTTTAACATGAATATTAGTCATTCATCACAATACATAAAGTTACACATTTTAAATTTTAATAGGGGAAGACTGCAGGAGGGAGCGGTAAAATACAGAAATCCCCAGCAAAAACAAGAAACTTTACGAGTCTGATGAAACCCGCTGGAGTTCCTTCAGCAGGCCTGGTGGCAGCTACAACGGCCCAGTGGCTGTGCTTGGTCAATGTTATCGAGCTCAGTCCGGCTCGGCCGTGAACGAGCCGAGGCGACATCCTGCTCTGCTTAAGAAGAGGTGTTATTTTCCGCTTCAGAAGAAGCGTCCGTGTTTTACGCTTTCTCAGAGACATGTCACGTTGCTAAGTTGTTAGCGCCGCGCGCTAACACGTCAATAGTGCAGCATAGCCTGCTGGAGGTTTTAAGGGTTCAGATGAAAACACCCTACCACTCAGGCTGCTTACACATCGATATTAAGTTGTCGCTGTTGCGCTCACGCCGTAATACAGTATTAGATGCGGTTAAAGTCAGACATGAAAAACTCCACGAGCGGTCAGACCGCGCAGCAGCTAGGCGCAGCAAGTAGGCGCCGTATCGGTCAGGCTGCCCGGCCTGACCGCTGGGGATTACCGGATGGAAGAATGGACACAGAAGTCTCCCTCTTAGCGCTCCGTCATATTTCAACCCATTTTTATCTTAAATGCACTGGGTTTTACCCTATTACCCATCTAAATATGCCCTATTAATTATTTTACCGTATTTTACATTTAAATTTCATGGTTAAACAGTACATGCTACATGTTAAACTGATAGTTAGCTAGCTACTTCGGTAAACTCAGCTAGTTTAAAGGTGGCAGTGACATAAAATACGAATATAGATTTTAACTTACCGAAAAAAATGAAGTGGAGACTCCTTGGACGCTCTATTAGTGCAATTAATACCACTGCAAGTCATTTTGTCCAACAATTGCACCAATAATATCCAAAGAAGAATACACAAACACAGAGACTCAAAATGCCGGAGCAGTTTCCAAGCCAGACCGAGGCTGTACTGAGGCCTTTCCACGGAGCTAGCTCTGTGGTCACGTGGGTCTGAGGCGGTGGTCACGTGTGTCGGATGCTCATTAATTATACAGAATTTTAGGCTTTCAATACACTTAAACAGAAGAGTGAGAAAAAAATTCACCCCCCTCAGAGTTGTCATGAGTATAAACTAGATAATTTAGACAAAAAACATGTTTTGGCACCAGGCTGTAAACATGTTTATTTCTGCTGTGAAATCTGCATTTTTAACATGGGAGTCAATGAGGATTTGCTCGCTTCTGGCACCAGCCCCCAGCGGATGAGGGTGGAACTGCAATTTTTCTTACTTCCGGGATGGGACCATTTTCTGAGCGGCATTGTGGGGGCTTGGTTCAACACCAGAATGACTCAGACTCTGGTCAGTTTAACACTGTGCCATTACAGCCAAATAGCATCCTGAGTGACCATTGCTATCAAATCACAGAGTCTCCCAAAACGCTTAAAAGGAGAGTTCTGTCAGCAAATGAAAAGGTACGTGCAGTTCAGACAAAACTTAGATTGCAGTCCCAGAAGACAAGGATATCGAAGGCAAGAATTTCTTCTTTGATATGTGTCGATGGGTGACACCAGGCCTAGCGTTGCAGTCTGCTTCTAGCTTGTTTTCTGCATGTTTTAGATCACAAACACAGCTGATTTGTTTGATTTAGTTATGAATTGCTCCTGTAGAAACTAATGAAGGCTGGGGAGACATTTCAGCTCTTAGATTAAGGTGGTAATAAGACGAACGCACAGCGAGGAGATAAGTTTCACTTTTGGTTCTACTAAATGGACACTAGGGGGTGCTAAAAGCAAACAAAACTGCCAAGTTTGCCTTTAAGGAACCTGCTCATTGTCTAGATTCTACACTAATTAGAATTCAAACTAAACATATCAAATATGTATCTAAGGAACCTGCAGGTAAATGTATATTTCACTGAGATTCAGTACAAAATAACTTAACAACGTTTAATAAGAAACACAAATATGTTTTATATTGCATATTTATGTTTATTCTTTTAGGAGATGCTTTTATTCAAAGCCACTTACAGCTTTTAACCTAACGTGTGTTTTTTGCTCATTAACATAACTTATGCATAAATAAAAAAGTGAAATTATATGTGCAAAAGCATTCCAACATGATTTGAATAATTATTTTTTTTATACTCAGTTCAGTGTTATGGAATGTCATTTCTTGCCTTCAAACGTTTTACAATAAAACGTTTCACATGCACACACATGCATGTACACTGACATTCCCTCCATTGCGTTGATGTCATACTTTTGAAATTCTCTCATTGATGTTCACATCTTGGTCTGTTTGCCTTTATAATGTTCATCATCACTTCTATCCAAGTCTCTCTTCATCATCTCCATTTCTAACTTCCGTTGCTTATCGTTTTTATCATCATCATCATCACCGACATTCCTCCTGAACTTGGCCTCGATCTCTGTGGGGTCGATGTAGGTGTAGAAATAAGCCATGATGGAGAAGATGATGCACACACACAGCAAGAGGGAGGCAAACAGGACATACTCCGTCCACTTTGGATAAAAAAAAAAAACACAAGAGAAACATAAACATGGAACGTGGTTTTCACGTCACAGTATGCACTTGTTTTTTGTTGATCATGTAATTCCTTCCTACCTGTTTGGGAAGCTTCGCAACCTCTGCTACAATCAGGACAATAAAGTTGCCAATAGCAACGGTCAACAGCCAGCCTGCCTGCAGCACTGCTTTCATGTTACTGGGTGCCTTGATGATGAGAAAGAAAAGTTTTAAATATTAACTAAGAAAAAATATAACAAAGCAATAATACTAAAGAAATGTAATACTTTTATGTGTACATTTAAAAAATAATTGATAAAACATGCAAGTTTATGCACAAATGAGTCATAACATTATGATCATTTCTATGTATCAACCTGTCAGTCCTTTTAAAGCCTCAAATGTTTGACATTAAGTGAGCGCCATTACTATACACTCTAAAAAATGAAATGTTGAATTAACTTTAACAAGATATGACAACTAGTTCCACTAAATCTAGGTAAGTCCATATAAGATTATGTACATTTACTTTTAATATAATAACACATAACAATGTATATTACGCTTTACATTTAGTCATCTAGGTTTAGTGGAACCAGTTGGCCTAACTTGGTTAAGTCAATTCAACATTTTATTTCTTAGTGTGTACAGTAGCATTAATGTTTCTTTAATTCATCCACTGTTGATGTGGAAAACAAAGGTCTACATCCACAAAGGCCTGGGTCAATGATTCATCAAGTGAAACCATTCTTGGTGGTCCCACAGCAGTCATGTGAAGATGCTGCCGTCCAACCAGCAGACTTTGCTCTTAATCAATGTTCCTCTTGCTTACTTTCATTCTTCAATCTGACTTGTTTACTTCACTTGACAGAAAAACCCAACATTTTTCATGTCTTAGTGGCCTAGTGGTAGAGTGTCTGCCCTGAGACTGGGAGATCAGGGTTCGATTCTTGGTAGGATCATACCAAAGACTTTGAAAAAATGGGACCCAATGCCTCCCTGCTTGACACTCAGCATTAAGGGGTTGGATTGGAGGGTTAAACCACCAAATGGTTTCCGAGCACGGCTGTGTCTGGCTCCTTGTTATTTACAGGATCCAGTTCAGACATTTATTGTTTGTTTTTCAGTCTCTTAAAGGTCTATCCCAGGGGTGGGCAATCCTGGCCCTCGAGGACTGCTATCCAGCAGATTTGAGTATTTTCTCTGCCTAAACACACCTGGTTTGAATCTGCTGTTGATTAACAGGCTGCTGCAGAACCTGATGAGCTGATGAATGGGTGGTTAGGGTGAGGGTTAGGGTGTGTTGGAGCAGGTAAATAACTAGGACCAGGATTGCCCACCCCTCGTCAATCCCATTGTTATCTGTCTGAACTAATCGTGTCTCACATTCCAGCCAGAAGCTCACAGCAGCTCTTAGCAGTTCCTAAAACAAGGCTTAAAAGCCGAGAGGACAGGGCTTTTCCGGTAGCAGGAATTCCAAAATTTTGGAATAGTCTGCCATTGAATATTAGAAGAAGAAAGAAGAAGAAAATGTCATTTCTATAGCGCCTCTCAAGATAAAAATCACGAGGTGCTTCACAAAAACAAAAAATGTAAAAATATAAAAATAATTTAGAAAATGGTTAAAATATATTTTAAATGAGCAAAAAATAGACAATTGTGATTTAAAAATGTTAAGATAGAGAGAGCGTGACTAGGAAAGAGGGAAATCAGTGGATCATGAGGAAGGTGGAATAGGTGGGGAGAGCAGAAGAAAGAGAGAGGGGTTGAAGAAGGTCTTACAAAAGCCAGCTTGAACAAGTGAGTCTTCAGCTGTATTTTAAAGGAGTCCACTGAGTCCACTGATCTCAGGCTCAGGGGGAGAGAGTTCCAGAGTCTGGGGGCCACAGCAGAAAATGATCTGTCGCCTTTGGTCTTTAGCCTGGTGCGCTGCACAACCAGTAGGCTTTGATCACTGGGCCTCAGGGACCTGCTGGGGGTGTAGGGCCCAATTTCTTTAATTCTTGTTAATCAGCTTTTACTATATTATAGTTATGAGCTACTTTTAACCTCTTATTTTTGATCCTCGTTATAAAGTCTTTGCATGTTCTTATTGTTTTTAATCTCTGAAGCACTTTATTACTTATGCAGTTATTACTGTTGTAAATATGCTATATAAATTAGACAATGACCTTATAATTGGTAGTTTTTTTTAAATGTTACCTGTGAGTAAGAAAACTCCAGACCAGTAACAGAAAACATCACTTCACCAGCCGTGATGAAGAAGTACTGTGGGACTTGGAGAGCCATGTGAACAGAGTTTGGCTTGATGTCCTCCGCACCAGTTATGGACTCCTGACACTGAAATAATTAAATAAAATAATAAAATACAGCTTGTTTTACTTGTAATTTGTTTTGTGCTTGAACTTTTTACTCAACTCATTTATGGCTCAGAGTCGAAAGAATCATAAGATTTCACTGGATTAAATCCAAATTTTCAGCTTAAGACTTACATTTGATCCTAAACTTAAAGTGCTAGGAATGAAGAAAGTGTATGAACTTCCGAATCCAAAATCCCTGCTGAATGCACACGACAGCTGCCCACTCTGCAAGAAAAATGTTGCCCTGATGATGATGAGAAAAGGAAATATCTTTAAGAATCTGTGGGACGAAATTCAATATTGATGTGTTTAAGCCACTAAACAGATAAAAAGGGGAAAGAGTTCTCACCTTCCATTTCTGATCTGGGAATAGTTGGAATAATGAAATTTCTCAATTTGTCCAAAGACTACTTCACTAGTGGAGACATTTACTGGCTTATTCATTCCATTAACAAATCTGAAAAGAAAATGTTAGGTTGGAAAATTTAAGGGATGCCATTCAAACTGAAAAGGGATTAAAAACCAAGTTCACTCATTTTTTCAACACATTTACAGAGGTCTCTAAATGAATGCAATGTTTCTCAATGTCAAGGAACCTTGTCTTGATGCCTCGGTTGCCTAGGAGATACGTCATCAGGGACCACACAGGTGTGTTCCTATGTTCATGTTTATGTTTATGTTTATGTATTTAGCAGACGCTTTTGTCCAAAGCGACTTACAAGTGATAATCGGCATATTGCCCTTGAGGCTAACAACAACAATAACAACAACAACATTGACATCAGTCATGGAGAGTAGGGAACAAGGAGTGGACAGTAGAGATGGGGGACGGGTGCAGGGAGGGTGCTAGTTAAGAAGATGCTCTCTGAAGAGAAGGGTCTTCAGAAGTTTCTTGAAAATTGAAAAGGAAGCCACAGTTCTGGTGGTGCTTGGAAGGTCATTCCACATTTGTGGAACAATGCATGAGAAAAGTCTGGATTGTCCTGAGCGTGGTGTAGGCACTGCTAGCCAACAATCCTGTGATGATCAGAGCGGCCGGGCCGAGACGTAAGCCTTTGCAAGAGGATTCAGGTAGATGGGAGCCGTACCATCTCGGACTCTGTATGCTAGTGTTAGTAATTTGAATTTGATGCATGCTGCTAGCGGTAGCCAGTGGAGCTCAATGAACAGAGGGGTGACGTGTGCTCTTTTTGACCTATTGAAGACCAGATGCGCCGCTGCATTTTGGACCATTTGAAGAGGTCTCACAGTACAGCCTGGAAGACCAGTTAGAAGGGCATTGTAGTAATCGAGGCGGGAGATGACAGTAGATTGCACCAGGAGCTGGGTGGCATGTTGTGTTAGGTATGGTCTGATCTTTCGTATGTTATACAGTGCAAAGCGGCATGAACGAGCAACATAGGCAACATGATCTTTAAAGCTCAGGTGTTCATCAATCACAACACCCAGATTTCGAACTGCCTTTGAAGGAGCCAGAGATAGGAAGTCATTTCGATTGAGATATTGTGCTGTATGGATGGTTTTGCTGGGATGACAAGTAGTTCAGTTTTAGAGAGGTTGAGTTGGAGATGGTGGGATTTCATCCATTTTGATATGTCAGACAGTTTGATATTCGTGCAGAGACAGTGTGGTCGTCCGGTGGAAATGACAGATAGACCTGGGTGTCGTCTGCATAGCAGTGGTAGGAGAAGTCATGTGATCGAATGATCTCACCCAGTGAGGTGGTGTATACGGCACAGAGAAGAGGTCCTAGTACAGAGCGCTGGGGGACTCCTGTGGCAAGATGGTGCATGGTAGAGGATTGTCCAAGCCAAGATACACTGAAAGATCATCCTGTGAGGTACGATTCAAACCAGGCGTGTGCTTACTCGGTGATGCCCATGCTAGAGAGTGTGGACGAAAGGAAGCCATGGTTGACAGTGTCAAATGCTGCCGATAAGTCGAGCAGGATAAGCACTGAGGATTTGCCTGTCGCTCTAGCTTCTTTTAAGGATTCAGTCACTGCTAATAGAGCAGTTTCAGTGGAGTGGCCCTTTTTGAACCAAGATTGGTAAGGGTCAAGCAGACAGTTTTGTGAGAGGTATTCTGTGATCTGCTTGAAAGCCACCCTTTCAATGATTTTGGACAGAAAAAGGAGGAGAGAGATAGGTCTGTAGTTCTCCACATGATTTGGAGGAAGAGATGTTTTTTTTTTAGCAGCGGTTTAACCTGAGCATGCTTGAGAGAGGTGGGAAATGTACCGGATGTCAGTGATGCGTTGATCACATGTGTGACTGCTGCGGCTACTGTAGGAGCAATAGCTTGGAGCAGCTTAGTCGGAATGGGGTCAAGTGGGCATGTAGTAGGGCGGCTGCACGTGAGAAGCTTGGACACACAGTTCTCAGTGGCAGGGGAAAAAGAGGAAAATGAAGCAGTAGGGCCTGAGATGGTTGGGCTTGAATGAGTTTGTGGTAGTGAATGTTCAGGAGTGGCAAGTTGAGTAAACTGTTTGCTTATGGCTGCAACTTTGTCAGTGAAGAATGAGGCAAAGGTGTCAGCTGATAAGATTGTTGGTAGGAGGTGGAGATGGAGGGTTGAGCAGAGTTTTGAATGTTGAAAATAGTTTCTGAGAGTCAGTAGAGCTGAAAATTTTGTCAGTGTAGAAAGCTTTCTTTGCATCAGTGATGCTGGCAGAGAATGAGGACAGTAATTCCTGAAATTTCAATAGATAACCAGGATCTTTTGTTTTGCGCCATTTCCGTTCCGCAGCTCTAAGATTGGTCCGTAGAGACCGGAGGGCATCATTTAGCCAAGGGTGCGACTGAGAGGATCTAGCAGGTCTAGTGGCTAAAGGGCACAAGTTGTTAAGACAAGAGCAGAGTGACTCGGTGGCATCATTCACTTCATAAGCGGAGAATGTGCTGGGAGATGGAAGAGTGGAGGCAACAAGAGAGGAGAAGTGGTTGGGTGCCAGATTGCTGTGGTTGCGGCGGAATGAGACCATTGGGGAGGAAGCAGTGGACCTCCCTTGTAGAGTCGTGCTGAAATGAAGTAATGATCCGAAAGATGCAGCGGTGTGACAGAGATTGTGTCTATGGCACAGTTTCTGGTGAAAATGAGGTCAAGTGCTTTTCCAGCTTTGTGAGTTGGAGGACTTTGTACTAGTTTTAAATCAAATGACATTAGTGATAGGAAGCCTGATGAGCTGGGATTGTCCAGGTGAATATTCATGTCTCCAAGGACCATTGTGGGACAGTCATGGTCAGGAATGGAGGAAAGCAGGGTGTCGAGTTCATCAAGAAAGTCTCTGAGTTGACCTGGTTGTCGATATATGACAACCAAAAAGAATATTTTCGGTACAGTTACCTGGATGGCATGGTATTCAAAGGAGTTGTATTTAGTGATAGGTAGCAACTGACTGTATATCCATTTGTTGGAAATTAACATGCCCGTTCCACCACCTCGACCAGATGCACGAGAAGTGTGGGAGAAAGTGTGGTTAACTGAGAGAGCAGATGGGGTAGCATTGTCACATGGTTTAATCCAGGTCTCAGTGAGAGCCAGTGCATCGAGTGACAGGTGGTTTGCATATGCGGTAATGAAGTCTGCTTTGTTTACAGCTGATTGGCAGTTCCACAGTCCCATAGACAGGTGGATGTCTTCGGGGGGAGTTGGTTTTAGAGAGCAGAGTTTTTGAAGGTTGCGAAAGTGGTTTTCTGTGTGTGACCTTCCTCTGAAGCTAGTGATCACAGGTATGGGATAATGACACATTTTGCTAGGTGTTGATGGAGCAGCGTCTGGGTCAAGTTTGTTTGCTCTGTGTACCTGCTCTGTGGACACGCGCAGGTAGACACGTATGTCTTAACCCTGGTGTGTCTTCACACCAGAGGGACTGAGACACCAGGGCTGACGCTTCTGCTGACGTTTCAGTTATGCTACCGAGGCATCTGTTCTGTTCTGCATTTGTTATCAGTTTAGCTAGCTGACCAAGGATACACGGGAGGTGTCTTGTAACCTGGCCTTGGTCAAAAATTTCGTTGTATTTTCAAAAAGGATGGCGGATCAGGAACCAGCAGCTACTTCAGGGCAAATTTCTAGTTTAAATGTATTAAAATAACTGTAGCTAACAGGCTTTTATCTAAAATGTTTTTTTTTATCCAAAGCAGTCATCTATGATTGGTTAGTTCTTAGTAGTTGCAGCTTTGGTGGCTAGCAGGTATTAACTCGCTTACATATTTAATTTAACCAATATGCACAACAAAAAAGTAAAAGGCTCGTTATACATTTATAATGAAACGTATACGTTTAAAATATAACTTTACCTCACATGTCAAGTGAGATACGTCTGTTCCATTTAACCATTTTTCTTTGACCAAGGAAGGACAGTGTCCTCGTAAGCAGCACCTGGCCAGATGCCTTGACATTGAGAAACACCCATGGAGCTGCTAATGCTAACAGTTAGCTTCTACTACATAATATATTGGTTATTTCTCAATACCCAAGGATGCTAGTACATTCTTGTGTACTTGACAAGTATGTTCTTGGCAAGGACACCAGAAAGTCCATTCTACCAAGTATGGGAGAACGAGAACAGCATTTGGAACAGAACTGTACTCCGTTGTGTCATTGCAACAAGCGCTGCTTGTTTAACTAGGGTTTAGACAAAAGAATAAAAGTCTAGTTTGTCCCTCAATTAAAAAATAACAATAAATACAAATTACTTGTACAATATTTGGTCCACTTTTGATGAAAACTGACAGAATTCTAGCATTTCCTGTTGTTAAATTAAGAAAAAATAAATTTTGTCATCAAAACAAAGCAATGCTGCTTTTATTTTGATAGTGGGTTAGCTAATTCGATTTCTGAGGGATCATGAAGAGTCTGAAAGAAAACAAAAACAAATACCGGTACACACAGCAAATGTTACAGGTTACACACAATTATTTACAATACCAGTTTTTTGTATTATTCTTTATTTGAATTTATGACATAAAACTCTATAGTTATGAGCTTTCTCTGACATTTGAAGTGAAATGGTTTGTGGCGCAATGCATTATGGGATACTTTGCTGTCCCAAGTCCACAGAAGAATGCATCATTGAATCCTCAACACAATCGGTGGAGCAAGAACACATCCGGAAACTTAGGGCGAACGTACCATGATACGTACTTAGGGTTGGAACAATAACTGGACTATCGTTGATGATGTGTCACAAGGACGTGAGTACACAAGCACAGACATGTATGCATATTGAGAAACGGCCATGCTTTGCTCTTGAGGGTAAACCAATAACAGCCTTTCCCGTCCTGAGCCAAGATGGGTGAGTCTGTCCGTCCCTCCCTCCCTCCCTCCCTCCCTCCCTCCCTCCCTCCCTCCCTCCATCCATCCATCCATCCATCCATCCATCCATCCATCCATCCATCCATCCATCCATCCATTTTCATCTGCTTATTCCATCCATCCATTTTCATCTGCTTATTTTCATCTGCTTATCCGGATTTTCCATTTTCATCTGCTTATCCGGATTTTCGTCTGCTTATCCGGAGTCAGGTCGCGGGGGCAGTAGCCTAAGGCGAGAGACCCAGACTTCCCTCTCCCCAGCCACTTTGGCCAGCTCCTCCGGGGGAATCTTAAGGTGTTCTCTGGCCAGGTGAGAGACATAGTCCCTCCACTGTGTCCTGGGTCTACCTTTAGGTCTCCTCCCGGTTGGACGTGCCCGGAAAACCTCACCAGGGAGGCGTCCAGGAGGCATCCTGACCAGATGCCCGAGCCACCTCAACTGGCTCCTCTCGATGTGGAGGAGCAGCTTGTCTACTCCGAGCCCCTCCCGAATGGCTGAGCCTCTCACCCTATCTCTAATGGAGAGCCCAGCCACTCTTCGGAGAAAAATAATTTTGGCCGCTTGTATCCACGATCTCGTTCTTTTGGTCACTACCCAAAGCTCATGACCATAGGTGAGGGTAGGAACGTAGATCAACCAGTAAATCGAGAGCTTTGCCTTCTGACTCAGCTCTCTCTTCACCACGACAGACCGGTACAACACCCGCATCACTGCAGATGCAGCACCAATCTGCCTATCGATCTCACGCTCCAGTTTTCCCTCACTCGTGAACATGACCCCGAGATACTTAAACTCCTCCACTTGGAGCAGGAACCTCATCCCTGACCCGGAGAAGGCATTCTACCCTTTTCCGAATCAAGACCATGGTCTCAGATTTAGAGGAGCTGATTCTCATCCCAGCTGCTTCACACTTGGCTGCGAACCGCTCCAGTGAAAGCTGAAAATCATGTTCTGATGAAGCCAACAGGACCACATTATCTGCAAAAAGCAGAGACCTGATCCTCAGGCCACCAAAACGGATGCCCCTCCACACCTTGGCTGCACCTAGAAATCCTGTCCGTAAAGGTTATGAATAGAATCGGTGACAAATGGCAGCCTTGGCGGAGTCCAACTCTCACTGGGAACGAGCCCGACTTACTGCCGGCAATGCGGACCAAGCTCTGACACCGGTCATACAGGGACCAAACAGCCCGTATCAGAGGGCCCCATACTCCCGGAGTTCCCCCACAGGGCCCCCCAAGGGACACGGTCAAACGCCTTCTTCAAGTCCACAAAACACATGTAGACTGATTGGGCAAATTCCCACGCACCCTCCAGGATCCCCCTAAGGGTATAGAGCTGGTCCAGTGTTCCATGGCCAGGACGAAAACCACATTGCTCCTCCTGAATCTGTTTCAACAATCCGACGGACCCTCCTCTCCAGAACCCCTGAATAGACCTTACCAGGAAGGCTCAGGAGTGTGATCCCCCTGTAGTTGCAACACACCCTGCGGTCTCCCTTTTTAAATAAGGGGACCACCACCCCGGTCTTCCAGTCCAGTGGGACTGCTCCCGATGTCCTTGCGATATTGCAGAGCCGCGTCAGCCAACACAGCCCCACAACATCCAGAGCTTTAAGGAACTCCGGGCAGATCTCATCCACCCCTGGAGCCTTGCCACAGAGGAGCGTTTTAACCACGTCAGTGACCTCAGCACCAGAGATTTGAGAGGCCAACCCAAAGTCCCCAGACTGCTTTCTCACTGGAAGACGTGTCGGTGGGATTGAGGAGGTCTTCGAAGTATTCTGCCCACCGATCCACAACGTCCTGAGTAGAGGTCAGCAGCACACCATCCCCACTATAGATAGTGTTGGTACCACACTGCTTTCCCCTCCCTGAGGCGCCGGATGGTGGACCAGAATCTCCTCGAAGCCTTATGAAAGTCTTGCTCCATGGTCTCACCGAACTCCTTCCATGCCCGGGTTTTTGCCTTGGTGACCACCCGAGCCGCGTTCCGCTTGGACTGCCGGTACCCGTCAGCTGCCTCTGGAGTCCCACAAGCCAAAAAGACCTGATAGGACTCTTTCTTCAGCTTGACAGCATCCCTAACCGCCAGTGTCCACCAGCGGGTTCGGGGGTTGCCACCACGACAGGCACAGACAATCCTGCAACCACAGCTCCGGTCGGCCGCCTAAACAATGGAGGCACGGAACAGGGTCCATTCAGACTCAATGTCCTCCGTCTCCCCCGGAACATTTTGGAAGTTCTGTCGGAGGTGGAAATTGAAGCTCCTTCTGACAGGAGACTCTGCCAGATGTTCCCAGCAGACCCTCGCAATACATTTTGGCCTGCCTGGTCTGACTGGCATCCTCCCCCACCATCTGAGCCAACTCACCACCAGGTAGTGGTCAGTTGACAGCTCCGCCCCTCTCCTCACTCGAGTGTCCAAGACATGCGGCCGCAGGTCAGACGAAACAACAACAAGTCGATCATCAAGCTGCGGCCTAAGGTATCCTGGTGCCAAGAGCACATACGGACACCTTTATGTTTGAACATGGTGTTCATTATAGACAATACATGACTGGCACAGAAGTCCAATAACAAAACACCACTCAAATTCAGATCGGGGGGGGGGGCATTCCTCCCAACCACACCTCTCCAGGTCTCACCGTCATTGCCCACGTGAGCGTTAAAGTCCCCCAGCAGAACAAGGGAGTCACCGGAAGGAGCGCTTTTCAGCACCCCCTCCAAGGTCTCCAAAAAGGGTGGGTAGTCTGAACTGTAGTTTGGTGCACAAGCACAGACCACAGTCAGAACCCGTCCCCCCACAGGTAGGCAGAGGGAGGCTACCCTCTCATTCACTGGGGTAAACCCCAACGTACAGGCATCAAGATGGGGGGCAAATAGTATGCCCACCCCTGCTCGGCACCTCTCAGTGGGGGCAACTCTAGAGTGGTAGAAAGTCCAACCCCTCTTAAGGAAATTCATTCCAGAGCCAGAGCCATGCGTTGAGGTGAGTCCGACTATATCTAGTCGGAACCTCTCAACCTCACACACCAACTCAGGCTCCTTCCCCACCAGAGAGGTGACATTCCATGTGCCAACAGCCAGCTTCTGTAGCCGAGGATCAGACCGCCAAGGTCACCGCCCTCGACTACCACCCGTCACACACTGCACCTGACCCCTTTGGCCCCTCCCACGAGTGGTGAACCCATGGGAAGGGAGACCCACGTTTCTTCTTTAGGCTGTGCCCGGCCGGGCTCCATGGGTGAAAGCCCGGCCACCAGGTGCTCGCCAACGTGCCCCACCTCCAGGCCTGGCTCCAGAGGGGGGCCCCGGTGATCCACGTCAGGGCAAGGGAACACGGTTTCCATTTATATAATTCATCATAAGAGGTCTTTGGGCTGCTCTTTGTCTGATCCCTCACCTAAGGTCCAAGTTCAGAGACTAAAAATAGCGGAACAGTTTTCAGGCGAGACCGAGGCCCAGACTGAGGCTACTGAGGCCTTTCCATGGAGCTAGCTCTGTGGTCACGTGGGTCTGATGCTGCGGTCACGTGGGTCTGATGCTCATTAATTATACAGAATTTTAGGCTTTTAATACACTTAAACAGAAGAGTGACAAAAAAAATTCACCCCCTCAGAGTTGTCATGAGTGCAAACTAGATCAGTTAAACCAAAAACATGTTTTGGTACCAGGCTGTAAACATGTTTATTTCTGCTGTGAAATTGGTATTTTTAACATGGGAGTCAATGAGGATTTGCTCGCTTCTGACACCAGCCCCCAGCGGATGAGGGTGGAACTGCAATTTTTATCACTTCCGCGTTGGCCTCAATTTCAGACCCGCATTGTGGGGGCTTGGTCTGATCCCTCACCAAGGACCTGTTCACCATGGGTGACCCTACCAGAGGCAAAAAGCCTCAGACAACTTAGCTCCATGAATGAGTGAGTCCATGAATGTTAATTTTCAATGTGACGTAAAACTGACTGGCTATTCTAGTCCCGTCTATCTTCCATCAACGACAAATACAGGAAATAGGGGTAAAAGACTAATTTCACAATCAGCCTGCTTGTGAAACTCAGCGTGACTGATCAAATTTAAAACATAACAAGTAAAAATGATTTCTCAGTGAACTCAGTCTTTAAAGAATGTAAAAATGAAGAACAAAAATATATTAGCATTTAAAAATGCTTAATTATGATTATTCTTTCAGGTATTTATTTAGATATTTATTATAATTTCAGTACTCAAACTTACCGGATTGCATTGTTTCCTTCTTCTGGCTTAGTAGTCAAATCTGCAGTCTGAAATAAAACACATAAATGCTTATTGATTTAACCGTTGTAAATCTCCTCGTGTCTTCATTTTATTTTGTGTACTTAGAACTCACCAGCTGCCATTCATCACTGATGGTTAAGGGGATGAGAAGTGTTTGCCTCTGTCCTTTTATCAATGAAATATTTCTTTTCATTTCAGGGCCACTTACTGAGATAGAGATCTGATCTTCTTCAAAAGTGAAGTATTCTTCACTGGCCTGCAGAAGAAAGAATCCTGATACTGAGCAAACACTCTGATTACCATTTAAATTTATTCTGATTTAAAAACAAAAAGTATATAAATCTAAATTTTCTAAATATTTGTTTGCTGGTATAACATACCTGAGCTGCCTGAAGAGTCACCTGACCATAGCCTGGTAACCCAGCTGTAACTGGATGATTGCCCATGTTTAGTAACTTCAACTGACTTTGGAAGTTGGATGGGAAAACTGGCAAAGTTTTCTGAAAATTACAGGAAACAGTCGGAGTTTATAAATCTCAATGTTAGATTTATTCACAATTATCAGTTTATAACAAATTAACCTCTCATCTCTTTTGCATTTTACTGTGTAAGATTAAAATATGTTAAATGTTTCCTACTTACGTCGATTTCAATCTGAACCACAGCTGCACAGACAAAAGCAAGCGCTGCCAGAAACATCCCCACTGTCATTCTTTTCAAAGGTCTGTTAAAACCAACAGGAATAAAGTTAATAGACTTAATTAAAAGCATTTACCTAAAACAGAGATGTCTTCATCTTTTCTGCAGTATGTATGTAAGGTATGTTGTCATTTAAAAAAATAATCATCATAAAGTTTGTTCATTCAGTTTAGACACATTAAATCTGCAAAAGCAAATTTTGGAAAACAAATGAGCATGAAACTTTTTTTCATACCTCTTAACATACTGATATAGTATAAAATAATAATAATGTTGTTCTCTTGCATTTGTCTGAAAACCTCAGCCAGCAGCACATGTCGGACTGAAAGCAACCATTGGACCATCTGGTTGGCCGTCTCGCCGAACTGCACCACTTCCGCACTTCATGGGTCCTCCATTCTTTACGCACTGGCATATTTAGCAACAGAACACCATTGGTGTGAGAGGCTCTCCGCTCAATAATATCAGAGAAGAAGAAACAGCCGGCTGAAACCACTTCAACTTTAGGACAAACTCACAAAGTCCCAAAAAGCAAAACACCATCTGAAGTCACAAACAACAAAAGATGTTTGCACTTAGAAAACAGTGACTGGTGTTTAGCTCTATATCGTTTTCTCTGGTAGTGTTGGTTTCTGCCAGGAAAGATACCTGAGGGGAGGGGTGAGTGTTCTGTGACCGTGTTTGCGTTCAAAGCCTAGCACGTGTGCAGATTCGCTATAGCAGCTTTAAGTTAAAGATGCAGAAGGAAACATGGAGGTTTCACATCATGTGCTGGAGACAGAAATCTGACTGTTTTTCTCATGATGACATAATGAAAGAAAGACCCAAAACTACTTTCTTTAATTGTTATAAAAATCTCTGCATTGCTGCTGCTCACTGAAATGCAGGTGAGGCAGCTCATTTTACAGAGAGGCAGGGGCGTTTCTAGGACAGGTCCAGGGGGGACCAGGGGCACCCTGGCAGCAACCTTGGACCCCTCTGTGGCCCCGCCTTCTGAGGGCAGTGTGGATTCTTTTTGTTATAATTTATTGTAATGCAAGATGTGGAACTACAACATGTGAATTAATTCCTCTGCAGTTAAAAAGAGATGTTGAGACAAATACTTTCATGTTGTTACTTTGACAAATAACTACAATGTCAAAGTCATTTTTGTAAAATTGTTGCATTTTGAAACATTGAAAAAGTCTTTTAACTAAAGTAACTGTAACAATATTGCTGTTATTATATTGTTGTAATTACACTCTAAAATTTGAAATGATTATTGTTCATAGTGTTTTCTTAAAAAGGTGTCTCTCTAAAGCCCGAATCACACTGTGCAATTTTTGGCCACTTTAGCCAAATCCCTCGTCGGGAGCATGATCGTGTAAGCAAGACTCCACCCCTCTGAGCTTCGGTTTCAATTTATTTTTTAAACGTGGATTATAAACTACACACCAGTTTTTTTTTTTCTGTTAATAGCCCAAGTTACACCGGAGCAATACTAAAATAATTAAACTACCTTTTTTAGACCATCAGATGAATTGTGAAAACTGTGATTCTGTAAACTGTGAGAATGTGAGAGGAGATGAGCTCACAAACATTCAACTCAATTCAAAAATACTTTATTAATCCCAGAGGGAAATTGAACAACATAAAAAGTAAAGCACAAAAACATGAGATCCGTTTGCTGTTGGTGGAAATATTACATATTCAACTGATAAGGATGGTTCAGTAGCATTTTGCTGAAGAGACAGCGGGTGTGAGCTGTCACACGGAGCGGAGCAGTCAGAAAGAATTCACGGCAAAAGTTTAGATACTGAAGCGATCTGTGACAGATTAATGCTTCTCTGTAGTTTAGTGGGTTCTTGTGTATAAAGGAGGAGAAGGATGAATGATCAGCAGGGGCAGATTTAGGACTGAAGAAGATCCGGGGCTTAACACACACACGCACGCGCACACACGTGACACGCACTAGTCAACATCACATATATATATATACATATATATATAGATATATATATATGTCTTGTACCACATAATTTATAATCTGAAGGTACATATTAAGCATATTCAGGGCAGAGTATTGTTCCTGTTAGTGTTTAGTGTGAGATGATAGTAAATATTCCCTTTCTTTCTCCAGCAACGTTACGTGATAGTAAGCTAACTTTAGGCAAACCAGCAGCACAACAAATATTTTCAAATAAGACTCACAAACCTGAGTCAGCACCAGTCTCATCAAAGCTGGGGTTCTGTCGTTGTACTTTTGGTCTAAAAACGTCCTTATGTCCATCTTCACTCATGCGTTTCAGGCAGAGAGTGTGGAAGAAGCCAGCTGCTGAAGGGCTTCTTCTTCAGTGGTGGAGGCTCGGGCAGGCTGTATACAAACTACTGCCAGCTGCTCCCTCTCTGTTGGACTTTGGTACTGCATGTTACTTCCGCGATTGAGATCCGGGGCTTATCATGAAACATCCGGGGCTTCAGCCCAAGTAGCCGGGCCTAACGCCGCCCCTGATGATCAGCAAACTGATCAGCTGTTTAGCTGGAAGATGGAAAAAGGAGACCTGCAGCCGGAGTCTGACGCCAAAGATGAGATGGGTCATGAACTGACACTAAAACTAAGTGTTTTTATCTTTTCAGCTTTGTTTTGGTTAGCGGTCTGCTTAGTGACGCATGCTTCAGGAGGTTCGCTCATGACGCAGCATGTCCTGCTGGAGAGAGACGTCATGCAGTCTGCTTCACAGAAATCTTGCGCCGTACAGTGTGCTACCTTTCTGGAGTTCTCACAGTGTGACATGAACAATACTGTGCGACGGTCAAAAATCGCAGTGTGATCCGGGCTTAACTTAGCAGCCGGCCTCAGTCCACTAACACCCCCCTCCCAATTTGAAAAGAGTGGGTTTTTTTTTTTAATCAAAACATTTGCAGTAGTCTCTAGTAAGAATGAATGCCTTCTAAGTCGTTCTTGGAGGGAAAAATATACCGGTGCACCATTTCTCTCACCTAAAAGTTGCCCACATCAGAGTTGATGGCAGGATTTCGAGTCTTATTTTCTGATATTTGGACATCTTGCACTGGATTGGATAGCAACAACGAGACTCTACCACTGACTTGCAACTTTGATGTTTCATCTCTACAAAAATCACAAGCCTGGAGGAGCTTCTGCCATGTGGTGAAGTTGCTAATGCTAATGGTTAGCTTAAACTAGCCTGTTTCAGTCAACCACACCTTTAAATTACAACCTGCCCTGCAGATTGGAGCTAAAATAGAACAGCAGAACTGAATATTTTTCTTGCAGAACTTACGTGAAGTTCAGACCACACTTTTTAATCAGAGGGTAAATCACGCTGTCCATTATGGGAACCAGAGTCAGGATCAAGATGGGGTTTACTGTCTTTCCAAAAAAAAAAACAAAAAAAGAACAAAATGAGTTTTTACTTAAAAGTATAAACATCTGAGTCTAAACTATTTTTACTTACCTGCATCTGATCCGGCTGTATAACAATCGCCCCCTGACGAACCCCCAAAAAATTAAGAATAAGATAAACACACTGCTCTGATGAGCAAAGAGACATTTATGCTTTTATCACCAAACTTACAAAGTTTCCATCCATTGTGGTGGCCTGCAGAGTCCACCTAGAACCCTTCAGACAGAGTTGCAACATTTAGCAGAACATCTGCTGCAAACAGGTTGTTTCTGCTCAAATGAACTTAAAGGTACCTTTTGATCAAACAGGGTCCAGAACATTGGCAGCGGGATGTATAAAAAGAGAACCTTCAGCACCATTTTTATTTGAGCAATGAGGAGTTTCTGTAGCATAAAAAGACAAAATAACTAACTTTTCATTCTCTGGAATAGACTCTTATCACCCATGAAAGTTGAACTTACATCGTATTTGTCCTCCGCCCAGTCCATCCAGTGCTCTCTACTTGGGTACTGCTTGCTTCTGTGTTTGTAGCGATTGCTTATTGCAAACTGTTGCAGAGTCAAGTTGTAGAAACAGGTTGTTAGAAAAATCTAGGCTCACCTTTAGACGCATCACTTGTTGGAGGAATATTTAAATCTGAGAACGACCTACCCCGATACATTTACACACATCCCCCATGATGTTCCCTTCAGGTTTAGCTTTGTAGTACATACCACTCCCCACAATAAACACCACTGTTGAAAAATACCGGGGGAAATGATCAGATCCACGAGGGAAACCTTTGAATTTCTGCTTTATGTACTTTTTTACGCACCGAGTGCTACAACCATCAGCGCTGCAGGGACACCGAAGGCCAGGGAATAACACTTCTGTTTACTGTAGATACCACAGTTCTGAGCTGCAGATGGAAATATTTAATCATTGTTTTTTATCGTTGATTGCATGTTTGTGACATTTTAGTCAAAAACGTACCTCTGAGGATCGGAGTGATGATGGTTGACAGAAGACTCCCACCATTGATGCACAGATAGAAAACAGAGAAAAACGTTCTTCTTTGTCTTTCCTAGAAAAATTAAACTTATTGTATTGAATAAGCAAAAGCTGCATTTATATTTCACTATTTGAAGATTTTTACACAATATGCATGCATGACCTCAATGTGTTTACTGCTTTTTGCCTTTCAGTGTTTTTTTCTTTACTGTAACATTGAGCCAAAACCTTATTTTCAGTTGCTTCAGGGACTTCTTGCCTGATTTCGACTTTTGAAAGCACATTAAAACTTTGGACTCTGAGTTTGTATTTTCATCTATTCCTGCTTTAGAAATAATTTTTCTGTCACAGTCAGCATGCGTGTTAATCAGCAAACCATTCTGTAAATAATAACCAGTGGCTGTACAGTTTACGGGAACCGGTATTAGACCTGTCTTACAGCACCACCTTGCGAGTGGGATCTGTTTTCTTGTAAGAAGGTTCAAGTTCTGTAATTACCTATTTTTTTGTTAAATTCAATGACTTTGGTAGATTAGCAGGTGTTTCTGGATTTGTAGACAGTTTTTGAAAAATTGGAAGGTGAGACAAGAGAATGAATGGAGATGAGAAGTGAGCTCTTTCAAAGGGCCTACACCTGTTCTTCAATAAATCAGATGTGGTCTCTATTATGAATGAAAGCCTTGCAAATTGTTCTCTGGGGGAACAAAAGCTCTGTTGCGTCTGTTTCAGGAAGTAGAAACTAGCTGGAGGAGTAGGGGGAAGAAAACAGCAGGATTTTGAGTCATATCCATTACTATTCATGATATTCAAACATCTCGCCTCTAATTGGTCAATAGCAATGTGACTCTTCCACTGCCTCCATTCACTCTTCTTTCTTGGGTAATTAATGCAACATTGATGTGTTATCTCCACAAATAATACAACCCTGAATATTTTGCGCCATGTTGTGGAGTTGCTAATGCTAATAGTTGGCTTCCACTAGCCGAGACACGCTCTGCACATTTCCCTGTCCCTTCTACCAGCGGCTAATGCGAGCGATAGAGGTTTTTGAGTTCAGCATTCTTGTGAAACTTAGCATGAACACATTTCTTTAAGTTTTGATCTCATCATTTTAAATCCAATATTTCCATGTTTTCTTTCAGCCTTCCACTTATCAGCTCACATAAGCTTCTGGAGGTGTGAAATTATTAATATTTTAATTTTCAAGAACTAATCACAGGATTTATGTAGGAAAAATCTGTGAACGGTTTCCTTTTACCTCTTCAGTGAAACCAAAATATTCCAGCGTTTACTGAACTGATTTTGTTTCTTACTATGTTTAATTAAAAATCAGTATTTTATCATGTGAAGAGGCGCATTTACAGCATCCAAACTGGAACTTTTGATGTATGTGCGATGACCTTAAAATTTATTGCCTAACCAAGTTTGACAGACAAGATAAAACTTTCAGTGGAGGCAATAAAATATCTGAACTATGGATGTTGGAACATGCAAGCTGAGGCTAAAGGTGGAACATGTGTAGGTAAGAGTACCTGATGATCGCCAAACTGGTCTCCACCAAAAGCAGCCACACAAGGTTTGATGCCACCGGTACCCAGAGCGATGAGGAACAGACCCACCATGGATAACACTCTGAATGTGAGGAGGGAAAAGATGAGGAGGTACATGATGAGAAGAATGTTTCATCCTGGTCTTCATATCTAATTCCCTAAATAATCATTTAAACCTACACATGAAAGGTCATGTTATTTGGGGTCCCATCTCGGTCTGTATCAGTGATGTCATGAATTGCACTGACCGCCATCGCCACCTGGCCAATCGCATAAACAATGGACAGGTAGATAATGGTCCTGTGAGAGACAAAAATACATATTATTATATTAGTGTGTCCTAAAATACACAAGTTAAAATTTGAGACATTTTCTTACTTAAACTTTCCCAGCCAGGAGTCGGCCACGATGGCCCCGAGAATGGGGGTCAGGTAGCAGAGAGCCACAAAGGTGTGGTATATGGAGGTGGCCAAGTCGTCGTCCCATCTTAAAAAGTACTTAAAGTACAAAACCAGGACCGCTGCAGAGAAGCATTTATAATAACCTCAACCTAAAAATGGTTAATGTGGTAATTGAACAGCTAAAACATTTGTTAGGGTTTTCAAGCAATTGTTTGTGTTAACTGAGTCCAGAAAGTTTTTTAGAATCCTGCAGAAATATTGGACTATTTTGGGCTTTGCATGACTATCATATTTACTTATGTAAACTTGGACTCACCTCTCATTCCATAGTAGGAGAACCTCTCACAGAACTCATTAACAACAATGAAGAAGATGCTGAGCGGGTATCCACACACTTCTTTACTCTGTTTAATAAAATGACATTTATACAGTCTGTCTTTCAGCTGCAGTATCCATTTAGTATGCAGTCTGATGCAGTTTAAATATAAAATAGATCCAATGCAAAAGTTCCTTTCAAAATAAAATGCTATTATCAGTATTTAAACTAATATTTTGTAATAAAATATGGTGCAAAATAGCACTTTTTTGTATTTTTTTAGACAGATTGCTTATAAATGGAAAAAAAGTTGTTAAAGGGGAACTACTTGTTTAACGTTTTCATTTAATTTCTAATCTTTTAAACTAGTATAGCTCATGTTCGCTTCTTATAAATAAAATCTTTGAACTCTGAGCAACATTGTACAGCTACATGTGCAACAATGTCCAAAAATTCTCACTTGGGATTTTTGTTGAAATGATCAAGCAAACGTTGATTAAAGTTTAGATTTGATTCTAAAAACGATCAACTGGTCTCACACTGATCTTAAAAACTGGAAAAAGTATTGGAAGGAAGGCGTTACCGTTCCTTTGTTCTTCTTTCCAGTTTTGGGATCTTCATGATCTGTGAGCAAAATCATTTATTGAAGCTAAACGAAAAGTCCACCAGAAATGGTACACATGCTATTTTCTTCTATATAGAGCTTTGTTACGTTATAGAGTACAAATTGTCTTTACTTTCAAATAAATTTTCTTAAAACATTAAATCCAGATTTATTTACCAGCCATGATGTTTTACTGAGGCTTCCAACGACACAAGCTTCTCACTCAGAGCCGATAATTGACCTCCTCACTAGTGTGGAAACTTCCACGCTTTATTGCGTCTTATTAGCCCTTGATCTGTTGAGTTGCTTTCAAACTGGGAGGGAACAAGAGCAGATAGGCTGCTGGGTGCAGTCAGTCCTTGACCCTTCACTGAAGTTCCCACACTAACTGCAAACAAGACAAATAATTGTTTTCAAAGTTGTCCGAAATAGTTTTCTTCTTTTTTTTTTTTTTACAATTGAGCCTCGATATAGCGTATGAAACTTTGTTGTGGCTCACAATGACCCAATAGTGACCAAACACACATCGGTTGGACTCGGACACTCGGCCAGGACATGCTTTGTGCTGATTGGCTGGTTTACGGGGAGCCCAAGTCTCCTCCCCTTCCTGCCGGCTCCGGTCCGGCTGTAAATGAAAGAATGTAACGTTAGCGGGGCTAAAAGTTATTTTCTGGTCCACTTTGACTCACACATGTGTTTTACTTCCATTTAAATAACAAATAATTGTTCGTTTCAAATTTTTCATGTAATTTGAGATTTAATCGCTTTTAAAAATTCATTTTTAAAAAGACTACAAATCACAAGTTGCATGTATACATCACCCCAGAATCTAAGAGCGTAGCTGCTACTTACCACATGGCCAGATTTATAGTAGTTTCTCCACCTTTAATAATCCTCTCCTCCTGGGAGAAGGGTGACAAGCTCTTCCCCTTGTCTGGTTTGCTCACGTCAATTTGGTGAGACAAGCATTTGTAGTCCTCACAGAAAGTTCCCACACAAAACCTAAAATAACTGAAGCTCTTTCTTGGCATCGTAGTGTGTCTTTTTAATTCACTCACATAATTTATCCATGACACCAAACAAGATAAAGAAAATAACTTTAACTGGTCCAAAGACTCCGTTCATATTTTTTGACAGTAGGGGACACATGGACCGGAAGTAGATGGGCGTGACTTAGACTTTCTATGACACTGCCTGAAATGGAGGGGTACGAAAGGGGAGTGTCCAGCAAAGTCACTGTCTGGCGGGTTGTAGAGCGGGGGGACTGCAGAAGAACGACGACAAGGACCACAAGCTGTGGATCTATCTGGAATTCCTTCAAAGTCTGGATATTCTCTTTACATCCTGGAACATCACTGCCCCAACATTCTTCTTTGTCATTTTCCTCTCTTCCAACAACGATGTTAGCAGTAGCTTGGGCTAGCGTCAGCAGCATTTGGCCATGCATTGTTCTGCAGTGAGCAATACTGCAACCAAGGTTTAAATTTTGTCAACACTGAAGTGGGTTGAACATGAGAAATCAGGTTTTCTTAGAACAGTCAGAATCTTACATCATCATTAATTTACATAGATTTTTTGGTAAGCTACATTAGCCACCCCAATCTTCCTATACTGAACCTTAACGGGGTCAATGTGGTTTTAAACTCTAGAATACCTTTAAGGAAAATGATTTTCATGACCGAAACTGAAGAGAAAATAGTGTTTTTATTTAAAAGAAAAGCATTAGGGAATATCTTTGTTTACAGCAGAACAGTGACTTGTGTTAAATATAGATAAAAACAATGCTGATCAAATATAAAACACACTTTTGAACTTTTAAAAAAACATAAAAAAGTAAAAGGTGTGGTCCCCCCCCCCACACACACACACATTTTATCGCTTTGGCAAAACAAGTGAACAATTTTCTTACAGTGTATGATCCACACAGCAAGATGCTTTGCAAATATTGCACAGTCCTTTTTATGTACAATAATGAACAATTTTGAATATATTTTGTATACAACGACTTTAAATAGAAAAGCCTCACCTGCTCTAAGACAATAAAGTGATTTAAGATTTAACTCTAACATAATTTTGCAAATCCACGTTTTTGGGAATTTCACACGGAGGGAGGTGAGCATTGATATTTGCAGCATTCATCAACACAGTGGCTTAGAAAAGTAGAATTCTGTACATGGAAACAAGACGTGGAGTCAAATGGGGTGCTTGGGAGGTGGTGGCGTAACAACATGCATGTAGAAAAATGTCTCCTTGGAAAACACTGCTCGGTTTTTTCAGGTGAAGATCAAAACTAATCCATCCGTTATGCAGAAATAGTCTCTATCATGATATTTTGTAGGACAATCACCAATTTTCTTGGTTCTTTCTTTGGTGATATCTTGTAAACGTGCTCATTACCAACACTAAAATTCCTCATGTATGTTTTAGACGTCCAGTGTCTTATTTGTGGTCGACTGAGTGGTCTAAACCATGAGGGTCGTCTCCCGACTCCCGCTAAGCTGATCGAGGCACAGTGGCCTCTGTAAGCAACACTTTCCCACCAGAATAAACCGGATGCAATCCGGATCGGGGTCATATCACAGAGGCCGAGTGTGGGACACCCTGGATGGTGACGGAGGTCGGAGTGCCACTGATGGCGTTGAAGATGTGAAGCGAGTCCGGGAGGACACTCTTCATGCCATCTTCCACAGGATTTATCTGTGAGGAAAGTTACATTTTAGACAAAGGCATATCTTATTTTTGTTCACAGAACAGACAAAATAAGAAAAAGCTCAAATTGGAAGTTAAAAACTTTGGGATTTTGCTCTAAACTAATAAAAATCACAAATTAATGAAGTTAATTCCACAGCTAATAATTTGTTACTCCATTGCTCTGATAACATGACCTGTAGATCCTGGTGAATTATGGAATAAAATATAAAAGCTAAACAAAACTTCCACCAAGACTTCCTCTTTTTTTTTTTGTTTTTTTTTTTTACACAAATTCCACTAAAAACTGCTCCCTGGGCCTTTTTTCAACACGTTTTTCTTCTCAATAACCATTCAAACAGAAAATCATAACATACATAAAATCAAACAAATAACACATACAAAAATGATAAAGGACAAGGCATTTATGCCCCAAACAACTAAATTAGATGTATTTAACATTAAATAAAATGCAAATACACACATCAACATACTTTACATGCAGTTTTCTGTAAAAACATGCTGTGTCAAACATACAAAATCCTTTAAAAATGATTGTTGATCAAGCCAGATGATGTTTTGCAAAGATTTAATATTGGGGTTTTAAAATGTACAATCTCTGTGAAGCCTTTATTGAAGGATAATAAACTTGTTTATGATCTGATTTGATAACGCCTCAGGGTAAAGAGGTGGATAACATAACTGCAGAAACTCCAGCTGGTTAAAAGGATTCAACTCATTTTCATCTGGCTGCACCAACAATTAACTCCATCTTTGTTTTGGTCAGATGCTTCTTGTATTACCATCAAATCTGCTCATGTCAGCACAAAGAAAAAACAAAGAATGATGTTATGGCAGGTTTCTGAGGCGGGTTAAGTGGCATTTTTGTCAGAGTGATTACAAAGATTTGAGCCTACCTGCTCGTGCATGATGATCGACAGCTCTCGGGTTAATTCTCTATAGTTGGCCTTCATCTCGTCGTGGTACTCCTGTTGGTCCTCCTTGATCATGCGCTCGTTGATGCCTAAGCCATGGCCACAAGCTTCCACAAAATGCCTGATTAAGAAAAACACAGGTGATTTATGTCACCCAACAGTTTTAAAGGTGTACCAGAAACAGTTTTTTTTAAATAAATGATACATTTATGATAGGTGGCCAAATACATCCCCATAATAAAGCCATAAGATGTAAAAACTGATGTCCTCCTGTGTTAAAGAGCAGGTTCACTGAAAAAAAAGTAATGATAATTTCTGATTATAATCAGTCACGCTGAGTTTTTCATGCAGGATGTGCAAGAAAATAGTCTCCTACACCCAAGGGCGTCAGTTTGTTTTCAGAATTGCTGGGGACAATAACCATACACTTGAGTGGGGTTTAAAAATTGCTGGGGACAATATAGGCTAGCACAGGGGTCGGCGGCTCTGTAGCCGCATGCAGCTCTTCCATCCATCTGATGCGGCTCTCTGTGCTTATAAAATAATGAATGGATATTTAAATAAAAAGCTTTATATTTTACTGCATTAATTTTACATCTGTATGCCAATTCTAAATGTAAAGATTTTCTGCGTAAACCTGAACAGTTCCAACCCAGTCTTACTGTGAGACCGGGTTGACGCGTCACGCTTGTGCGTAATCATATGCGCTTCCTGAGCTGGAGGATGTCAGATTCTGGGATTCTCCTCAGCTCCTGGATGCGTCGCCACATTGGAGACAGGAACAAGCACTATTCAGCCAAAGTTTCATAATCAGGGAACATTTTCTAAGTGACAAGTCTCTCTGAGAGACCGGGTTTGGAACACACTCGCTTCATGGGAGGAACCTTCTCACATGCGCTCTGGTTCTGAGAGCCTGGATTTGTATTCTGAACAGTCTAAACATGTTTTTAAAAGAAGCGTGTGACAAAAGTGGTACCTGCTCAGTAAAACCACCAACAAGGTGAAAAATATCAAAATATTGTAGGCAGAGACGGGCCACAACTTCTGGATCATCTTTATCGTTTTATTGATTATCTTCTTATGAAAGATAACTTTGACGTACACGAGCGACCAGGCGTGTTGCAAGATTTTCAAAAGTGTGGGAGATGTTGTCTGTGCCTAAAATAATTTGATGTTATTCACCTTGTTAGTTTAATTTCCATAATAGCGGAGCAGGTGCGAATTTTAGATGCATATCTCCGTTTGAAACATGTTTAAACTGTTCAGAATACAAATCCAGGCTCTGTCTCGTTAGATTGGTGTAACTAAAGTTTGTACTGAATGAAACTTTACATTAAACCATGTTGAAAAGAAAAGGATCCGATTAAATCATTTCCCCTCATTTACAGTCACGACGTACAGCGCAGTGCGCGTGGCTCTGGGGTTAATCAAGTTTAGTTGTTTCTCTTTGCAACAATCTTCACAAGAAGGCAAAACAGTTAAATGGTAGGTTACAGATATTTCCATTTGACTGTTTATTTTGATGGATAAACTCAAGGATGCTGGCTGTTTTGAAAGAATTACCCCGACGCACACTGATGCGCATGGATGAGCTTGGAAAAATGTTCTTTTTATGAAATTATTAAACTTTGGCTGAACAGCGCTTTTTCCCGTCTCTAATATGGAGACGCATGACGCATCCAGTCTGAGGCAGAATAGCAGCGCAGAAAGCTCCTGTAGAGACATTTGATTACGTACAAAGTTCATATGGAGCAGAAGCGGTCGGGCCACGGCAGGTGAAATGTTCCTAGCCTACATGAAGTGGAACTGTTTAATTGTAACATTAATATGTTACTGGACACGTTGGTCTGGTTGGTTAGACCAGTGTTGGAAGTGGAAACACACACACACACACACACACACACACACACACACACACACACACACACACACACACACACACACACACACACACACACACACACACACACACACACACACACACACACCAATTAAAATAATGCTGATAGCATGGACTAGAAGACAGGTGATGGTTTTATTTACATGATGATCAGGCTGCTGTAAAATGTAATCTCCATCCACATCCAGACAGAATGATCCTCTATTCTATTTGCTCTGTTCTTGTCTGGGCTGATGTAGCTGATGGTGCGCGCGGCGCGCCTAACGGCTGTGGTGCACATTTTACGCATTTGGAGAGGTGGGCTGGATGCTTTGCTTTTACTGGAAGATGGTCCACTTAACGCACGGGTGTAGACTACATATTAATGACAAATGAATGAAAATTAAATTGGGAGTTTTTACTTCATATTTTAGAAATAAAAAGGACGGGGGAACACATTTATGACGCCTTTTTAAACAACATTTTCTAGAGCGACCTGCCTGCTTCACTTAAGTCACTGCTTATTATGTCTGTCCAATATTACCGTGGCCCACCCAAAAATGAAAACCTGGCACCGCGCCTGTAACCTCTGCAAATTGTTGTTCTTCACTTTATCAAACTCAGACTTTGTACAGCTAATGTCAAGATGTAAAATTATGAATTCAGTCGAGCTCTTCCGTCCCTCCCTCTCCTGCTCTCCTGGAAACCCGACATCGGCTGTCAGAAGCGGAGTTGAAGAAGGAGATGAGGCAAACAGAGTGAGTGCGACATAGAGAAACCAGACAGGTGTGGAGGTGAGCAAAACAGCTGGAAAAGTGTGGGTGTTGAATCCCCCACGGGTGCGATGTCCATGCGAGCGACCGGTACCTGCTGCTGTCACCTGGTTGTGAGCAGCTCTCTGCTGTCTGAGGGTAGGCCCCGCCCACAACGCTGCGGCTGCTGCGGTGTTTTCTTTACTGTGGGAAACGGGTAATAATGGCTCTTTGATGGGAACAGATTGCCGACCCCTGGTATAAGATCTGAGCTGGTAAAACAAAAATCCTCATCAGCAGGCTTTTTTGGACACAGCTGCCAATCACAAATTTTGCCGGGGACATGTCCCCGGCGTCCCCGGTTAAAATGACGCCTATGCCTACACCTATCTCCTGTGTTAGCTTCTGATAGAAAATGAATGGTGAAAATATAGGATTTGAAAAGCCTGAAAGATCTACGTCCCATTGTCACTTAAAGCTGCAATCTGAGGGTTTCCCTTAGGAAACACTCTACCGCTAGGCCACTAAGAAGGTGAATAAATATGTGAATACACAACATAACATGAGCCTAATAATTGTAAAACAATGTGTTTTGTTGGCTAGAGGAGCGCATTCATGAATGAGAGGCGCTGCTTTCGGCCATAAATACGGAAATGAAACTAGGACATTGTGTGATAAGCTTGTCAGCCTCTGTGGTGCCATCAGATAAAAGAAAAAACATGGGCAGCTACTTTAACATTCATGGACTCACCCATCTTGACTCACGACGAGGAAGGCTGCTGTTAGTTCAGCGTCCAGCAAACAGCAGAGAACGGCTGTTAGAAGCTAACCATTAGCATTAGCAACTCCACCATGCAGCAGAACTCCTCCAGGCTTGTGTTATTTGTGGAGATGAGACATCAATGTCACAAAGCAAATAGAGTTTGTGTAGCATTACTGTTAGCCGATCAGGGGAGAGATGTCCAAATATCAGGAAATAAGACGAAATCCTGTCGTCTGAAGCTGCTTTCTCCTCCAGCTGACTTGTACTTCCTGAAACAGGCATCCGAGCACAGACGGGATGATCCCACTTCTAGTTTAGAAGTGGTGGGGACATATCCCTGGCTAAAATTCAAATATGGCTTGGGCTAGTGTTAGCTGTAGCTTGAGGTAGTGTTGTTCAGTGGTTAGCAGTACCATGACCAATGTTTATATATTGTGAATATTAACGTGGGTTGGGAAATACAAACTCATGGTGTGTTAAACCAGCTTTTCTCAAGATGAACCATTTGTCTGTGGCCATTTGAACATTACTAATGTACTAATTGGAAAGAAAAGCAGAGATGGCACAGACTTTTGGTACGATATTTGACACCCCAAGATGGCTATAGCCAACTACAACATGGTAAACACTGTTTTAAAATTTAGGACCGCTTTAAGAAACTTAAATCTCACCTGAAAACCTCTTTCAGCTGTTTGACCTTATTATCTGGGTACTTCTTGGCACATGTGTCATCCAGAAAAGCTCTGGCGTATGCAAGTGGTCCTGCATTCACCTACAAAAATAGGATTTCATTTAAATGTATTCAGTTTGTCAGATATAATAATAAAAATAATGCATTGAACTTATATAGCGCTTTTCAAGACACCCAAAGATGCTTTCACACACTCTCACATTCACACACTGCTAGTGATGGTAAGCTACTTGTAGCCACAGCCGCCCTGGGGAGGTCTGACAAGAGGCGAGGCTGCCATTTGGCGCCGTCGGCCCCTCTGACCACCACTAACACAGGCAGGTTGGGTGAAGTGTCTTGCCCAAGGACACAGCAGCAGGATACCCCTGGCGGGAGCTGGAATCGAACCCACGACCCTCCGATCATGAGGCAACCCGCTCTACCACCTGAGCTACTGCTGCCCCAAGATATGTGTGCATGTTTGGTAACGAGATCCAAAGCAGGCACCTGGACGCTGATGCTGCCTTGCAGTTTGAGCTGCAGACGGATCATGTCCACATCATTGGAGGAGCACAGCTGTTTGATTTCGGCCACTTTGTTGCTCATCTCGTCTATGGCCACCTCGATGGGGCTCAGATCGGTGTGGTGCTGGTACATCACTGCGATGCGTTTCTTCACATAGGGGAAACAGTGCGTGGCTGCAGAACAACAAAGGGACGGTTCAAAACCGTTCTTTATGACTCAGTTTCCACTTGTGCATCATCAGAAGGTCCCCGCCAAAAGATAAGAAGATATAGCTAAACCGTTGTCTACAGCTCCATAAACCGATAAATGTGTAAATATGATTGGGAAACTTCAACAAACAGCTGACATGTTCAAGTTCTAATCAACTTCTTCCATTTATGATCAGAAACTTTCTGCTAGGTTATGCCACGTGCTAAATTGGGTGGGAACTGCTTTGATGTGCTGCTAAAAGATTGCATTAGGAAGGAAATTATCTAATGTTTCCCTTTTAAGTTATATTTATAAAGCAGATGTTTAACACTAAGATTATTTGATCTATTCAATTTTTTGCTTTGGTACTAATATTTGATTCTTTTTCAGTAAAATCTTCAATTTTAGAAATACCTTAGATATTTTGTTTCTAGTGATTTAAAATTTTAAATATTTAGAAATTTTGATTAATTTTATGATTGTTTTTTCACATTAGTTTTTTATTTAAAACAAATTGATAAAATAAAAAAAATGTGTTCAACAGCAATATTTACCAATAGGTTTCTGCCACATTGAAAATCTCGTAGCTTAAAAACTGAACAAATAGTATAAAAGATGAACTTTGAAAAAAAGAGAACAAAAACTGTTGGGAAGTGAATTTCTAAAAACTGACAATCTTAAATATATCCTCATTGTTGAAGCTAATGCCAGATGTTAAATAAAGGGAAATAAAGTCCCTTACTGGTCAGTATAGTCCTGCGTTTGCACTGCTCCTCCACACCGCCTTGCTTCTTGCCGGATACTGTGAAAGGCATCTCAAACACAAATCGACGGATGTTGTGGCTTCTTTCAAAGTCCGTCTTCCTGTCAACCATCTCCTTCTCGTCCAGGTACGGAGTCACGTGCGTCACCTGTATGTATGCGTACTTAGAGTCCAGGTCTTTGGGATTTATCTAAAGATGACATAAATTCAATCATTAAAGGTCAACTTTACTTATATTTTTTAATACATTTGCAGTGGTCTCTAGTAGGAATGAATGCCTTGTAAGTCTTTTTCTGGAGAAAAAAAGCTCCAGTGTGCCTGTTTGAGAACGAAGAAGTAAGCTGGAGGAGAAAGTAGCTTCAGACAACATGATTTTGAGTTTTATTTCCTGATATTTGGACATCTTACCTCTGATTGGCTAACAGCAACACAACTGTACCACTGACTCTATTTGCCAGCAATATTTATGTTTTATTTCCACAAATAACACAAGCCCGAAGGAGTTCTGCAGTGTGGTGGAGTTGCTAATGCTAACAGTTAGCTTCTACTAGCTCAGATGTTCTCTGCTGTTTCCTGGACGCTAAACCAACAGCAGCCTTCTCCATCGTGAGTCAAGATGGGTGAGTCCATGAATGTTAAGTGACAGTGTGACGTAGTTCTGCAGGATTTTCAAATAACCATCTGTCTAATATCAGAAACTAATGCAGTAGATAGGTGTAGGAGACCATTTTCATGTTCAGCCTGCATGTTAAACTCAGACTGATCATTTTCTAAAATATTAAGAAAGATATAGTTTCTCAGTGACGCTGCTCTTTAAAAGTTAAATCAAACTAAAAGGCATCATATAAGGGCCCCACAAGGTCTTACCCGTCCTGAGTCCTGAATCATCTTGACGTTCTCCGGTCCAAACTTGTCAGAGTACAGCTTCAGGAGCCTCTGGGAGATCTCAGAGAGAGGGGTGAATTTTGGCTCCTTGTAAATGTACTCCTTACCATCTTCATCTTCAAAGAAGCCCTGATGAAGAGACCAATTCCCCCAAAAGTTAGCTTAAGTAAACACAAAACTGAGTCAGTCTAGGGAACACAACATCAAACCAAGCTACGGGCGAGCCGAGAGTGGGACACACTGCCTAGTTCTTAAAACAAAACCAAATTTGACTATAAAATCAGAGGCTAGCCACTAGAGAACAAATTAGCAGAGGTGTGACCAAGTCACTGCTTTGCAAGTCACAAGTAAGTCACAAGTCTTTCCAGTCAAGTCTCGAGTCAAGTCCAAGTCAAAGATAATCAAGTTCAAGTTGAGTTCAAAGTCAATGATGTGGAAGTCCAAGCCAAGTCCAGGGGCCTCATTGAGATCCATTCATTCAAGCTGGCTTACGCACAAAACGGGGTGGGAAAACTGTGTAAGCAACTTTCCACGCAAACTTTGGGATTTATGAAAGAAAACTTAGCGGAAAAATGTGTGCAACTTTAAGTTGACTAAGGACCTGGCGTACGCACATTTTGGACATGGAGAGCACCTGCAGTGCTGCTGCTGCGAAGGATAAAATTATGAAATCCAGCAGCATTATCACTTGTACCGCTTTGTGCGCACACAGAACAAGCCACCCCGCACTCACACACGCATGCGCACGCGCACACACACACACACACACACACACACACACACACACACACACACACACACACACACACACACACACACACACACACACACACACACACACACACACACACACACAGAGAGAGAGCCTGAAGTGCAGAATACGGAATGCAGAATATCAGCAGGGGGACAGATTGAGACAGAATGTCATGTGCCTGTGACAGTGTGTGTGTCCTGTCACTGTGACCGGATTGATCATGCGCCCTGGCTACTTGTACAGAGGAGATCTCTGTTTGGGTGACTGGTTAGCGCACATGAATTTCACCCGGGAGTCTGGGGATCGAATACCGATTGGATCATTTTCTTATATCCGCCACAGGTCTCTCTGAAGAACTCAGCATTGACGGCTTCAGCGACGCTGTGCCTCTCCATGGATTTTCTCTTATTTGTTTTGCAAAAGCACTTCCTTTCATTTCTCCACCTCACCCACAAGTACCTCAATTTCTGCTTGTGAAATAGCACTTCCTTGATCTGCGGTCGGGATCGAAATGCTGCAACAAGCCGGCTTATGTATATGCATGAGATCCACGAGGCACTTTGCATTGACTATTTATGGCAGTAAGTGGGCGTGGCGAGGGCGGGATGAGACTAAAATGCAGCTGAGAAACATTCTCGTTAGTCTCTGACTTAAGAAGCGGAGATTGCGTGCAGCTGTGCGTACTCCATGTTTGATAGATCACAAACCTACCTGGCATAAGTAAAAAAAATTTACTGAGCTTAAGTACAGTTTTAGTAAGGATTCTACGCAATGTTTAATAAATGAGACCCCAGGTCATTAACTTTGAATTTTCAAGTCATAATCAAGTCATCAGTCCAACTTCAATTTAATGACAATGATAATAAATCAATTCCAGAAATAAAACTTCTTAAAGCTTCATTTATTTGCTCAGACAAGCAGAAAGTGCACCTGAAACTGATTATAAACAAAGTGCTGCTGCATGTAGCGGTACAAGATCACACCCAGAAGGAAGAATGACTCATGATTTTTGTCCATGTCGGGCCACTTTTGTGCTAAAATATCAAATATGCTCAAGTCATCATCAAGTCAACAGATGCAAGTCGATTCAAGTTGCAAGTCATTGTTGTTCAAGTCCGAGTCAAGACGTAAGTCTTTATAAATTTTATCAAGTCAAGTCAGAAGTCCTTGGAGTCCAAGTCATGTGACTCGAGTCCACACCTCTGCAAAGTAGCATTAGTTTATTGTTATAATAAAGATCAAAATTCCTCCAAACAGAAAGGCGAAGCCAAGCGTGATTCTGTAAATGAACGGTTTAAGGGTTTCCTATCACTGGAGCAAATCTGAGGCTGAAGCACAGCAGGAGTTAAAAAGCTAAGAGAATAAAGCGCTGCAGACCACATTAGTAAAGGAGCACATCACAGCTTACAACACCACTGCAGACCCAACTAATTTACCTCAGCCTCTGAGTCAGTAAACTGGTACTGCTACAGGAGTGTGGAAAAAAGATCAAAAAACATTGTTATGTCATAACTACAAACACACACGATGACTCCTGTTTTTACTGGAAGGAGTGTAAGGAATATTATTTAACAAAAACAGCTGGAGGCTGACAATGAACTCATAAAAGAAGAAGGTATACACTGAAGCTTTACAGTCTGGTTTACTTTAAAGCAGATTCGGTGAAATGAAGTGAATGAGAGCCATGCAGCACGGCCCTTCAAACAGGAAGCGGTGACGTTTACTGATGGCTACCGGGTCATTCCATGTCAACAAAACTTGACGTTATACCACCTCAGCTTTTTGTTTATTTAAGTGAAAGGTGGTGAAAAAGTTACTTGAATATGTAGGATTTACTTTCAGATTTAAGGAAACAAATCTAAATTTGTACAAAAAATATAAACGACCAAGCAAAATGTGAAGTGACACAGAATGGTCCGAGCTGTGTTGGACGAGAGGATTAAAGCATCACCAACACCACCGCAGAGACTCGGGCAATCCAAAACAAAGCAAGCAGGGTGTCCTGCACGACTTACCGCTGCCTTCAAAGAGGATAAAAATAAAAAAGCAGAAAAGGCGTATTAAGGTCGGTCACAACCTGCTGCTGCATGCGGTCTCGTGCTCTTAAAAATATAAAACCCTGAGCTACTTTGGGAGAAAAATCCTCCTTGTCGTGCTTTTCTGTGAATTCAAGCTGCATTATTTAAAGTCACATTTAGAAACAGCACTCTAGTTTTTACAGGGGAACCTAATGGGTCGCCCTAGTGGACAGAATCTGTTACTGCAGCTTGACTCACCTGACCAAAGAAGGCCACTCTGAAGAAGGTTCCCAGCAGCCTCTTCCCTGTGTGTATGACCTCTGTCACCTTGCTGTATGCACGATGCAGCGTGTCATACAGGTGGGCCAGTTTCTGTAAAAATGAACACAAATTCTTTTAAGCCATGTCTGGATTCTTAAAGGGAAGAATCGTTCTAAATTAGTGAAACGTTTACCTCAAAGTCCCTGCGCTTCTCATAAATTGGGATTATGAGTTTGTAGATGTCAGAGATGAGCTCGTAGCGCTCTGCTTTCCATAGCCCATCTGCACATTCCTCCAGAAGCTCCATTAAAACATCCTGAGGGGACAACAAATGCCCAACATTAGGCACATTAGGTGTGAAAATACACAAAAATACTTATTTTGCAAAGTTGCACGATGTGCAGTACTACAGATCGCACCTCGTTGAAGTGGACGTCCTGCATCCCGACGTCCTCCATCATCGCTGCTTCCTCATCGATGTTTGGGGTCACAACTCGGAAGGCGGAGCAGCCCTGCTTGAACATGCCTGCACACAACAAGAAAGATCAGATCAAACGATTGTTGATTAGAACAATTAAAAAAACTTGCTGCATCAGATTAGTACAGCACCTTTTCTCCTGAGGTATTCGGCCACAAGCGCTGCAACGTGTATGTAGCACATGGCCGCCTGTAAACAAACAAGTCTGATCAGAACTGAAGAAAATGAACTGAAGGAGCTTCAACTGGGTCTGACGGCAGACCTCCGACAGGTCTCCGTTCTTCACGTGGATTCGGGCCATGCTGTCGAGCCAGGTCTTGCGTAGCTCGGGTGTGCTGGCGTAAGACTTGGCCAGGCTGTACTGCAGGTCCACCAGCATCTCCGGGTCTCTCTCGTGCTCCTTCATCTGAGCCGTGGCCATCAGAACCGTCCTGATGCGTTTGGTCAGGTCCTTGACGTCTGACGGGAAAGCTGTGTTCTGTTGATGAGGATGCAGTTATCCTAAAGTGTTTAATTCATCATGAGCGTGCAGGTTAAGCTTCTCACCTTGATGGTTCTATCACTGTTGGCACAGTTATTGATTATTGACAGAGACTGCTGGAAGCGGGTACTTCCAATACCGATCACATCAGCAATCAGCTGACTGACAGCAATCACCACCTGAAAACACATAAAAAATATGAGAATACTTTTCAATTTAACCCTGAGAAACAAATATGTGACACTTTTGTCTAAAATAAATGAAAATTGTCATGTGGAGATAAACATCTTGTTTTTATAGCTAAGGCTCATAATTGGTGAAGACAGAAGAACCACCTCACCTGTAGGTGTGTCCTAACAAAGGACTTCCGACCCGTGTAATCAAAATTGCTCTTCATGAGAAAATACAGCAGGTGGGCTGCGTCACTGCGGATGGAGCTCAGCTTGGAGTTGCAGCATTTCAGGATCTCGTAACAGAACGCAGCACACATATCTGCTCGTCCTTCGAAAAATGTGCACGGGAACTACAAAAAAGGGGGAAAAGAACCAGTTCTTAAACCAACACTAAAGAGTTTTTACAATTTGAAGCTACCGTCTTCAAACTGGTTTCAGTGGTTCTCGAGCCAGAAACTCTGTGTTCCTCCACTGACTAGAACCTGAACTGAAAGGTTTTGTAGTTGAGGTCGCGGGAACTCTCTACTTGCGTTATGGCAATAGCTGTTCACTGTGCCGGTAGCTCATATAAAGGCTAGCAGCTAGCTTTTTTTTTGTTTGCCAACCATCAATAAAAAGCACAAGAAGAAGTTTGCATTTTTGTTGGCATCATGGCAGAGCCTGGGGGTAAATGTCTTTGGAGGCGAAGCAAATAGTGAACATCGGTGCAGCCAACGCTAGTTTGAGGGAGCTAAAGGAGGTGTAGGGTTTGGTAAATTGAGTGCTTTAAGAGCTCAATAGATATTTTACCTCTACTTATGACCAATAAGCTGAGATACTCTATCTAACTATAGAATATCACCCAGCTTGGTCGTTATTGTGCTTTAATCAGAAGATTCTAGGATTCTTTCTTTATTAGGGGATTGTACACTCTTCGTTTTGATTCAGAAACAGTCAGGTTTATAAAAGTAAGAATTTACTTTACCAACAATTAAAACATGACAAATTCACTAAGCATTTACTGTGATGGATGGAGCTAGATGTGACGTATGAAACCTCTGTGTGAATGCGATGTTAGTCAGAACTTCCGTATCTCGGAGAGCTGCGTTCTGGATGTAAAAGAATTTGGTTTGCGTTAAGCTATGAAGTTGATTATTATCAAAAACCACATCAGATGCTATATGTGTGTCTACATTACTCATTTTCAGAGACCCTCTTGGTGGATCCGAAGGTCAGAGAGGTTGGATGACCTCTGGCACCGGAGGGCTGTGGAATACCACCAACCCTTCAGTCCAGAGATGTCTCGGGTCACGACAGACGGATGGAACCACACGTCTGAGAAACTTAAGGAGTCTAGCCAATGTCAGCTCGTTCTGCAGGAACCGTTTGCTTTATCAGCTTCGCAGGTGGAAAAAGGTTTTGACAACGTGTCAAAAGCTTTGGTGGTTAAAGAGGCGTGCTTTAGGTGGCCGGTCTGAAGCTTCTCAAGAATCACCAGAGAGATCCAGTTTTAATGTTCTCATGCTATGATTGTGTAGCCAACCAGAGGTTGACAAGTTTGAGGGATATTACCAAGAATCTCAGAAACACACGCCCTCTTTGACACCGGAGGCTGTATATCATTGAGCACAGATTAATTAAACATTTCATTATTCTATAATTATTATAAGTAGCAATAAGTAAATGTTCATTTAATGATTATTTAAATTTATTAGTTGTGGAAGTTCATCTTTAATTATAAAATCTTCTTTCTTCTGTGAAGCAACGAGACTTAGACAAGAAGGTGCTCTGTGAGGGAACTTGAGGAGAGAATGTTTATTGTTATGATTTCGTTATCTCTGTCAGAGCTGCAGGCTCTGAGTTCCAGCAGGTGGGATGAAGGCAGGCTGATTTAAAGGGAACACATGCAGTCTCGTGTCTCCTTTTTGACCAGATGTTGGATGGTCAAACAGTACCTAAAAACTGACCATTGCTGGATGTTACAGAGGCTACAAAATCATGGACTGATGGTGACCTGGCTTTGTTGCTTTTGGACTTGTAGGTATTTTTGTTCAACAGTGTGTATCTTTTTACTTCGTGGCTTATTTAGTATCAGTTGGATTGATGTTAGCATTAGCTTGTTATTGCTACAGTAGGCTGTGGCGGGGTCGCATGTGTCAGTTGTAATTCAACTTTCAACCAGTAGGAGGGAGAAGAGGAACACTTGTTTTGTGTTGCTTTAGGTTTTATTGTAATTTTGACAACTGAGAAGCCTTACCTTGTAGATAAAGGTGCGCAGTGAAGTGAAGACCTGCTTCAGAGCTGTTTCTGACTGATTGATGCGCAGGAAGCAGAGATGGACATCAAACACCTTTTTCATGAGGGGGCCGTGGCCGTGATCAGCGCATAGCTGTGTCTATGGAGAGGAAGGGCGTCAACTGGAACTCTGTGACTTTATAGGGGTGTAACTTCAAAATAAAATAATTTTTACCTTAAAACCCATGATGAAGATGCTGAGAGTGTCCAGGATTGTTAGACACACTTCAGTAGCAATGTTGGACTCCAGAAGTGACTGATTCAATACATCCGCATCCGAGTGGCTGTAGGCTGAACAGATACAACAAAATGCTGTAGCCAGTTCATGAGCACTCCTAATGTCATGTTAACTTTACCCACAGTGAGTTTTTCATTAAATCATGTCAAACTCTTCAGTGTTAAGGCAAAGCCGTTTGAAAGATATGACTTTCTTTTTATGCAGTTTCATTCCAAATAGAAGGCAAAGATGATTTGTTTACAAATTCAATGCAAATGAAACAACTAACTTTACTGCAACATGTGCACATTTTGTTTTTGACCATGTACTTGTGCATTCTGTAATATCTCACCGTTAAAACCAACCTTTAGTGATGAGTTGTTATTTCTTTCCATCATTTTTCTAATCTGTATCGATAAAATGACCTGCTTACTCACCAGTGCACCAATGTTGTTTGACTAATTTAGAAAGTTAGACTCTCTTCGTTTTGGAATGAAACTCAGTTGCATTTTACATGAATTTCTTTCACAAAATAAAATCCAGAGCAGATGAGCTGAGGGACAGGAAGCTTTAGAAAGCCAATGTTCAGTTAAAAATATGCATGCTATATCTTTTTCCAAACAGATGAACAAAGCGAGCAGCAAACATCCTGACAACCTGACACATTCTTACCATGCTCTACAGATATTCCAAGTATACTTGAAATCTTTCTTACACTGAAAACACAAAGAAACTGTATTAAACGATGCCATTTAACAAAAATAAACACCTGGCTTACTTCTAAAATACTCTAGGCCCCATTTTTTTAAAACGTTTTCTCAAAGATTTCTGCTGGATTTGCAGAGGATGAGGAAGGAGATGACGTAAGGCATGAGGAGTCAGACTACTCTAGGTGACGAAGAGGAGGTTTTTCTGATGTCTGATGACAGCTAGTAGATGGAGACACTTACTGTAGTTAAAAGTGTATGAGTTATCCAGGCTGCTGAGCTGCTGTAAGCGGGCATGCATCATTCCCGCCCTGTTACGGGACACAGGCAGAGTCTGAGACTTCCGCTCATGTGCTACAGGTCCTGCCCCATCCTGGTTCCTGATGAGGAAACAGGATAATGTTAGACGAGAGCACCGGAGACTGGCCGAGTTAGCTTAGCAGGTAACCATAGAAGATGCCCCCTTTTACACAGAGAGGTGCAAATTGCTGGAAGTTCGAGAAAATGCGCAAATCACACGAGAGTGTGTGATATTTTGAAGGGGAATGTGTTTGGCATGCTGAAGGGGTAGTCTGGGTCTTTTTCAGTGGGTGTTTGTTGGAAAATGTATAAAAAAGCTTTTTGAACTAATTCAGTTTGGAGAAATTGAGAATACGAGTTTTGAGTTGATTGGCCCCACTGTGGCTCGCCTTTAATAGCTTCTCACTCTGTTCAGATCTAACATTTATTTCTCCAAACTGAGGTTGTTGAAAGAGCTTTTTATGACAGGTACGATGCTCATTGTTCATCAGTTTTCCTCGTAGTCCCACTTTGAAAAGGCAGAGCCTTCATTTTAAGGTACGGGTGAATGGAGCATGAAGCTAAAGTCATGCACGCTGAGAAAAAGAAAAGTGGTCAGTTTGAAAAATTAAAAACCCAAAACAGCACTGCACGGTCCATAAGACAAGAAAACGCCATGCAGTTAGTCTGCCAGTTCCACCTTTGGGCTTACCCAAGCAGGAGAGGGCAGGAGCCTGGGTTTATTAAGTTAAACTTGCCGGCATTTGAGTGATTAGAGATAGAAACAGTGATGGGAGGTTAGAGAGAATGAATGCCTCAAAAAAATCTTTATACTTATTGCATTTCACTAAAAACAAGTCCACAAATACTCATGGAATGGCTAAAACTGCCATTTTTATTTCAGAAATAATATGTTGTCTTCTCATAATCACCGTTGATCATTTTTATCAACATTACCTTGCGATATATCTTTTCCCCATGTATCTAAACTGGTGGAGGCACACCCTGAAATAGGAGACCAAAGTCAGTCATCACACATGTTGAGAAGTATTTATTGTAACACCAAAGCGTTCAACAGCAATAATAAAAGCTCTTACTCAATCAAAGTGAAAAACTCCATCAACTCGGCAGACGAGGCTTTGTTCCAGTAGGTGAACAGAGCATCTATCGAAGACAAAGACGCCAAAGAGGTTATTGTTATTTTTTTAAATTATTTTTCATTAAATTGCAAAAGCAGCTCAGTATTTACCCTCAGACATGCTCTTGAGGATGTGTAGGAAACACATGAGGAGGCTCTTAATCTCTGCCTGGTCCAGTTTATCACAGCGTAGCAGGGTGCTTCCCAGCATGGAGGCAGGCTGGCTCTGGTTGGTCACAAACAGACGGATATTAATCACAACACAGGCAAGTGAGGGGAGTTTGGTTGTGTTCTGGCTGAGTCTCGATTTTAATAAACCACTTCTGGTTCAGTAACAGCCAGCAGATCTTAGTTTGGTTTTGGGCGTGTGCATTTGGCCTCAGAACTGGCACAGGACTCCTGCCCACATAAATAAAACTAAAAAGGGCTAAGATCCAGAACTGGTTTGATTTTAGCATCTCGTGTGCTTGAGGGATTTTTGAGTCGTCATTCAAACCCAACTTGAACTGAGGTATTTCTCTTGGGCTGAATTATCTTGAGGCCTCAACCAGTATGGCTACCTAAAGAGCTGGTTCACCACAGGAATTCTCCAGAAGCCAACAATCTAACCTTGATGATTGCCACTGAAACAGATGTTTTATGACTTGTGATTTATTTGTCAGATTTAAAGATCTGGGATGAAGTTGTCAGGATGGAGTAATAGACTTGTTCTAGCAGACGTTGCTCGCCTCTCTCTGTTCGTGTGTGTGTGTGTGTGTGTGTGTGTGTGTGTGTGTGTGTGTGCATGTGTGTGATGGAAAACGTGACTTTAAACAACAAACACCATTTCTAAGACTGAGAGAAGAAAAAAAAAAGCCGCTCTACCACAGCGAGGGGTTTGGAAATTTACCAAGCATGCATCTTTTGCCAGGACTTAAGTCTAGACCATGAAACTGTCTGGGGATGACTTCATGGAAAGCATGAGATGGTTTCTCCTAAAGGGTGTTTTGGGGAGAATATCTAGGTTAAAGTTAATGTTCCTGTAAAGATGGAGTTATTATGGTTTGGTGTCCTCTGTTCATTATGTCTGAAACACACAAATATATAAAAAATACACACACACAAAAAAGGAGAATAACTACAAGAAAGTCAGATTAAATGACCAGAAGGGATGTTGTTTTCAACACTTAGACATAGGCTGTTTATGAGAAAGTGAAAAATTCCCTCTAAATTTGCACGTTTGTCAACATCTTGAGTCATTAGTGAGGGCCATTAGAATCACGGGCCAGTTTTCGAAAACAAGAACAAACTGAAAAATTGAAAAAAGCTCAGAGTTTCAGAAAGTAGGACATGCCAACGCACACAGGAACATTCCCTGATGGGACACTCCGAGGAAGTGTGGAGGTGTTTTGTACTTGAAGCGGAACAGGCTGCAGGACAATCTCTGGGACACAGGGGACAGCAAGCAATGAGAAATCCACGGTGAGGCGTTTGGAGCATGAGGGGACCATGCTGTCCTTAGCCTCCACTAAGAAGCAGGGAACAGAGTGTCTCCGTGCAAATGTATTCGTCTGCCGCGGTTTCCGTTTGACGATTGCAGGAAGTTAAAGTGAACAATTAACAAAATGAACTTTCTGTGACTTTTTAGCTATTATCTGGGAACTTGGAACCATTACAGGGAGATTAAATCAGATTAAAATCTCTTTAGAGATTACCTTATCCAGAGAACTGCCTTTGTCAGTGTTCCTCTCAGGCAGGCTGTTCCCAGAATCAGTGCTGATCAGTGAACCGCGAGAGTCGGCGTGGCGCACAGAGTTAACGTTGGGGGTGGACGCTGCATGAGGTGAAGCTGTGGACGAGATTAATCAGGCTTTTTAACACCTATTTGTCAAAGAAATGACTATTTTGTTCCACTCATTTGATCACCCACTAGTGCCCGAGATGGCCCCAAAAACATCTTTGTGCAAGCTGGTGTCCAGGAATGTGCTGGACCTGGGTGGGGTCATCAAGGTGTTGCTCTGGAGAGGATCTTCTCTTCCGTTCTGATGGGTAAAAAGACACAAAAACAAAATGAAAAATCATTTAAAAGCAGTTTATTCTCACAAAATCTAAAGTTTTAGCTATGGAATAGTAATCACAGACCATAGATCAAGATCTTTAGTCTTAAAATCCAAAAAGAAAGTGCAGTTTGATCCAAAAATTTGATTTACTTGCTGTATTCTTGAGCTTTTCTTTCATTTAATTATTAAAAAATTGTTGATTTTAGAAGCCTAAATTAAAATTTCTTAACACCTTATGTATAACTGTGACTTAATTTACTTGCAATGCAGATAATTTGTTTGTAGATTAGTCATTTTTACATTTATCCTTTATTTTTTTGCTGTACAGGTTTGTTAATTTAGTAGATATTTAAACACAAGATTTCTGTGAAGATTTATTGTTTCTAAATTTTCAGATACGAGTAAAACCGGAGGAAATGGGAGCATCTAGCTTAAGGTTTACTCATTTTGATCTATGCTTCAGTTGATAGTTTTTGTATTTATGTCTAAAATATTTAAAACTTTTTGGCACTTTTGGAGCCAATTTGTCATCTTTTGGTTTTGCTTCTTGTGTTCATCGTAACCTTCTCTTTGTAATATGGTGAAAAAGTCATTTTACACAGATATAAGTTCAGATTTGTGAAAATAAGACAAAATGTGTTTTGCGAACAAGTCTTTTTAGAATAAGGGTTAGAGTTCTCTTTGTGAGAATAAAAAATGAAAAACTTAAAGCCCATCAGCAGCCACTAGGTGGCGGTCTTACATTATTGGAGTGGTTGATGGGGAATGGAGAAACCTCCTTCACATTGAGCCTGTTGACGTTCTCTTGAAGCAGACCAAACAAGGGAAAGTACAAGGTGGACAGCCTGGCCTGCTGGCTCTGAAACAATAAAAGTAGGTTTAACTCATAAATACGATTACACACACACACACACACACACACACACACACACACACACACACACACACACACACACACACACACACACACACACACACACACACACACACACACACACACAAACACACACACACACACAAGTGGCAAAAGAAAAAGAACTGCGCATACCTTGGTGGTGTAGCGATCATCGAAAGTGTGTTTAACCATGAGGTTCTTCAGCACCTGGATGGCGATCTGACGAATCTCTCTGAACTCCTGCAGAGCAGCGCTGACCTCCCTGAGCAACAGTCCGACCAGGAAGTGGTTCCTGCAGAAGTCCTCGGTCAAGGAGTAATCCATTTGGAGGTCTGAGGAGAAGAGAGGACATCATTAGTGAAGGAAGAAACTAAATGGAAGAATGTGAAACCACAATCAGCCCCAAACAATGAGAATAAGTACTTGATTTGATGCTAGCCTAATGAACTATTGCAAAGGAAATGCAGAAATACCCAAACACAGACACAAAAGCAAACTTATACCTCAGAGTTGGGCTGATTTCCACAGTGAAAAAGTACACCAACAGTGTAGAAAGACAAACAAGATAAAAGCAGGCAGTGGTAGCTGTTCACATCTCAGATGAGCAAAGCAATCTCAGATCCACACACACACCCTCTCAACAATTTGGTTCTACTTAAATTTTTTTTAAAACCTGCAATTTAAACATGCAAGCTTAAAAACATGTTTTTTTCTGAGAAGAGTCCCTTTTATCACTCATCAAGGACCTCAGCGATGAATGATCACATTTAGATGTGCAGGCAGCACTCCTTGCACCTACCTACTGGAGTATCATAAGACTCCACAGTATCACATGGAGATAACACAGCTAATTGAGAAAAACAAAACACAAAGAAAAATGTTTTCTATAATAAAATAGTTGAAATAAATAAATGAATTCCATACAGATATATAATCAGCTCCTTGAAATAAAGAATAAAAGACACGTTACAAACTCGGCACAGTACTGCTTTCTTTTCACTTTACAAATCTTTTGGATTCAAAAGTCTTTCGATTGTGCCAGAAAACTACAAATCTGCCAGTAAGTTGTATGAATTTGTTATCTCACCTTGAAATCTCAATATTCTCCCCTTCCCAAAAGGCATGGGCAGGTTTAGGGGCACGTAGTGCTCGTGGTTGCACACAACACGCAGGAACTCAAACTTAAACTCAAACAGAGTCTGGAACAAAGAAAACCAGAAAAGCCCCCATCTTTACTAAAGTTTTCATTTAAATTAGGTGTTATTTGTATTTCTATGGGGGCGGTTTTTAGTGCCGTACCTTTGGATCTCCAGGCATAAAGCAGCTGATATAGTTGTTGATCTGCTTGAGCACAAAGCCCCGGTCCATCAGGTTAAAGCAGCGCTGCAGGACGTAGAAGTAAAGCTGTTTCTGTTATTATTTATGCAAACCAGAGACACAGCAGTGAGGCAGCACAGAGGGTAAATGTGGGTTTGACCTTGATGAAGACCGCCAGGCTGTGGTTGGCGTTTCGAGCAGCATCCAAGTTGTCCTTGTACTTCTGAGTGATGTGTGGCATCATCATGTTGACCAGAGTCTCCACAGTGTGATGGAAAGAAGCTGAGAAGCGCTGATTTCTGGACAGCTGAGGGACAAAGATGGTTGTTGTTTTAAACGCTACAGAGGTCTGACCAGCAGCTCAGTTTTCACACCAACGACCAACAAAGTTAGAATTTTGTTACAGATTTTACTATATTTTACAAAGATGCTCTTCAGAAACTTTAAGAAGCAATCACGACACACAGTCATTATTATGTAAATAAAAAATTAAACACAACTGATGCACGTACATTTATCTGGATTGTTAACATTCCTCCTGAGTGGAATAAAATAAAATGGCATTTTCAAGATCCCCATTTCAGCATTTAAGATTATATTTATAATGTTTTTAAAAAACTCAGCTCAGTTGACTTCATAGGGTTTTATTTTTATATGACACAAGAACTTTTATATGTAAAATATTTACCAGAATGAGGAATAATGTTAGTTTTTATTTTATTTGGATGTGTTCTTAAAACTATGCAGCATAGATAAAAAAAAGTTGCATTATAAAGTTGATTCTTCAGCGTGATATATTGGAGATGTGGCGTAAAAGCGTGTGAGGAGGGTCAAATGAGTGAGTCTCACGCTCAATGCATGTGGGTTGGCAGCCCTGCTACCTCCTGAGTTACTACTGCATTAGCTCGGACTAGCATTAGCTCAGACTAGCGTTAACGGTAGCTCAGTCTAGGATTAGCTGTAGCTCAGAAGAGTGTTAACTCATTCACTGCCAATGATGACTAAAGTTGTCATTTTAAATCCAAACGTTCACTTTTGTCATTGGCAGTGAACTCATGCTCTAAAGCAGATCTTCATCCACATATGTCACACGTCACGTGATCAGGAAGCAGAAAATCCTTGTGTTAGGACACATGTGTCAGACACTGGTCCGTGGAACATTTTTATGTGGCCCGCGAGATAAATATAAAAAATATATTAAAACTGACCTGCTGGCCTATTTTACCTCAAATACTACAATTCCCATGATGCTTTGTGGCATTAGCGCAAAGCCAAAGCGCCCCCTCCTTTGTGTTTTTTCCAGCGTCTGCTACCGTGTCTGCAGCTCAACTGTCTCGGACAAACTAAGCACTCCTCTCACTCAGCGCCGAGTTTACTCAGTTATTTGCCGACATTGAAGCCCAGAAACGGAGATTTTAACCGCTCAGTAATGTGTTCAGGACTGAAAGAGAAAGTTTTCCAACTAACTTCCAGACAGAGCTGATACTCCAGCGAGCAGCGACACGCTCAAATCAGCATGACTCTGTGGCTGCTGTAGTTTTTATTTTTCCTCCCCGACACACAATAACGTGGTCAAGCTACTCAGACGCTCTCCATGCTCACCAGCACAAACCTATGTGAGCACCTGTTGTCATCTAATGTTGTCATTATTATGATGAAGATGAACAAAACAACAGGAGTCTCCTCCTCAGCTGAGAGCCCAACTCCATGATGCAGGTATCTGGCTGGAACAGGTGAGCATCACAGTAAATCAGTGGAGCAAACTGAGCTTTAAATATTTTGGTTTTATGCTCTTTTTCTGCTCCAAAATATGAAAGTTAACAGGTGAGATATTGCATTTTCATTTAAGATAAAATAATATTTTTATTTTGTTGTTGGCCCGTGAGAAAATATTTAACCTACAGTAAAACAGGAAGTGGAAAGGCTGCAGACAGATGAATAGAATAGAAAATCCCTTTATTGTTCCTCAGTGGGGAAAGCTAGATGTCACAGCAGCGATGACATTTATTACAGGAGAAAAGAAGGAGAACAAAAAATAAGAAAAGTGAATAAACAACAAGAAAACATAAATCCAGAATAGATTTTAAAAATGCTGAATATACAAGTAATGAATACCACTGATGCGTTTTATTTAAAATTGACTTGCTCGTGTGTAATTTGGTTATTCCCCATTTAGTGTTAATGCAAAAATAATTTTTTTTTTCCAAATTAAAAGGTTCAAAATTGCATATATGTTGATAAAAGAAAATGTGCTAATTTGCCGTCACTTTTTCAAAAAATATTAAGTTTTAAGTTTAGCCCGCGACTTCGTCCCAGATTGTCATTTCGGCCCAGTGTGAATTTGAGTTTGACACCCCTGTGTTAGGAGATAGATTTGGGCCGCTGCTGTAAAAAAGTGAGGCGCGAACCGGAAAAGCTTCTGCCGATCACAACGGATTATGAAAGAACGGATACAGCTCGAAACGCGCGGATTCTTCCTGATGTAAGAGGTGAGTCTCCTCTTTGTTTTGGTTGTTTTGGCGTCGACATCATCCTAGCGCACAACGTTTTGTGACTCTTAAAAAACAGTAAAAACAGTGAGAAACGCTGGCAGCGAAGGGCTTTACCGATCAGGAAACGGCTGGTAGCGAATGAGTTAACAGTAGCTTGGACTAGCATTAACCAGTAGCTCGGTCTTGCATTAGCAGTAGCTAGCGTTAACAGTAGCACAGGCTAGCATTGTTCAGTGGCTAGCATTACCACGACCAGCATTTATATGAAGTGGGTTGGGAAATGTTAATTTAAGGTGGTTTGTCTAAGCTTATGACGTGTTTAACCAGCTTTTTTTTAGCTAACCGTTTGTGACCATTACAACATTACTAAAGGACAAAAAAACAGGTGGGAGATGGCACAGACTGTTTAGTATGCTAAAGTAGACAGCCCAAGCTGACTTTATTCAACGACTAAGTAAATATAATTCTAATTCTAACACCTCTTTAGGGATTGCTTTTGCCTACAAGACTTAGCATGTTGTAGCAAAGAAAACAGGATGAAAGAGGTCTCAGTATAGCAGGAGTGTTGCAGCAAACTCACCCTCACTTTGCAGCTTTCAATCAAGTACTGAGCCATGGACTTGACTAAGGCTTCAAAGAAATACCAGGAGTACTGCAGGGCAGAAACATGCATCACAAAACTATAGAGCAAGCCTTTTGTTGAATATATTTACACAATGTGTAATCTTTTGTAAAAGGAAAACAAATGTTACTTTGAGCAGCTTGTTACTCGTCAGGAAGTCAGTGGACGGTTTCAGGATGGCAGTCATGGCTTTTGCCAACTCTTCATGTATTGTTCGAGTAGTTGAGGATGTGTATGGTTCAGTCTTAAATACAAACTGTCGTTTAAAAACAGATATGTCAGTTCTCTGGCACAAAAAAAAACAAATACAATTTTGGTGAAACATAAAAACACGAGGAATGTGGATTTCACCTTCACGTAAGAGCGAAGGTAGTGTTCCAAACCTTCCTCGTGGCACTGGGCGACGATGTGAATCATGACTCTAATGGAGGAAAATGTAAGAAGAGCTTTTTTTTTCTGCAAACAAATTCTGCCCAGTTACAAAAATAATCATGAACTCATGGGATTGCATGAATCGTCAGGTGTTCACCCTTCAAAAAGTCACACCTGGTCACATTTACTGCTACATCCTCTTGTGTGTTACTGGTCAGGACCCTGAACAGCTGATTGAGTATGGTTGGTAGGAACTTGATCATCACATGACCCTCCATGGCATGCAGACTCTGAGTAGAAGAACAAAGAATCAAATCAAATCAAGTTAAATTAGACGAGTACTAAAATGCATAAGAATAATCAGAGAAAAATGTATTAATAATAAGTGAAAAACAGTAAAATACACTCCAACAAGTGGAAATGTGAAGTTTAGGTACCAGATTGTACACAGGAAGCTACCACAAGCCTTCCAAGTCATTAAGAGAGCCTCCACCTTCCACTGCTGACCTCTGGCTATTGTTCACTGCTGTGTTTACACTGAAACCCACTGGACCAGATGTTGCTTTCAGCAATAAACCGAGGCTATCGTGAGCTGATAGTGAGCAGTAGAGAAAAATGCAAGACCCAAAGCTATAAAAGTAGAGAAATATCTATGCAGCCCAGCTATAGACCTGTGCAAATTTACAGGCATTAACTTGACCTCTGAAATTAAATAAATTCAAAGTGGAAAGTAAAGAAAAATAAAATAAAGTTTACATTATAAGTATGTGCAGCTGGCTAGAGAAAAAGCAGTGCAAATAACATATCCATTCCATCTGTTTCAAGGCAAGTCTGGTTTGGCAGATTGTGGTTTTATGGTGCAACTATCAATGAAAAAAATGTCACACCTTACTTTTTCAGATGTGGTTATAGCCTAATTTTATTCCCAATAATCCTTTTTTGCATCCAGATAGGATATTCAGTTGCAAAAATAAGTCCTGAAATCGGTGTATCAACATTTTATGGGTTGATGAGACCAAATTCAGCATTTAAAGTTTATTTTATGCATTATTACCAGTAATGTTTGTCTCCAAACTTTAAAATTATTCTTTTGTTGAAGCGCTTTACCTTCAGGTATTTGACCAGCTCTCCTCCTGACACCTGGCCTGCTGATGCAGTGCTCTGACAGTGATGGAAGAAATTGTGCAAATGTTGATCCTGAAATACAAAGAAAAGTTAATATTGTGCTGCAGATGGGAAAGATACCGTAAATCCTCTAATACAGGCCGGCATTCCATTAAAGGCCGGGTCTCCAATTTTGGCCGGTGTCGGAGTCAGCAGAGGTAAATAATGGCCGGTCTCTTATTGTGGCCAGGTGGAATGTGGTAACAAGCGAGTATGAGAGTCCCAGCGGCAAGATTATAGTCCCCAAATCAACCAGCAGGTGGCAATAGAGGTTCACACAGACCTTTATTAGGCTTTTTCTTCAATGCTTTGTAACGCTACAGACACGATCCTCTATCACGCTCCTACCACACAGAGTCATGGTGTCAGTTAACCATGCTAATTCAACCCGCTCCACAGAACACACATCACCTTCCCTGTGGCTTACATAACACTCACACAACACTCAAATCAACACATAGGAACTAGCAGAACGATAGGAAACACATATAACACAATACCCAGAATGCACCTGGCTTACAACCCCAGCCAGGTCATTACACTATCAAGTTCAAAGAGAACGTGCTGATTATGCTGCAGAACACTCTGGAGAGCAGCAGTAGGGGGTGTATGAACTAGTCAACTATAGTGACTTTTTATGCCTGTCGTCGACTAGTCGCTGTCACGTGATAATGACCGGCAAGATGCAGCCCTCGGAAAAGACAGCAGCCTGCTGTCAGCAGGTGACAAGCTCCTGCGCTCGGGGGGTGGGTGGGGTGGGGTGGGGGGTGGGGGGGGGCAACGCGCTGTGCCAGACCGTAGGTACTGACACGCGATCGTTCATGTTAGTTCATTTCCTTTAATGTTTTCTGTCTTTTATTTGTGCCTGATGCGTTTCGCTGCATGCTGTGGAGCGGGGCGCTGCGCGCATCACCTTGTCCTCCGACGCACTGATCACTGATACGGCTGCCAAACAGCGAGCGCTCCGCTGTTTTTGCGGTCGGTAGATCTTTTAGAACTGCAGTTCAAAGGTAACTCATAAGGTGAATATATATGAACCCAGGTAGCAGTTTTTCTTTAGGATTGAGAGGAGATGCAGGAAGATAATAAACAGACAGGACAGAAAAATAGTCAAATAAAAACAAGTTAGTTTTTGTACCTGGTGGTTGCAACAAACAGACACCATTGAAGGTAATCAGAAGTGAGGAACAGAAAATGAAATAATTATTTTAATGTTTAGAGCAGCAGGAACTCCGAGAGGCTGCAGGCGCATCAGTGAGTTTGCGGCCGCTGCGCAGGGGGAGGGGGGAGAGGGCTGAAGCAGGGGGAGGGGGGAGATGGCTGAAGCAGAAACTACCGTTGTTAAAAGAAATGTGTTTAACTTTGAAAATGTGGGCGCAATTTTAATTGTCAAAAACTCCAGTGAACCATTAGTTCATTTTGCTCAAATAGAAATAGAGGCCTGCCTCTAATACTGGCCCTCCTTCCAATAAAGGCCTGGAGCTTGATGAGCTTGAGTCAAATACAGGCCCGGGCCTGTATTAGAGGATTTACGGTAATAACGTTGCGGAGATGATATGAAACAGATTTTGGTTTTGGACCCCACAAAAATACAAATAAAATAATGTTCAACAAGAAAATTCAAAATGAAAAAAAATTTTGCTGGGATGAGAATCAGCTCTTCTAAATCCGAGACCATGGTCTTGAGTCGGAAAAGGGTAGAATGCCTCCTCCGGGTCAGGGATGAGGCCCTTCCCCAAACTGAGGAGTTTAAGTATCTCGGGGTCCTGTTCATGAGTGAGGGAAAGATGGCGTGAGGTTGATAGGCAGATTGGTGCTGCGTCTGCAGCGGCACGGGCATTGTACCGATCTGTTGTGGTGAAGACAGATTTGAGCTGGAAAACGAAGCTTTCGATTTACCGGTCGATCTACGTTCTTACCCTCACCTACGGTCACAAACTTTGGGTAGTGATCCAAAGAATGACATCGCGGATACAAGTGCCTGAAGTTAGTTTTTTCCGCTGGGTGGCTGGGCTCTCCCTTAGAGATGGGATGAGAGAAGTGGAGGGGCTCGGAGTAGACCCGCTGCTCCTCCACATCGAGAGGAGCCAGTTGAGGTGGCTTGGGTATCTGGCTAGGGTGCCTCCTAAATGCCTGCTAAACACCTCTCAGGTGAGGTTTTCTGGGCATTTCTAACTGGGAGGAGACCCAAGGCAAGATGCAGGACACGCCGGAGGGACTATGTTTCTCATCTGGTCAGGAGACACCTTGGGAGTCCCTCGGAGGAGCTGGCCCAAGTGGCTGGGGAGAGGCAAGCCTGGGCCTCTCTGCTTCGGCTGCTGCCCCATGACCCAACCCTGGATAAGCGAATAAAAATAGATGGATGGATGGATGGAAAAAGAGATTTGGTTTTGGACCAACCTGAGTGTACACAGTGGACACTAGGTGAGTGGACACCTTAAATAATGGTTTTCCTCCATCGACCCATTTGACTTCAGGAACCAAATGCTGCAACATGACAAAATAAAACAACACTTGTTATTTTGAAAGTACTGACACAGAAATAATGTATTATCCAATAATAAAGTGTTGAACTATGTGGAGATGAAGTAAAACTAATGAATTAAACAGCAGGAGGATGGCTCCACCTTGCTGGCTCCCTCCTGACAGCTCAGGTATCCAGTGGGCAGGTTTGAAGCCACGGGGACGTGACTCTCGTTCATGATCACACGCCCGTCTTTCAGCAATGGGAGCCAGGCGTAACCAACTGGGAGCAGAAAACAGAGTTATTCTCATGTCAATGAGTTGATTTGATTTGAGGATTAAAAGCCATTTTTGTACCTTGCGTCTCCACCATGTCTCTCTTCTTGGTGCTGGCCTTGCTGTTGCTCTCACAGCTCACGTGATAGAAGGTGAAGAGCAGGTGATGCTTCTCGTGGAGCTGTGTCGGCAACTCAATCTTAAACTAAATCATAAAAGCACGAGTAGTTTAGCAACAAAGACACATTAGATGAATCTTCCAAGTATTTATCGTACTTCATCGTAGAATTCGGGGTTGTGCTGGTGATGTAACACTGAGGTAAAGGCAGTTTTGGTAAACAAGGGTCCTCCAGGTCGCCCGTAGATGCACTGAAGAACAACAAACAAACAAAAAGGCATAAAATTCTGTGTGTGATGACAGAAAATTCTCTGAAGATTTCCTGGATAATTTACCTTAAGGGAAACAGCCTCTTCGTCATCTGAGTCCTTGAACTCAACACAGACAGCTAGATTTCTAGCCTGAGGATGAATAAAAAGGGAGCAAAGTCTCAAAGTCCTTAAATGCATCAGCAAAAACTCTGCACGGTAAGTGATGGCGTTACCTTTGCAAACGACTTCTGGCCATCGTATTTCAAGTGCTTGGGGTAAACGTAGAGGTGATTGTTGTAAATGGTAAAAGGCTGAGAACATTTGGCGATGCACGGCACAAACTCTTCCACTTCGAAAAAGATGTTGCTCCTCTCGTTGACATCAAACTGCTTCACGGGGATGTAGGAGGAGGTGACACAATCTGCATAAAGAAACAGAAGAGAGAACACATAAAGAGCCCACACACAACTGGATCAGTCCAGATCTGAGCGGGAGCGGATTTCTTCTCTTACTCGTCAAGTCGGGGGCGACGCTGTCGATGGTGACATCAAGGTTTCCTAAAATTACGGGCAGCTTGGCCATCTTCTCTGGTCTGGGAAAATCAGATTCAGCTCAATTAAATTTAACAAAAACTAAATTAGAAACAGGCTGGTAGTTTAAAAATTCAACCAGGGGTAAATGAGTGCTTAAACAGATGTTTCCCCAGACATTTTCCATCCTGAACATCTGCAGCACAACTTGGCGTTTTCGCAGCATTAAGGCATTACTAACTTTCTGAAATCAGCCAGGAGTTTGAGCATGTCTTCGTTGGACAGTTTGTTGCTGTCCTGTCTGTACAGCGCTGAGAAGCGAGCACATTTGTCAAGAGTTCCTGAAGCGTCTTTGAACAAAGATCTGCCAAAAAAAGCAACACAGAATAAATAAAGTTTTTATATAGTTTTCAAAAAGATTAAAACACTGTATTTTTGATCCATTCTAACATGTCAATGTCACTAATACTGCAAAAGCTCCTCATAGACGACTACATATAAAGTACATTATTAAATTAGATGAAAACGGATAGATTACAGATAGACTTTCATGACTAGGACAACAGATGATCAAAACTACTTAGACAGCGTTATTTAAAAATAACAGAAATGCAAACTTTTAATGTATTTGAATAATATTAACAATGTCTTAATACTGATAATAGTTGCTAATAGTTCCAAATGTTATTCAAACAATTCTTTAAAAGAAGATGATGGAGAAAAAAAGGAGAAGATGATGAAGAAAAAAAAGGAGAAGATGATGAAGAAGAGTTTTTATAGTGCCTTTGAAGACAAATAAGACAAGCACAATAAAGCACATTAAAACATAAAATCTTTAAATCTGCTCCCGCTCAGACCAGACTGATCAGATGCGTAAAGATGGTAGGAAATTCCTTTTTAATGAGCTCAGGATGTGCTGGAGAGGGAGCAGTGGCCCCAGCACAGAACCTTGTGGGACTCCATGGAAGTGGGAGGTGTAGGACTGAAACTCCAAATGGCCACAGTTATATTACACGCTGGGTTTTAGGTGGGGTAGACCACTACATCAGTCGACAGATATATCAGGGCTGATATTTACTGCTTTTTATACATCGGTATCAGCCAATATTTGTCCTTCGTAAAACCGATTTAAAGTCAGGCACATCCTCAGGCAGCCCGGTGCTGTTGCAGAATATCATTAAGATGTATAATAAATACTCTAAAGTAACTTTATTTAAGTGTCTAACTTTAATACTGAGCATTACACACAGTTAAGATTTAACAGTTAGTTAAATTCAGACTTAGAAAACTGATTCAGCTTCATAAACTTTGTGCATCGACTAATGTTATTAGTGACACTTTATAATGAAAATAAAGTGTAAAATATCTAGATATGGATAGCGGCCATGTAAATCAGCCCATAAAAATCAGCAGCACATGTTGGCCATTGGCTGACTATGACGCCAACATATTGGCAATAGAAAAACCAACATCGGTCAACCTCCAGTTACAGCTGCAAATAAAAAAAAAAATAAAAAAAGATTTGTCATGATTGATTGATTAGTCTTTATTTCAAGTATGTTAAAGAAAAATGCAATTATTTATTGTTGACGTGTACTTTTGTCTTCAGTTCTGATGCAGCTTGTGATTTTTCATCATCATTGAAAGCTAAAATGAAACCAGACAGAACTTACAGTTAAATTTAATTATACAGAGGAGATAAATTACCTTGCAGCCCAGGCAAAGGGCATCCTGTACTGACCCAATCGATTACATGCCAGTTTGGCATTTTTCAGAACCTTCTGTGCCATCTAGTGGAAAACAGAAACACACACACATACACACACCAGCCTTGTTATTGTTCTGGGGAAATATTTAGTGTGCTGCCAATCCCAACACAGGTACACACTCAAGTGAAAATAATCCCGCTCCTAAGAGAAACACAATAACCCACCACACACCCTTCGGGGAGCAGATCTATATGTGCAGCCAAAGTCAGCACTGCTGTTGTTTTGGATTATTGTTGTATATTTTTGAGTGAGGAGATTTTTATGTGAGGGGGATTGTTGCTGAGGATAATCTCTACCTTCGTGGAGTCTGAACTCTTCATGTACGGCTCGGCGCAGTGGTTGATTCCTCCTTGGAGCACCTTCTCAATGCGAGCCACCAGGAAGATGTCAGGGTGGGGACACGTCACTGAGAACACTCCCTGTATTTGGAACCAAAATGTTAATCTGAGCAGCAATGTTTACAACGCGTTGCTGTTTTTGTCTTCACCTGTCTGGGGTACTGCAGGGCTGCCTCCGACACCTCGTGAATAAACCGCTGGCCAGCGGGACGGCCGTCGGCCCCTCCGTTCATGTGCTGGCTGGTGTTACTAGGTACCATGCCTCTGACAGATGGGTGGTTCAAGTCTACTTGGAAGTCTGAGGAGATTTTTCTGCCATTTTGGATGTCAAACAGCGACAAGGTGACATAGAATGGCTCCACCTGGAGAACAAAACAATTCTAACTTAGAGTGACACCAGGACACTTAATTATGACTTTTATACATTCAGTTAATAGAAAAGAGGACACCATAGAGAAATGCAATGTTCATTACATAGAATTTAAGCTTGTACTATCATCACAACTATATCCAGGATGTAGATGACATAACAATATGTATTACATTTTTTCCCTAGAGATTTTTATTTATTTATTTATTTAGGAAGAGGGGCAATACATATTAATGAACATTTCAATAAATGTAAATATGCCAGATTATAGCCTTGGGCTAATTTCCATCTGCAGACCCTCCGGCAGGTTGATGTTAGACACAAAGTAGTGTAAACATACAGAGATAGTATTTACAAGTCATGTGACAGAGACAAAAACAGTCATCCCATTATACTAACACAAACAAATGTCAAAGAAAGATGTTTGATATTGGCTTTATTTTTTTCACCAATTTACTGACATAGTCAAACTCTTTAATTCCAATACCGATATGAACCAGTAAGAATATATGCCGGGTCGCCCTTATGAAAAAGGAAAACTAATTTTAGAGAACTGACATCAATCACATATCTCCTATCCTGCATACCTGACATTTAAACATTACCTGTGCTAAATATTACTACTTTAATTTAAGTTGGGTCAGTTGGGGCAAACAAAGACAAAAAACTCAAAAATTAAACCTCAGATCTGTAATATTTTGGCATTTTGAGTGAGACGATAAGAAGCTGAAGAGTTTGATGCATAAAGTGTGCGTTGTATGTAAATGTTGTCATCAAAAGAGTAAAAAAACCCAATAATTATAATTTCTATTATTTTTGTCATGCCAATATTGGCCAATTATATCAGACAGCCCTAGTTTTACACTTTTAAGCCTTCAACAACAAATGCATTGTTTTACATGCAATTTGTTGTACCTCTACCTCTTTAACTGGATTAGCACATTCATCAAAAACAACAGTTTCAAATCCTGCTTGTATCTTCTGCCATCTTGTGAAATGTTAAAAGTACTGCAGGTGGCAAAAACAAATTTTATTGAATTATTTTATTGTTAAATTTAGTCGGATATGAAAGGTTGGCCAGCCTTGTTAATCCTCATGCTTTGCCTGTATAAATCATTGGTTGATACGATAAGAAATTTCAGTTAAATACATCATATAGGAGACACACACAGTGATATTTGGGAAGTGAGACGAAGTTTATAGGATTTACTCAATAACAAAAATAGGCAGGTGCATAAATTTAGGCACCACAAAAAAGAAATGAACTCCGTATTTAGAAGATCCTCCTATAGCTTCCAATGAGAGTCTGGATTCTGATAGAAGGTGTTTTGGACCGTTTCTGAGCATGGACAGCTCTCTTCAACTCACTCCACAGATTTTCAATAATATTCAGGTATGGGGACTGGGATGGCCATTCCAGAATGTTCTACTTGTTCCTCTGCATGAATGCCTTAGATGTTGAGCAGTGTTTAGGGTCGTTGTCTTGTTGAAAGAACCAGCCCCGGTGCAGCTTCAGTTTGTCACTGATTCCTGGACATTGGTCTCCAGAATCTGAGTGGAATCCATGCATCCCTCAACTTCAACAAGATTCCCAGTCCCTGCACTGGCCACACAGCCCCACAGCACAATGGAACCACCACCATATTTTACTGTAGGTAGCAGGTGTTTTTCTAGGAATGTTGTGTTCTTTTTCCTCCATGCCCCTCGTGATGCCCAAGTTAGTTGCATCAGTCCACATCACCTTGTTACAAAATGAAGCTGGCTTGTCCAAATGAGCCTCAAGCAGCTGTTAGTGTTGTGGGTGGAGAAAAGGCTTCCTCTGCATCACTCTCACGTGCAGCATCTCCTTGTGTAAAGTGCGCTGAAGAGTTGAACGATGCACGGTGACTCCATCTGCAGCAAGATGGTGTTGTAGGTCTTTGGTGCTGGTCTGTGGGTTGACACTGACTCTTCTCACCATTCACTTCTGCTTATCTGAGATTTTTCTTGTTCTGCCACATTGAGCCTAAACTTGAACTGTGCCTGTGGTCATCCATTTCCTCGATATGTTCTTAACAGAGACAGCTGTAATCTCTGAGACAGCTTTCCGTATCCTTCCCCTGAACCATGATGGTGAACAATCTTTGTTCTCAGTCCATGTGGGAGTTGTTTTGAGACCTCCATGTTGCTACTCTTCAGAGAACATTCAAAGAGGAGGGAACCTTATAATGTTTTTAATTTTAAAAGGTAACCAATGATAGTTTATTAAGACATTTTGCTCCGTATTAAAATTAAGAAGATCGCAATGTAAGAGCACTGGTTTAGTAAGTCTGTTTCTGATGCTTGTGAATTTAAGCTGAAGTCTTTTTATCTGACACACACACACACACACACGCACACGCACACGCACACACACACACACACGCACACGCACACGCACACACACACACACACACACACACACACACAGTAACATAAAGATTTATAGGGAAAAAATTAGACAGAGAACTGGTGTCAAAAACAGAAATGAACTTGGATGCAGGATGTTTAACTGGGTCCTACTTATGCAAAGAACTCCTTATTAGAAAGTTATTAGAAGTGACAGCAGACTTCATTACACAGATTGTTTCTGCATCCTGAGTCAGCAGGCGGGTTGCCATGCCAACAGGAGTACCTCAGCATCTCATCCGACCACTGTAACAAACCATCTCCTTCACCTTCAGCCAGGTGATATCTGCTTATTTTAGAAGCTGTTTTCAGAAACAGCCTTACATTTGTCGTCGGCCCTTCCTCGTTCTCGGCGACGCAGCTCTGCAGGTTAAACGAGAGGTCGTTGCAGTTCACCAGAACACGCTTCCCAAACTTCTCCTCGAACTGCTTCACGTCTGGCTCAATTCCTGAGAAGTCAAGTCTCTGAAAACAACACACAGGAAAGGTTTTACATTTAATCTGTAAGAATTACACTGTAAAAAAAACATTTTCTTTTAAATGTTGTCTTTAGTTACTTGAGTGTCTGGATCCAGAGTGAACAGCTTCAGTCTGGTCTCGTTCCTCATCCTGGACTCGATGTCTCTCGTGCTCTATTGTGGAAGAAAGTCACTTATTATATCAAACCGCAAACTGTTGGAACATTTTCACCTTCAGTTGGTTTTATCATTAAGTTCATTTTCTGACATAAGCACCCAACTGGAAGCCAGGGTTCATATTTCACAGATTGCTGAGCAGACATTCTCGGTGGGACTCAAGCTGTGCCAACATTCATCTCACTGGAGCATAATGGTAACAACAACTACGAGTTTTGTCTCCATCAACAGACAAGATGATTTCATACTAACAAGTGGTCTACCAGCATCAGGAGCTTTTGGCCATTTTACTGGTTAAAACTTTAAATTATTGACAAATATATCTTGGTGCAACACGTCAAGAACAGACCTAAATTTATATTGCGTGTTTAACTGTAATAAATGTATAAATCATTCAGTGGCACAGGGCCAAAACAAACGTTTATCAGCTGAAAGCAGTCAGCTGGTAGAGCTCTGGGTCAGAACTAAACAGGGTGAAGATGCTTTTAGCTCCTATAGCTGCATTTCCAGTATAGGAGTTCGGGGAATTTTCTGAGAGGGGGGAAGTAAGCAGGAGATACGCTAGTTCAGCTCTCAGCCATACAATCCCCACACAAAACTGGTGCTGTCAGGGGAAAAAAAAATCACCAGTCCACCTCTGCCCACAAGTCCCGTCCAGCAACTCGAGCAAGCCATTTCAGGTACTCCATTAGTCCCTGAAATGGCCCAGAACGTGGCCCTTTCAGGCCGACCGGTGAAACGGAGACAAGCGGGTACCGCAAAGGTCTGGTGAAATTACTCAGAGGTTCTGATTGTGGAAACAAGCCAAATGCAGCACACAGATGGAATCAGCTTCCTTATTACCTCAAAAGTGCCCCCAAAATCCGATGTTTTTATCTGCCTTTTATTTATTTCTACTGCAGACTCTGCTATAAACCATTTTACCTTGGTCCTTACAGTCCTCAAAAGTGTACAGAACTTTTGCATTTTCTCAGTTTATTATTGTATCTTCCTGTATCATGGTAATGTATTTGTAATTTTTTATTGCTAGCAAATTATTTTAACTAATTTCTGCCAGCCTTTTACCTCGTACTGAATATTTTAAGCTAAATCATGTTTGCTGCATCTCTCAAGGTCCAGCATTTAATTAGCCGTTTTCTCCTTCAGACCAAAGCTCACAAAACACTCAGAAAGGAACAACTATGAGAAGTCGTAATCCAACAAATTAATCAGTGCTAATTGTGTGGTTAATCCTTGAACTTAAATTGAAGCCACATGTTTGTCTCCTTCTTAATCACCACAAACGTGGTTTTGAGTGAATTCACAAGTGTCAAACCAGACCTACCTGAAAGCTGTCAAGGCTGCCAGAAGAACCATCTGACTTCCCAAGATCATCATCTGTTTAGAAAACCACGAGTCACAATGGATGCAGAAAATCCCACAAGTTTCTATAAACCCCCCTTCACCGTGTTGAGACAGTAAACAGTAACTCAACTATGCAGGAATCAGTAAAGATTCAGACAGAGATACTAGGAGGTCTTATTTTAGGAAAGCTCTCAGATATTTTTAAGCTGGGTGCTTTTTGTTCCACTCATAAGGAGGATAATTAATAAAAGCTGAAGAGTTAAAACGATTACTGGAGCGTTTTACACTGAGGCGATCAGTCTCTCCTCCAAGGCTAAGCCTCCTAAGAGACCGGAGGTGAGCATTAAGAGTCTGGGTGGTCGGGTTTTACATCTCCAGCATGTTCAGAGCTGAACGAAGCAGAAAAGAGTTGATGGTGTTAAAACCTAAACTCCATGCACTTTTCCAGGATAAATGACTACATGTAATACCTGGACGTACAAATTTAGTCCAGAGCTTTACAGACAAACTGATCATTAAACATTTTCATGCATAATAAAATGACAATTAAGTTACCTAATGGTTTGAAAAGTGTTTTTTCTAAAGATAATATGAGTAATTATTATAAGATAAACAGGTAATACTTTAATATAAAGGCCCCTGTGTTAACATTACTTAGCACATTATTAAGCATTAATAAACTATTCAACTATTCAATTAATCATTAACATCTGCTTAACTATATTACGTAATGTAAGCACACACCCACTGCCCTTTGCCCTACCTTAAGGACACTTAATAGTTAACAATAACAGTGACGTTAATAAAGAGACCCTCTGTTTATTAATGCTTAATAATGCACTTAGTAACTTTTTTTTTACCGTGTCCTGTCTGGCTGTGAAGCAAACAGAATTAATGTCTAAATGCTGGTGACAAGCCTTACAGATTAACCCTCAGGTGGAACATCAAAGCGTCTGCTTTTAATGTCACGCCTGATACTTAAAACTTTACTGTTGTTGTTTTTTGAATGCTAGTAATTCCAACTGGACACGGAGACAGGTGAAAGAGAAAGGGGGGGGGGAGGGGGATGGGGGCCCCCACAAAAATTAACAATCAATGATGAACAATAGTTTGCTTCTAGACCTGCAGAATGAGAGAGAGAAAAAAGGGACGCACAGCAATACAACAGGAGCAAGCTATCACTGCGTCAACCTGATGAGGAAATATAAAATCAACATTATTTTACTGAACAATCACAATAATGAATCACAGTGCATTAAGTGCCAACCACAGCCGACATGTGTTGACCATGCCCAAGTCCATATTTATGAGAGCACCATGTGAGCACCTGTGTGCGTACCTGCGCTCCTATATGTAAGGTTTCTCTATAGGAGCGTCCAATGGAGAGTGTGAGGGGCCACAGATCTGTCCCCCAAAGATGCGTAGGAGATGGAAGGAGCTCCAAGTCTCAGAGATTCAGGAGCTGCCCCAGAGCGCAGGGAACCCAGGGAGACGGCGACCAGAAAAGCCCCTGCCCCCCTCGAGAGGCACAGAGGATTGCCCTGGGGGCCACAACCAGAAGCCGGCAGAGTCTCAGGGATATCAGCGGCAAGCCCACAGGCCCGCCCGTAGCCTCCCACCCCTAAGCCGGCCGAGCCCGGAACCCAGCGACCCGGGACCCAGGGGCGACCACCCCCGCTGGGGAACCAACAGAGCCCAGGGACCCAGATCCCACCAGGCAGCCACCGGGATTAATCAAGCAGATGCTAAAAATCTTAAACCTCCTGACCCGGGAGCCGCAAACACTCAGGCAGACCAAGGCACCACACTCCACACGAAGTGTGACAGGGGGAGGGGAGGCGAAGATGTATAGCAGCAAAAGAAGTCCCAGGAGAGGTGAGGAGTCAAAGGCCCCACCTGACATAAACAGTAATACACAGACACAGTCACACACTCCCTCCCTCATGCTCACACATGCACATACAGCCTAAGACTCACAAAAATGTACGCCAGACACCCACTCATACTCCCCATACACACCCTATTCACTGTGGTCCCGGTACTGTTGCACAAAAGACAAGCCAACCCCTGTACATCCCTGAGTTTTGAAGAAATTCTCCGCCAAAACAACAGAGGGCGCGTTCTTATGCAGGTGTGCATACTCTTGTAGTGACGTGTCTGCCCTACTACTATTTACTATTTACGACGCAAAAAGATGGACGATGAGCTGGTTCGTTGTTTGGCACCACTCCTACGGCACCAGGGAACACATTCCATGCCGATTTATGCTGCACAGAGCCTTACCGTTGCCCTGCGGGTTTTAGCTTCTGGTGCGCCCCAACAGGCAGTCGGTGCGAGCTATAAAATGGGTTCCGGAAATGACGCTGGGTTGTTTGGCTGACCAATAACAGACATCCAGCATACAACGCTGCCGTCGGATGTTTAGAAAATAGAGCTCGACTCCATCCGACGTTTCATCACTATCCAACACTGTTGGATCGCCCATACGACGTTGCATCATGGCGATCCAACAGATCCGACATGCTGGAGCAGTGTCAGTATGAATCAAAAGGATCCCTCTGTTTATTAATGCTTAATAATGCACTAAGAAACATTAATAAAGGCACTCTTTGTTTATTAATGCTTAATGCACTTAGCAACATTAATAAAGGGACCCTTTGTTTATTAATGCTTAATAATGCACTAAGTAACATTAATCAAGAGACCCTTGTATTGTAAAGTGTTAACAATAAACAAAACAGAATATAAACATTTGTAGATTTTCTAAGATATTAACCTGAAATAATTACTCAGTTAAACAGATTATTTGGTACCAATCTGCTGAAAAATAATAAAATACACACAAACAAACAAATGCACACCATCATGAGCGTCCCCGTTTCTCTTCTCCTGCATTGCAATCTCAAAGCTGCTATGCAGGATCTTGTTGAGTGTGTTGATCCAGTCGTCCATCTCTGATTCGCTGTCGGAAGCCAGCAGGTAGGTGCTCTTATCCTGCATCTTCAGCTCAAACGCAAACCGCCGAACTTTGTTATTCTGCAAAAACACGACATGGAGGAAACAAGAGAAAGTGTTTTTCTTTAAAGACTAAGTCACCACCTGACCAGAAAAGACAGAAAGAACTTTTTGTAACCTAGAAAAAGGAATTGGCTTGGATCGGATTCAGAAAGACTCAACAGTTTTTTAAAAATATTTTAAAACTAAATATCCAACTCTAAACAACACAGGGCAAAAGGAATGTTTATTTCCTGCCTTAAATTAAACGTTTAACAACTGTCTATTTGAAACACAGGAGACATTTGGTTTTACGCTTTCAGTATCCTATAAATACAAAACATAAGCAGCAAAAGTACATTTGAGCAGAGTTGCTTTTGGAGAAATGTGAGCAGCAGATTTCATTTAGCATTAAATACAAACAAACAGCAATGAAACAAGTTTGGGAGGAACAGTGTAACTTTTGTGTGGCTGCAGCAGGAACTTTGTGTGCAGAAGATGAGGAGTATCAACGATAAAGCATGACCTCAATAAGCCGTAAAAAATGATGTCACCGCCCATTTGAGATTTTTCTAATGTTCCTCTGTTTTAGCTCAATCCAAACAAGTCCAGGCTGAATCAGCTGCAGTTTACCTGTAATACAGCAACTCTACAGAAATCTTTGTAAAGTAGAGTTAAGCATCTAGAAGGTAATACAGCTGCATGAGTCCATTTTGCATTTATCTTGGCATCTTTACAGAGTGCAGGAGGCTCAGTATGAAGTCACCTCGCATGCCATTCCAGCTGCAACGTAAACATCTGCAGCACAGCTCATGAAGCAGGAGTTTAGGTCATATTAAGAGCCGCTGTAGAGTGACATAAGTGAGATTTTACAGTTAAGAAACACAATGCGCCTTTCATAAACGAGGCCTGTAAGTCGGACCTTTTTTAATTGAATTAAAATGTGGTGTGTAGGTAAGAATATTAGGGGGAAATCACGTTAAAAGTGCTTGAATATGATAGATAAATGAAAACATATCCATACTGACCCCCATATGATTGGTTCAATGTAAAATCATACAAAACAAAAACAACTTTATATAATATTACACCAAATATGGAACCCAAATGATAAAATGTCAACTAAAAATGTTAAAGAAATAAGATACAAACATTCAAATGTGTAATAAGGAATTCTGTTGGGAAACTTAAATCTCTATCAGTCAATTAATATGAAAGACATTTAATTTTAATTTAATCGGATTAAATAAATAATAAAAAATAAAATATAATTGAATAAAAATGCATTAATTTCAATCATTAAATATATAAAAATAATAAAAATATAACTTAAGAAATATATATGTTTTTTTCATTTTAGAAAGTTGTATTGTTAAAAATTGTATTAAATAAAAAATTATATATATATTTAATTGTTAAAATAAAATCTGAGGGAAGAAAGAAATCCCATTAAAGAATGACAGGTAAAAATATATATATATATATATTGACACTCAAACACTTAAATACAATTTATGTATTGTACAATTTATACACCAACATGCCAGTGTGGTCTGCCTTTTAAAGTCTGATACCTATACTGGTCCCCCCCCCCCCCCCCCCCCCCTCATAAAACAAAAATAGAAACTCAATCATTTTAGGTAACGTCACTTATCTCCTATCTTGCATATTATAAACATTATCTGAGCAAAATATTAGAACTACTTCAATTTAAGTATGGCAAATATCCCAAACAAAAAAATCTCAAACTAAACCTCGGATTGGTCGTAATTGACATTCTGAGAGAGAGGAGAAGTATCTGGAAAGTTTGATGTAAGATGTGCATGCATATGTAAAAGTTGTGTCACCGAGAGTAAAAACAACTACTGATCATTTCCAATTTTACATAAAAATGCAAATATTGGCCGATAATTTCAGACATCCCTACTTTTGAGTTAAGTCTACATCATTTAGTTCTACGTATTTCAAAATAGGTCAAATATCTGATTTGGCCAAAAAGATGAGAAATAATCAAACCTAATAGATGGTAGACACCATTAATCACGCTGATAAATGAAACCCTCTTCTCCATAGTGACCTGATCACCCTGATTCATGCTAGCTGACTTCCTCACAGGTAAAAACCAGGTTGCTTCCATCTGTTGAGATGATGGACAGACGGTGGAGCATTTAGTGGTTATAGTTTGCTGATCAGCATATGGTATCGATTCCAAGGCCCCAGGAAAGTGCTCTGAAGTGAAGACCTCAGCGTTCACCTTGCCTCAGTGGCTGAACATCAGCAGAAAAACACGACCTTGAAGGGGAGGAGGCTCAGGTTTCATGGAAGCAAAGACACTTTTCAGCAGCGGTCCACAGCTAAGTGCTACTTGTTTTGACATTTTATTATTGCTCGTGTTTTATCACCATATGATGAGAAACACAGCGACGGAGACAACAATTTCACAGAGGAAGCTGCTTTGTACATATTGTTGGACTGTTCCTGGAAAAACGGCAATTTAATCATCATCAGGGACCGGCTACATCATTAGAGAGCACGGCGCCAGCGTAGACATCCTGTTTGGCAAAACATGTGCAGGGTCATTCGCTTTAACAATCACCGCCTTCGTGGAGGCGATGGCTTAAGCAGATCGGAGCGTACCTGAACCACGCCCATACAGGAATCCAGGAAAATGGTTCCTTTGGGCTCCTTGGAGATCTTCTCATCCTTGTAGAAGTTCAGATTGAACGAACCGTCTCCGAGCTGCGTCAGGTGAAAATACCTCCTCTTGAATGACTAAAACGAAGAAGAGAAAAGATGAATGTGAAGAAATAGCAAACAATTAATTGGTCAGTATTTTCTAGATTGTTATTTTAAAGATAATCAGTAATTAATATACTCAGTATGATTGGTTTATTCCTTATAATAAACATAATTAACTTAACAAAAGAATTCTGCACTTTTAAGCTTCAAAAACCCAAAAATTGTCATAATGATGAAACTAGCATGTTACGATGCGGTTTCCTAGATATGATCAAATCTGGAGATAAAAGAAAAAAAGGAGCATGTGCTCGCCAACTGTACTGCTACAGGCAGGAGCCCAGAAAAGCTTTTAGTGTGTTTTATTCCTGTTATCTCACCCTCATGGTGACGCTGATGGCACTGTTCATGTTCCCTTTGTACAGCCAGCCATGTTTGGAAATCCCACCTTTCTGGGATCCTAAGGAGGCGGTGTCCTTCAGGAGAAATTGGCACAAGATCAGGAAATATCTCAATATTTTTTCCCTTTAGCTTCGGCTTTGTTTCGTTTAGTTCATTCAATCAATCAAATAAAAGTTACATTAAAACAATTCATATTCACAAATAATCATAAATGAAAAGGAGCAGAAAGAAGCAAAAACTTATAATATCTGCCCCTTTTCACATCAAAACATTAGCTGTTCAACTTAAAAGAATTTCGTTCATCTAACCCCCACCCCAACACAAAACAAGTCAATAAGCCTACTTAAGGTCTTATTACTTTATCATGATACGTTTCACTTTTTTTTTTAAATACAGAAAATGATTTAGATTGTTTTATTTCACTGTTGAGTCTATTCCATAAATAGACACCTTTAACTGAGATACATCTTTCCATTATTGCTGTTCGGGATCTTGTTTTTTTTTTTTTTAATCAGTTCCTTTTAGATTATTACTTTTTCAAAATAATTTGTAAAGCCCTGGAAAAAAGATTAGAGAAGGTAACCCCCTTCATAATACACCCTGACCAAACGGGTTTCATCAAGGGTAGACAGTCATCCACTAACTCATGTAGATTACTTAATTTGATAGATTTCTCTTACAGTAGAAACATAGAAACTAGTAAATTATCTCTAGGCAGAAAAGGCTTTTGATAGAGTTAACTGGAGGTTCTTATTTGTAACTTTACATAAGTTTGGGTTTGGAAACTTCTTCATAAACATGCTACAAACATTATACAGTTCACCAACTGCACGTGTCAGGGCGAACAACCAAATATCAGCTAGCTTCTGTCTTCAGAGGGGGACCAGGCAGGGATGCCCACTCTCCCCCTCACTGTTTGCTCTCTTTATTGAACGACTAGCGGCAGCAATTAGGCAAACAACAGGTATTAAAGGGATAAAGTGTGAGAAAATAGAACATAAGATTAGTCTTTATGCAGATGATGTTTTACTTTTTCTCCGGAATTCTCAATCCTCTCTCTCATTCAATAGAACTGATAAACTCTTTTTCAAAAGTTTCAGATTACTCTATAAAATGGTTAAAATCAACAGTTCTACCAATTAATTTCTATTTTGTCAATTTACTTAATACACAATTGGAGTCAGGGAATATCACATACCTGGGAATTAATGTCTCTCCCAAGTTGTCAGATCTAACCAAACTAAACTACATCCCACTTTTAAATAAAGTAGAAGATGATCTTGCAAGATGGAAATCCTTACCGATATCACTCATGGGGAGAGTTGCTACAATTAAAATGATGGTCTTACCCAGAAGAAATTACTTATTTTCAATGATCCCAAACAAACCACCAGCTGACTGGTTTAAATCTCTGGACTCCTCAATTACCAAATTCCTTTGGCAGGATAAACCTCCACGAATTAGCTTAAAAATGCTTCAGAAGACCAAAGACAGAGGAGGACTAGACCTACCCAACTTTTATTATTATTTCTTAGCCAACAGGCTGCAATATATACCAAGATGGTTGCAGGATAACCCACTAGATGAGTCTTGGTTAGATATAGAACAGACACTTTGCAATACGATAGAGCTTTCAGACTTACCATTTATTAGCTCAAGCATAAGAAAACATGAAGGCTTCAAAAGTATTAGTATCAGCACTTCTCTGACAGCATGGTGGGAGTATCTAAAAATGACAGAGTCTTCACTAGTTCCATGCAGATGCACATCTATCTGGCATAATCCTGATATTTTGCAAAATAATGAAATGATGAACCTTCCGGACTGGAAAAATAAAGGAATCCTACACCTGGAACACATATATGAAGGATTGGACTTCATCCCATTTAATAGAATAGTCTCCCAATTTGGAATAGATAAGAATAGCTTTTTAGAATATCACCAAATTAAATCTGTAGTCAAACAAAAATTTAAGCTCAATAAAATAGAATTACAAACACCACCAAGGGTATTAGACTTCTATAATCTCAAACCCCCCAAACTACTGTCTAAAGTATATAAGACACTGTCCAAAATAGGCGATAGAATGGCAATCCCTATTGAAAAATGGGAGGTGGATCTATCAGTCAGCTTTGACCAGAACTTCTGGTCCCAAACTTGTTTAAAAACTTTTAAAATGATCAGACACTCCAATTTACAATTAATTCAGTACAAAATTCTACACAGAGTACACTATATAGGTCATCGGATGTCCAAGATGGGGTTTGTGTCATCTGACACCTGTACACACTGCACAAACAACGTTCCTGACAATTACATTCATGCACTGTGGTCCTGTCCACCTGTCCAGGAATTTTGGGGTAGAATGTGTGAAGACCTGTCAAAGTGTCTGAAATGTCATATCCCAACCACCCCCTCTCTTTGTTTACTGGGAAACCTGGACGATGTCCCGAATGAAACATCTTTGGTTCACGTGGTTCTGACTGCCATATGCATCGCTAAGAAAACTATCCTCTTGAATTGGAAAAATAGAGAAACTCTCTGCATTAACCAGTATAGAAATCTTTTGTTAGATCATATTACACTTGGTTTAGCCTCTGCTTCGACTTCAAATCAATCTCTCTGGGCTCCTTTGATTGGTTCCATCACATAGCGATGATGGGGGATCATTGATATTGTCCTGCAGGATGGTGTGGGTGGGGGGTCTGAGTTTGGAGTATCCGGATGTTCCCTGGAGGTGGGTTCACTGGGGGTGTCTGGGACTGGGGGGCTGTTGCCCCCCACTGGAGGTGCTTGGGTTGCCTCGGGGGGTGGACTACTGGCGGTTGTGAGTGGGGCTCCTTGGAGGTCTTGGCGGCGACCATGGGTCACTGCCTGGCAGCTGCATTGCCCCTGGGCGGGTCTGGGTGGGGGCCTGGGGGCTCAGGGTTTGGGGGTGGCCGGCCCCGAGTGGGGATCTGGGCGGGGCCTTGGGGGTCGGGTCCTGACATGTATGCTGCCGGGAAGAAGGCAGGAACATGCAGCAGTGCCTGGCCCGGGTTCGGGGGCCTCGGGTAGACCTTGGCTCCTCTGTGTCCCATCGCAGGGGAGGGGGAGGTCCAGGAGGGGGAGGACCCAACCTTACCTGGATGTCCCATGTCTTATATATTCTGGAAGTTGTGCAAATGCAGGGATGGGCATAGCTATTCTGCTGGGGTGGGGCTGTGTTGGTGCCCTCGGAATCCATGAGGCTCTGTAATGCTGCTGCTTTGGGCCCTGTCAGGATGGGCTGGGGTCTCCATGCCCTGGGTGGCAATTTGACAACAGAGGTGCCTATTGGGGCCAGTAGGGGAGCTGGCTCCCTGGAGGGCTAAGCCCAACCAGCCATTCCTCCCCATCCCCGCATATTTCTCTCCTCCTGCTCCCTCACATCATCACACAAACATACACATAGGACCTTGGGGGGTGGACAAGTCAGGGAGTGCGGGTATGGACCCCATTTCCGCATTCCTGTGGCAACCTGCCTCTCAAGTTTATTTGCACCTTATACATTTCCACTGACGACATTCCACACAAACACACAATTAGGGCCTTGGGAGTGAGCACATTCAATGGCACTTGGCAGGGGGATTTCTCAGCCTCCTCCTGGGTGCCGGTGCCCACTTCCAATTTTAAACCGCACTTAGACACAGAGGGTTGTGGGTGCAAGTGGGGTGGTGCAGTGGCATCAGCTGGCATAGGCCAGACAATGCCCTCACTGCCCGCTCACCATAGCCATGGAATACACCTCATGAACACACAACACTATATTGGAGCAGGCGGAGGGAGACTAGGGGTCTTAGCACACCTCAGTTGTTGCTTGGCTTCCTGGGGCTGGAGGCTAGGAGGGAGATCTGGCCGTCTGGTTGGGGTCTGGGGTGGTGGGTTGCTGTGCTCAGCGTTGGGCGGGGGAGCCTTTTCATCAGCACCCCAGCAGAAAGGGTCAAACTCTGGTAACTGGTGATGGTTGTACCCAATGTGCAGCAGTACCGGGACCACAGTGAAAAGGGTGTGTATGGGGAGCATGAGTGGGTGTCTGGCATGCATTTTTGTAAGTCTTGGGTTGTATGTGCATGTGTGAGCATGAGGGAGGGAGTGTGTGACTGTGTTTGTGTATGACTGTATATGTCAGGTGGGGCCTTTGACTCCTCCCCTCTCCTGGAACTTCTTTTGATGATATAGATCTTTGTCCCCTTCCCCCTGCCACACATGGTGTGGCGTGTGGTGCCTTGGTCTGCCTGAGTGTTCGTGGCTCCCGGGTCAGGGGGTTCAAGATTTTTTGCGTCTGCCTGAGCAATCCCGGTGGCTGCCTGGTGGGGTCTGGGTCCCTGGGCTCTGCTGGGTCCCCGGCGGGGGTGGTCGCCCCAGGGTCCCGGGTCGCTGGGTCCCGGGCTCGGCCGGCTAGGGGTGGGAGGCTGCGGGCAGGCCTGTGGGCTTGCCGCTGATATCTCCCGGGACTCTGCTGGCTTCTGGTTGTGGCCCCCCGGGGCGATCCTCTGTGCCTCTCGAGGGGGGCGGGGGCCTTTCTGGTTGCAGTCTCCTTGTGTTCTGGGGCAGCGCCTGGATCTCTGGGACTTGGAGCTCCCCCCGTCTCCCACACATCTTTGGGGGGCAGATCTGTGGTCCCTCACACTCTCTATTGGACGCTCCTATAGAGAAACCTTACATAAATAAGCGCGTGTACACACACAGGTGCTCACATGATGCTCTCAAAAGTATGGGCTTGGGCACGTTAAACACAGGTCTTAAGACTATGGTGGGCACTTAATGCACTGTGATTTATTATCGTGTGATTGTTCAGTTAAACAATGTTGATTATATATTTCTTCATCAAGTTGACACAGTGATAGCTTGATCGTGTTGTATTGTTGTTGTGTCCCATTTTTTTGTTCTTTTGCTTTTTTTTCTTGTCTTTATCTGCAGGTCTAGAAGCAGACTCTTGTTCATTATTGTTTATTTTTGTGGAAACTTTTCCCTAAACTGGACTGATCATGAATTTATTTGGACATCTCTGCAGTGGAGCATCAGAATAATAACATAATGACCCTGAGGAAGCTCTGCTGCATAAAGCCTCTTTGATCTTGTGGTTTGAGATGACAGCGACACAAAACGTTGTGCAGAGCTGGCTCAGTCCAAACAAGCAGGCAGAAGAACATAAAACAAACTCTGACTTTAAAACAAAATAAATGTCTCCACCGTCACAACAAAGCTTTGACTCCTAAATCCCGCTCACACTTGATCAAAGATAGCATTGTTGCTCATCATCTGCAAAACCAAACAAGTTAGGGAGGAATAGAAGACGGGGCAGGGTCAAAACATTCAGCTCTGATTCATTTCTCTAATTTAAAGAACTGCTGTTTTCCTTTAATAAAAAGAGTAAACGACCTTTCAAGATGTCCCCTTTTCCTGCAGGGTCAGTTATTATTCTTTTATTTGTCTAAAAAAGAAATAAAATAAAAAAGCGCAAAAAGGGGAATTGTTAAGTTCTGGCCTGACTTTTTACACATGGAGGACTGTGGTGTGAGCTGAACAGCAGCTGTGAACGTTCACAGCTCGTCTAGACAGAATTGTGACCGGAGAGGAAGAGAAGTCACTGGGCTGCAGCCGACAGATCAAGTAAAACCAGAGCTAATGACTGGCCCGAATCAGCAATTAAAAGAAGGTCATTAAAAACTCTTAAAAGGGCACTTTCAGTCCTATGATGGGGTTTAAAACCTGACTGAAATGCCAGTGTGAATGAGATGCACGCTGCTCTCTTCTAGATAAACCAACAACAGCCTTCATTGTCATGAGCCAAGATGGGTGAGTTCACGAATGCTAATTTTTAGTGTGACTTAGATCTGTGTGGATTTCCTAATCCGAGTGTTTACCTGTCTATTTTATACTGGCGGCTAATGCAGGAAATAGGGCAAGACTATTTTCACGTTCAGCCTGCATGTGAAACAGGCTGACCAATCATATTTCAAATAAAAAATAAAAACAGTTTATCAGTGAACTTGCTCTTTAAAAATCTCTGTCCAAAAGGCAGTTTTGAGAAAATGATCAATTAACAAGTTAGAAAAAGAATGTTTCTTGTTTGAAGCTGAGTTGTCGAGATAAAACTATAAGTTTTTAAAGTGCATGAATTGCAAATTCATGACGTTAGCATGTCCTGCTACTGCAAGACGTCGTGCAGTTTGCCTCACTGACATCTTGGACCGTACAGTGTGCACAGTCCTATGAGACAGGTGAAAAACCCACAGTGTGGTCTGGGCTTAAGGCACTTCATGTGGGTTTCCTTCTGCAGGCCTAAAGGTGTAAGGTAGCATCAGATAAATGCGTTTGTATGCAATTGGAGCTGTTTTAAGATGAGACGATCCACTTTGATCCTGGTCTCACTTAGACTTGCCATTAGCGTGTCAATCTTGTCAGACTTTAATTCTATTTCTTCAAACCGAGGTTGTTCAAAGAGCCACAACAGGTGAGATATTTCCTCACTTCTAAATATTTAAATCAAAGTCTACCATATTTATCGGGTAAATAAACAGTTTGCAGACTTTTTGCGGAAAATTTCTAAAGATCTAGCGTGCAAACTACTTCCTGCCTGTAGGAGGAGCTGTTTGACATTTAAGATCAAAGCCGGTTGTAACAGTCTATCTTCTGCAGCAGCGGGGTGAGTTCTACAACAGCTCAGTGTTATTCCCCCCAATAAAAAATCTGAGTGCTTGTCAGGTGATTTATGCCCCCCCTCCTACAAACAGAATCTAAACACAACAAAAACACATTTAATGTTTGCTAGTCTACACCCACGCTGTTTCACATGAATCAGTAGAAGAAAAGAGCCATATGTTGCTTGTAAGGAAAGCCTATTTTAAACAGTGGTAAACCAGAAATAAATGGTATTTACACTTAATTCTATCCATTAAATTCAGCCATTATTACGGACAATTACATTTTTACTTCTCACAGCTAAAATGAAAACAGGACAGGCTAAAGTTCTGGTAAGAACAATAAGCTATTAAGGGGGAATGTGGACTTTTAAGGGTGAAGTTGTTGTGATTTTAGGTGATAACGCCATCACAAAACCAACCCAAACTTGTCTTGGCTGCCGGTTTCTGAGTTGTGTGAAAACTAGCAGAATGTAGTTTTCCCTGTTAGCCAGTCTTAATGAATAATAAAGTAATCTTCCATTCAAGGACATTTTGCTACTTAAAATGTTGAGAAATTTAAAAGAAAATAAAAAATCTTAATTTTCTAAAGATTCAAAATTAAATACAGCAAAATAAGCAGAAAGAGGCAAGAAATCTTTTTTGTTTCATGAATAAGACTTTTTTTCTTGTCTTATTTCTTTCACCAGAAGAGCAGATAGTAATATCCCAGCAGCACAGTTTTTTTTTTGTTTTTGTTGGTTTCCATTTGTCCCAATATTCCTCACAGGTGATCATTTATCCGGCAAGGAGAAGTCTCCTGCCTCCACTCCTAGTCTCCACAGCTGCTTCTCATCTGCTGATCTGAGGAGAGGAGTTAAAAGATCTGCAGAAACTCCGCCCCATTGCCAGGTCGTTTGTTGTAATGGAAAATGAAACCCCTGTGTTATGTGGAAACTGGAAATCTGCACCCTGGGTGCTGGATGATTACCCCTTGCTACCAAACCCAACCAAGAAAGCCTCTAACCTCCCAACTGGACTGAACCCCCCCAGTGGAGCACCTTTAGTTGTTAATTTCCCCTCCCTGATCCTCCCATGGAGCGCCTTTAGTTCATCTCCCTGAATTAGTCTTTGGTCTGAGTCCTTCGTTCCTCAACCTGACACAGACGGGTATAATAAAAAGTTTTAAACAGCTGGATGCAAGAAAAGAAGCAAACTGACCTCATCTTTATCAACGTCCTCGTCCACCTCAAACACGTGAACAGGAAGTTTATCAGGCCTGGGCACTTTGCTGCAAAATAAAAGACTAAACATGATTAAGTAATCACATGCCATGACTTTAACTATTTTATGGAGTTTGGAATTTCTTCTGAAAGTTTTTTTTAAAAAGTTACTCTCTCAACAAAGTCAGGAAGTAAACTGGCAAATAATAAAAACTTTTTTGTTTTTTAATAGCTGCTTTTATAGTTAACAGCTCATGGAAAAAGGTGTACACTCCCTGCTGGAAAATGAACACGGGCTAACCATAAACCTCATTTTTACTGAAAGAAGTGCCAAAGCAGTTAACAGGCGATCCGTGTCCTGCTGCATTGTTTTAATTCCCTCCAGACTGAGTAAAATAGGAAAAACATTTGGTGTCCGATGAGGCCAGGAGGAAGTTGTGTATCCAAACACGCTAACGGTAAAACAGATACTCTTCAGGGAAGAGGCTGCAGCTGATGACACAATCTCTTGACAATGAGGGTGGTTTCCACACTGCGTTAGGAAAATTATGTAATGCCCCACAAACAAGGAAACACTCATCTTTTGCAAGGAAATAAGACTAATTTGTACTGTGTGTTTTGTAATTGGGTCACGTTTGTCTGCAGCAGGAAACAGGAATAGATAACATTAAAAAGAACCTGCTTCTACTCACCAATGACTTTGCACAGCTTAGTAAACACAGAGCAGCTTCGGATCTAAGTTGACTTACTTTGGGAGCTGTCGGAAATCTCCAGAATAGTCCTCGTACTTGTAGCTGACGACGTGCCAGTCCGATTTGTAGGTCTTGATGCACTGTGGAGTAAGTTCAAGCCGTAATAAACATGCATGCTGTATTCAGTTAGTGTGGCAGATTAGCAAAAACATAAATAAAAAATTGCAAAAAAGGACTGCGATCTTTGGAAGGGGTGCTTCAGTGGAATATTTATGAATGATCACTATCGTATCTGTTGTAGACAGCTGAAACGTGAGCGAGCTTTGGAGACATGACATTTAATTCTGACCTGATTGATGAGCTAACGGCTAGTTTGAGCAGAGCCAGGTCAAAGTGGACGATGGTGTCCTAAAGTAACTCCAATCTCAAAAATGTCAGTGCTTTGCTGCAGGATTGACTTTATGAACCTTTGTATTTGCATTTAATGCTTAATACAGTAGAAATGTTACAACACAATGATTTATTCATTTGAAGTGGGTCTACACCATCTGCTGTGGTCTCTAATGTGATTAAATGCCTTGTGAGTCATTTTCTGTGGTAAGAAAAGCTGTGGTGCTCCTGTTTTGGGAAGTAGAAGTTAGTTGGGGGGTTGACGAGATGATTTCTGAGTCTTACTCATTCATGGTTTAAATATCTTGACTCTGATTGGCTAACAGCAACATGGCTCTTCTGTTGCCTGTGTTTGCTCTTCTTTCTAGGGTAAAAAAAAGCAACGCGAATGTTTTATCTCCACAAATAAAAAAAGTCTGAATGTGTTCCACCATCCTGTGGAGTTGCTAAAGCTAACGGTTAGCTTCTACTAGCCGAGACGTGCTATGTTCTCTCCGGGTTGCTAAATAAACAATAGCCTTTTGTGGAGCCAAGATGGACGAGTCCATGAATATAAATTTTACAGTGTGACGCAGATCTGTGTCGCTTTTCTGACCTGAGCGTTTCCTCGTCTATTATCTTTAGCAGCTGATGCAGGAGATTATTTTCATGTTCTGAATGCATGTGAAACTCCGAGTGACAGATCGTGTTCTCAGTAAACCTCTTTAACTCACTCCCATTCCCTCACTCACCTAGGCGGTTTTCTGCATGCTGGATTAATACTTTTATAAAGGTTAGATTATCTGGTGAGTAAGTGAGCCAAGAACCTCTAAAATTCAGTTTTGAATCCAAAACAGGTCAAACGCTCTGAGGAGTCTTTAAAGATGGCAGAAAAAAACTGGAATACTTCCCTCACATTTGGTCAACATGGAATTTAAATCTTTTCTTCGTTATAGGACCAAATATTTTATTCACATTCATGCCAAACACATCTAGACAACATGTTCTGACCTTTAGAGTCCAGGGATCTTCTGATTTAATCAGACAGCTCACTGACCAGAAAATGGAGCTTACTAACAAGATGACAAGTTCGACAAGAATTTGCAGGGAGATAAAGGAATGCACAAAAACAATAATCTCAACAGAACATTCTCAGAAATACTATGAAAAAAGTGTTCGGCATCTCCACCTCGGTCGACCCATCCCTTTGGAAGGGAGTGTATCATGATCCCCACTAACTTAGAAGACATCTGTTCATTGTTAAGAGCTGGTGATAGGAGAAGCTCGGTGCTATCTGTTCCACAGAAACACGCCGTTTACAAGAACTGGCCCTGCAGGGAGACGAAACACAACCTGAACTGCAAACAGAGAGGCTCTCAATCTGTGCAGCTGTCCCTGTGATGTCACACAACACTAGTGCTACGTCTCTGTATCTCGACGAGTCCAGACGCTCGGAGCTCTAATTGCCGACCTTTGACCTGGACGTTCAGCGGGATCACGATCAGCTCTAACGAGGAGTAAAGGCAGTATGTCTGAGTGGAACTTTGATACAGCGTCTTCATTTTGTTTTGTCACAACCAAACTGCACTTTTCAAAATAAAGCCCTGAGAATATTTTTCTTTTGATTTGCGATTTCATTCCTTTCATGAATAAAAATCAACTAACCTCTTGCACAAATAGACTCTGGGCTTCTTGCTCAGCTTTCTTAGGCACGGTTGGGTATAGAGTTCTCCCCTGGCGTCTAAGAGTTGAGATCTGTGAAACAAAACAGGAGAGAGAACAACATAATTGTGAAAGAATCAACAGAGTAACACTAAAAACGAAACATACAAAGGAGCAACAGGACAGCTTTTGCCATAACACTACAGTAAAATGAATCAATGTTTATGCAAGTTAAAAAAAAAAGAAAAGGGCAACAAATTGGAAAGGCTAGCAAAAATTCACACAGATTTCAAAGTAAAAGCCTCAGACCGAGAAAAAAAAAGATTTTCATACACCTCCCCATCTCCAAAGAATGTTATGGGGCATGAGGGGCGGGGGTGGGTCCCACCCTGGGGGGGGGGTGAACCCCACCAATTGAGAATCACTGGACCAGATACAGCAACACCCATGGTTTTCACACCTTGTTTAGGTAAGATAAGATTTGTGATACACTGGATTTTGACAAACTGATCCACAGCTATATAAAAATATGTGAGCAGAGGCTCAGGTTACTCTGAATATACCATTTGGAGAGGCCAGATCTGTTTTCCTGTACCATTTTCCTTTTTTTTTCTCTCTATATAAATCAACTTGAAAATTGCAGCTACTAGCTCAGTCTTTTCCCACCTTATTTACTACTCAAACTAACAGCTATAAGATTTGAGTTTTTTTTGTCCGTACGTCCGTCCCAGGAGAAAAAAAAAACCCGGGCCAGACTGAGGGTCCTCCCGGACTGCAGACTGCAGACCGGACCCTGCAGATGCAAAAACTACAATAATTGGTGCCAAAACCTTAGTCTGGCCTGGTTCTTTTTCCTCAGGGGAGGGACTACGGAAAAACATGACGGACGAACAGTAAGGTTGCATATAAAACATATAATGTGCTTTGTAATCTCTCAGATACAGTGGGGCAAAAAAGTATTTAGTCAGCCACCGATCGTGCAAGTTCTCCCACTTACAATGATGACAGAGGTCAGTAATTTACATCATAGGTACCCTTCAACTGTGAGAGACAGAATGTGAAAAAAAATCCATGAATTCACATGGCAGGATTTTTAAAAAATTTATTTGTAAATCAAGGTGGAAAATAAGTATTTGGTCACTGCAAACAAGGAAAATCTCTGACTCTCACAGACCTGTAAAGTCTTCTTTAAGAAGCTTTTCTGTCCTCCATTCGTTACCTGTATTAATGGCACCTGTTTGAACTCATTATCTGCATAAAAAACACCTGTCCACAGCCTCAAACAGTCAGACTCCAAACTCCACTATGGCCAAGACCAAAGAGCTTTCGAAGGACACCAGGAAAAGAATTGTAGACCTTCACCAGACTGGGAAGAGTGAATCTACAATAGGCAAGCAGCTTGGTGTGAAAAACCAACTGTGGGAGCAATTTTCAGAAAATGGAAGACATACAAGACCACTGATAATCTCCCTCGATCTGGGGCTCCACGCAAGATCTCATCCCGTGGGGTCAAAATGATCATGAGAACGGTGAGCAAGAATCCCAGAACCACACGGGGGGACCTGGTGAATGACCTGCAGAGAGCTGGGACCACAGTAACAAAGGTCACCATCAGTAACACACTACAACGGCAGGGAATCAAATCCTGCAGTGCCAGATGTGTTCCGCTGCTGAAGCCAGTGCATGTCCAGGCCCGTCTGAAGTTTGCCAAAGAGCACATGGATGATACAGCAGAGGATTGGGAGAATGTCATGTGGTCAGATGAAACCAAAGTAGAACTTTTTGTTATAAACTCAACTCGTCGTGTTTGGAGGAAGAAGAATACTGAGTTGCATCCCAAGAACGCCATACCTACTGTGAAGCATGGGGGCGGGAACATCATGCTTTGGGGCTGTTTTTCTGCTAAGGGGACAGGACGACTGATCCGTGTTAAGGACAGAATGAATGGGGCCATGTATCGTGAGATTCTGAGCCAAAACCTCCTTCCATCAGTGAGAGCTTTGAAGATGAAACGTGGCTGGGTCTTCCAACACGACAATGATCCCAAACACACCGCCCGGGCAACAAAGGAGTGGCTCCGTAAGAAGCATTTGAAAGTCCTGGAGTGGCCTAGCCAGTCTCCAGACCTCAACCCCATAGAAAATCTGTGGAGGGAGTTGAAAGTCCATGTTGCTCAGCGACAGCCCCAAAACATCACTGCTCTCGAGAAGATCTGCATGGAGGAATGAGCCAAAGTACCAGCTACTGTGTGTGCAAACCTGGTAAAGACCTATAGTAATCGTTTGACCTCTGTTATTGCCAACAAAGGTTATGTTACAAAGTATTGAGTTGAATTTTTGTTATTGACCAAATACTTATTTTCCAGCCTGATTTACAAATAAATTCTTTAAAAATCCTGCCATGTGAATTCATGTTTTTTTTTTCACATTCTGTCTCTCACAGTTGAAGTGTACCTATGATGAAAATTACTGACCTCTGTCATCATTTTAAGTGGGAGAACTTGCACAATCGGTGGCTGACTACTTTTTTGCCCCACTGTAATGTAATTAAGGACATCATTAAATATCATGCTTAAATTCATGTCCATGATAGATTTTTACCAGATTTGAAAAGAAAAGCTAATTAAAAACTACAGTAAAAGATCCACTGTACAAAAGGAGAATAAAAACAGTGTAAACAGATTCATACTTGAGTAATTTGCTTTAAGCAACTTTGTCACTATGAGGTTGTAGAGAGAAATGTATTTTTAAAATGATGCACCTGACTGCTCATAAGCCCTTCCAGCTAACAAGAAACACAAGCGTCCATTGAGAGTTTCAGCTTGTTTGGGATTTTATCAATAAACCCACTTCTTGCACACACACACACAGAGAGAGAGAGAGAGAGAGAGAGAGAGAGAGAGAGAGAGAGAGAGAGAGAGAGAGAGAGAGAGAGAACAATAAGAAGACAAGTAAACCAAATTGCAATATGTGGCAGAGCACGAGGCAACTGCCCCGAGTTCTGCTCTGCCAGTTTATTTTATAACATGAGATAAGAAAGGAACAGAGGTGTGTGTGTGAATGGGAGTGAGGTCATGAGTGAGAGAGAGAGTGTGTGTGTGTATGGGAAGAACAAGAATGTGTGGGTGTGTCTGAGTGTGAGTATGCTTCCAAGCATAAAGTAATACATTAGTTAGTAGGATTAAAATAATTAAACAGATAATTTCCATAACACAGCTGATGTTACGAACAGGAAACTTCCTCACAACAGGAAGTTTGCAGCCACAAACGAAACGTAGCGGGAAAACAGGTAACAAAACTGTTCTGTGTTTTAAAAAGGAACTACAGCATGGAATTAGAAATAGAACACAGCAAGAACACACCTAAGATGTTCAAGGAAGTTTCTGGTTTTGTGCTCGTGAGCTGCATTTACAATTACTTGTGAATCTACCAAAACAACCAAAGATACATTTCTGAACAGATCTAGCTAACGAGCCAAATTAAAACATTTTTATTATATTTAATTTTTAGAATTTTTTTCAAAAAATGAGTCATCAAGCATTTTGCTGTGAATGCCTGCGATACACCAAAGGAAACAGGTTTAAAACAACCGAGGCCTACTCCATGATCCATAACCTCGCGTTCATTTTGCGACTGAGCACAGGTCAACTAAACCCAACTCTACACAAGCGCTCATTAGTGAACCTGGAGGTTCCTTTTCCTGTCTGCTAGCGAGGTTTCCTGTAGGAAATATTACACTCTTTACAACCCAGGAAGCAGAAATAAACAATGACAGAGGTAGGACGCAAACAGGAAGAGTTAAACTGGGTTACAAGTCACCATAAAGGGCTACAAGGTAGAATAGATCCAAGGAAAAACAATCCCAAACACCGGAATACTTCTGCATTTTATTTAGAATATTTTAGCCTTTGCAGAAAAAAGTTTTAGGGTTTAAAAGGACTACAGAGAAAAAAAAGTCAATGATGATCGCAAGACCTGATAATCACAACAATCAGCATTCATAACAAAATAGATGATAAAACATTTACTTAAAAAGAAAAAGAAGCAACATGTGATGTTTGGCGAGTCTGGGGGAAAAAGAGAAGCAAGGGCAAGGGTTTAAATTCAGAAAAAAAAGCTATTTAAGCCATATGAACCATCACTTTCTGGCTGTTTTTGCAGACTTAATAATCGCATACTTGTTTTTAGGCAAAGGAACAGCCTTCTGTCACTGCAGCACAAAGTGATTATAGTTCTGAGAAGGCAGAAACAGATGTTAAGTTGAGTGACTGTGTCTCAGCATCACCTGTCAGCCCTTAACGACACACTGCTTGTAACACTGGCATGTTATTTTTATGACAGCAGGCTGAGAAGACAAAGTCATGGCTGCTGAGATGTCACCTAACACCCAGCTGTCAGGCCTTCCACGCAATAGAAACCACAACTAGACAAACCCATCGTGTCATCAGCTGTAACGCATGATTTATTTATTTATTTTTTTGGAGGGGGGGATTGTTTAAAAAGTGTGACTTTACATTATTACTTCATGAACATCAATATTATCATTAGCAGTGTAAATTAATCTTATAAGTCTAACCCTTATTGCCCCAAATTAATAAAAAGAATAAAAGCAGCAAAAGAGATAAACTTATTTCAAGGTGTGGACATGAAATGGTTAAATGCAGTTTATTTGCTGCACCTCAAACAACATTTAGATGATTAGAATAACTGTTTAATTTGGTTGAATGAACACATAGTGGCTTAAAACTGGGGAACGTAGCTTACATTTCTTAACTTCAAATTCGCTTAAAAGTGACCATCTGACCCTGTATGATGATAGAAAGAAGGTAATCTTTCAGAATGTATATCTCCCCTAAGTCCCTCCCCTGGCCTCTACAGCAAATGATTTATGTGAGCCTATAGAGGTTCACAAAGTCCGAGATGGTACGCCTCCCATCTACCTGAATCCTCTTGCAAAGGCTAAAGTCTCGGCCCGGCCGCTCCGGTCATCACAGGATCGTCGGCTAGCAGTGTCTACACCACGCTCAGGACAATCCAGACTCTTCTCATGCATTGTTCCACAAATGTGGAATGACCTTCCAAGCACTACCAGAACAGGGGCTTCCTTTTCAATTTTCAAGAAACTCCTGAAGACCCTGCTCTTCAGAGATCATCTTCTAAACTAACACCCTCCCTGCACCCGTCTCCCCCTCTACTGTCCACTCCTTGTTCCCTACTCTCCATGACTAATGTCAATGTTGTCGTTGTTATTGTTGTTGTTAGCCTCAAGGGCAATATGCCTTTTATCACTTGTAAGTCGCTTTGGACAAAAGCGTCTACTAAATACATAAATATAACATAAACATAGAGCTTCTGACCAATTTGATGGTATATCCACAAGTAGGGAGAGGTCAGTCTGTCCCAGCAAGCACACCAACCTAGCTTGAATGCTAGCTCGAACTGCACTGAATTATTGTAAGCCTGTGAACGTCAAGCTAACTGTGGAAGGGAAGGGATTCATCATTTGTGTGCTGGAACTAAGTGATTAGTGTAGCACACAAACCTTACGCTACATCGGACTATTGTGTTAGTTGTAGCATTAGCGGGGGTGTGATAGCATTGGAAATGCCAAACAGATGCCAATTTTAGATGTTTCCTGCTTTAACACTGCATACTTGAGTAAAACGAATGATTAGCAGCTCCTGCAGAACCCGGTGAAGGCTGGGGAGAAAATTCAGTAGTTAGAATCAGCTGTGTCTGAGCAGGAACATATCAAAAACATGCAGCCTCAGCGGCCCTCTCCTAGCGCTACAAGGCTATTTGTATGTATGCTCAACATCTCCTCCTCATGTCCTTGATTACATCACACTACACACCCCAGCTTTAATGCAGAGTTTAATTTCATTTTGCATAAAATTGCATCTCAGCTTTAGTTTCCCTTTTAATTTTTGTGCATATTACCATGAACCTTAAAAGAACTAAGTTCTTGAATTTTCAGAGCAGCTTTAAAAAGCCAAAGAATTAATGAGGATCATACTTTAGTCATTAATGTTGAAATTAAAGCAGTATTTACTCTTTATGTGAAAGGTTAAAGTGACTAAGGCAGAACAACAAGTTATACTGTAAACTCTTCAATCCCTCCTGCTTTTCCCATCATTACATTTGGAGTTTGAGCTTTCAGATACTTCTCTCTCAGGAGGGATTTCTATACCAATCCAGGTATCAGATTGATTCTATAAAACTCAATGTGCAGCTAGGAGACAGAGTGCTTGAGACAGGCTTAATGTCTTCTCGGTGCTGCTTTTGGGAAGGACATCCCTCAAAGAGCTCTCGTTTCCTGAAGCGCCAGCACAGTCCAGATTTCCATTTTAGATTTTCCTTCTGCAGCAGCGTGGAAAGTTTGACAAAGCCAAAGTCCTGCACACAGTGTGGTGAGCGATAACACTTGCTCTCACAACATTACGGCCAGATTGAGCCAATTAAAAAGATGGCCCATGACCCTTTACTCGCCACAGCGTAGAACAAAGTAAACAAACGGAAAACCCCACCCGGAGCCCAAAAACAGAGGTCCCGCCTGCACCATAGAAAAAACACACTAAACTAAATAAACACAACAAAGAAAACATGTTAGTAGGTGAATACTGATGATGGAGAGATGGCGCATTTATGGCTGTTGAACAAAATGCCTAAAACTCACCTCAAAGTCCTCAAGAGGGAACTGCAGCATGTCTCTGAGGACATCACTGAGGATCTGTGTCTTCCTCTGCACCAGAACATTTTCATAATCCAGCGGCTCGATCACCTTCGGCTTCACCTGTGGAGCACAAGAAAAAAAGCGTTCACTACTAACACGTTTTAGCAGAGGCTCGTCAAGTGGGCGCATCTGAAAACGAAATCAAATTAGCAGTATGGATTTGAAAAGGAAAACATCATAGTTTTATTGTCTTTAATACTGTAAGCTTTGGTATAACTATCACATATGTAAGTTTCAGTTATGACAAGAATAGTTTTCTTCCCTCTTTCCATAAAAGAAAATCAGTAAATCGATAAATTGATTCATCTGTAAACCGAAGCAGTCGGTAGATCCAGGGAATCATTTAAAAATGGATCTCAATTAGCATGAAAAGAGAAAAGATAAGAAATTGATTTCTTTTGTTTGTTTACATTTTATCAGGGTGTGAGTGTGTGTCTGTGTTGTAAAGCATTGGGGGGGTTCTAGGACTATTGAAGATGCTAAATCAATACAGGCTGTATATCATTTAGCATTCATCCACCTGTATTCACTAAAACATGAGTGAAGTTAGTTACTTAAATAAAAGCTAAAACCTTCATTGTACATAAGATCTTCCACAGACCTGTATGATGATTGCTAAATGTGACACAGAGAAGACTAAAGTGTACTAAATAACAAAGCTACGTTAAAAAAAGATTTCTGAATGATCTTGGTCACTGTACCAAAATACCAGTCAGCATGTTTCATCCCAGCCCGTGAGTCTAATCCAGGGGATCATACATCAGACACAATGGACTCTACGGTGACTCATCCAGCTGTGCCGTCACATTGAGAGATATGCTTCCGTAAGATAACATGTTATCACTTAAGTGTGTTGTGACAAGTCAATCAGGACTCCATCTGTGCAGAGAGAGTTCATTAGCTCCGACACTGGGCAGGTCAACAGGAGAGCAAATGTTAGCCTCGTGGACCCCCCCCCCCCCCCCCCCCCCCCCACACACACACACACACTCTTGATAGAAAATACATACAAATCAGTTTTTACCCACAGGTGTCTTTAAAGGACAACTTTACTTATGCGTTTAATACATTTGCAGTGGTCTCTACGAGGTATACATGCCCTGTAAGTCGGTTTCTGTGCGAACAAAAGCTCTGGTGCACCTATTTGAGGATGTACAAGTCAGCTGGAGGAGAAATTGGCAGCAGACGGCAAGATTTGGAGTCTTATTTCCTGAGATTTGGACATCTTACCTCTAATTGGCTAACAGCAACGTGACTCACTGACTCTGTTCGCTTTTCTATGTTAATGTTTGATCTCCACAAATAACACAAGCCTGGAGGAGTTCTGCTGTGTGGTGGAGTAGCTAATGCTAATGGTTAGCTTCTGCTAGTTGAGACGTTCTCTGCTGTTTCCTGGACGCTAAAACCAACAACAGCCTTCCCCATCGTGAGTCAAGATGAGTGAGGCCATGAATGTTAAGTGACAGTGTGACGTAGATCTGTTCTAATCCTAGAGTTTCACCGTCTATTTTCTATCAGGCGCTAATGCAGGAGATAGGTGTAGAAGATTATTTTCATGTTTAGAGTGTCCGATTGCAATCAAAAATAATAAGTAAAATGTTTATTTTCAGTGAAACTCACCTTTAAAGCTGGAGGACATTGTTCAAGTATTTTAAAGTAACTTAAAAAGTGCTTAAATTTGCCTATTTGACCCTGATCTATGATATAAAGTAGGTAATCTTTTTAAATTTATATTTCTCCTAAATCCCTCTCCTCGCCTCTACAGCAAAAAGAGTCATTTACACGAGCCTAGAGTGTTGATTTTTGTGTCCACAAGAGGGAACTGTCAATCAATGAGAATATGAATTATTCAGCTTTTACTTGTGTACAGAGAAGAAGAAGACTGAGGTTTGTAATGTTGCAACCAAAACAAGTACTGAAGTTACCAATTCCTCTACTGCCTTTGACATGTCAAAGAAAATAAACAGTTTAATGGGCTCGACACACGGGAGGCGACATTGCCTCTCCTCCATTCATTTTCAATGAGACATGCGCGACAAAGCGATAATCGCGGGTCTCCCTCCTACCAAGCGAAACGCGAAAAACGTGCGTGCGAAATTTTGCGCTCGTGCACGTGTCGTGCACAGGCGACCCAGCGACGCGATCCCAGAAAGTTGAAACATTTTCAACTTTTCATCGCTGTCGCTCGGACGAGGACCAATCAACGGAGGTTTCATTCACTGACCAATGAGCGGACATAATGCTCCGTACACCTCCGAGCAAACATGAAGGAGAAGTTGATTATTACTATGTTTTATATAGTAAAATCAGAAGTAAGATTTCACATAACTCTAGCAGCACCTTGTGAAACATCATATCTACCACTTTATTAACTCTGAACCGCTTAAATAACCTTAACTCCCTCCAACCTGACACAGCCAAACAAAACAACGGAAGTTTCGATTTCGCCATGGAACAGAACGCGTAGACGGCTTTGCCGCGGATCGCCTCCCGTGTGTCAGGTAATAAAAGCGATGGCGACAAATTTGGCTGATCGCGGTCGTTTGTCGCCTCCCGTGTGTCGAGCCCATTAAGGTCCTTCTGCACAAGTCGCTGCAAGACGTTTACGGCAGTCGAGTAGAATTTACATCAGAGACACTTTGAAAAGATGGCGGGAGCTTTGTGATCTGCAAGGGCTCAAACCTGGTGACGAGTAGGAAATTTCTTTTGGACAGGTAAATACTAACGAATTCATTAAATGTTAGAAAATTGTAACTAGAATTTAATATAAATAAAATAAATAATACTGCTGATAATTGTTGAACGCTGCAAATAAGCTGCTAGCTTAAATGCTAACTTTACCCGCATTGAATTATTGAACGAAAAGCGATTTACCTTTTGTGTATTGTTTGTGTTGGAACTAAGTGATTAGTGAATTGTTCAACCATGCACTACATCGGACTACTGTTTTAGTTTTCCGCGCATGCTCATGTGGTGTTCACCTCACTATGGAAGGGCAGGAGAAGCAGAGCTATAGCCATTTCAATTTCTAAATCCCCTTTCCTCTACGACCTCACACTAAGGAGCACCGTTTTAACTGGCTGCAAAAATCTACAACCAATGTTAAAAAGCTGTTACGTGAACCTCAGTGTCTGGAGAAGTTGTAAAGATACCGATTAGATGGAGATCAGCGTGACTGATTGGAGGACTCATAAGGGAAAAATTAACCATGACACACCATCAGACATCAGAGCTGAGTGACACCATGGATCACTTCTTACTTTCACATCTGGGAATGATAACGCTTGATCTCAGAGGAAGTCATGAAAACCGACAAAACACGTCGTAATACACTGACGGAGCAGGCGGGACCTGATTCTGAGCTATCAGGGCAGAGATTGAGCCACTACTAAAAACAAGACTTCATTCACATTTTCACTGGTAAAGAACAGGTGCATTCATGTGCGCTGCATTCCCCTTTTGTTTTGCAGAATGCACAAAGACAGATGCTAAGATTGCAGTTGCATGCGAGACGGGTCACTCTGGAAACTACTGACCCAATCAGACAAGCTGATCCAGGTACGGAAGGCAGCAGGCTTAGATAAATAAATCAGGTGCTTTGATAAAATAAACAAAGAGTTATTTAGGATTTTAAGAGATTGACCAAAACGCTACATCTACAAACACCTGGTGACGTTACGGTACACCAAACCAAACGCTTAATATTTAAAAAATGTAGCCAATGAAATATTTGACCTCATAATGGTTATGTTAACCTTTTCCCACTGCTGATGCATTCCTGAACCTGCTCTGTTGTTGGGTAATCCCCCCCCCCCATACACACACACACACACACACACACTTTGCTTTGTCAGTAGCTAAGAGTGGTCAACCACTAAGTACACTCAGGAATGAGTAAGGAAACTGACATGAAGAGCTTGGTCATTCACAGCCCAGAGAGCTGACCTCAAGGAGAAGATCATTTATATTTCTAAAGACAGATCAAGTCTTGAAAAAGCATCTAAAACAAGCCAGTTTTATGAATTTTATGATGAAGTTAGGAGGCGAATATCAGCGCTAGAAAGTATGTGTATGAGTCCATCTCCTCCCTTTGGTGATCCAGCAGTTGTTAATCTGTAGCTCCCACTCCTCCTGTCACTGCACTCTGACGCAGCCTAAAACAATGGTTCTGTGTCGTATTTCTGCACCAAACGATACATTCAGCCTTTCACCAAAGACTGTTCAGATGACTCCAAGGTGCCAAAGCCACTGGGAGCCTTCATCTCAAAGGATAAAAATCAACACCGTCATCTGCGTTGACTTTTGAGCCAAATAAAATGCTTTACAGGCCATGGGGAAGTCTTTAAATGATCTTTGATGCTGGTAGTAAAGTTCAAACATTCCTCTGGGTTGCTGCTGACGCTGCAGGTTTTAAATGTGAGCTGGAAGCATTATGGGTAATGAAAAAGATGCTCACATGACACCTGCTTCGGGGTTTTATGACCTAAACGGCGCTACAAGCTGAAAGATGTTCCAGTAGACGAGCGCAGCTATAAAAAAAAATATATAAGGATGAGTTTCTGGACTTACCACCACCTGTGGCACCGGATCTACCTCAGCCTCAGCTGCGGCAGACGTCTTGAACTGCTGCGGGCTCTCAATGACCAGCTCCTTCTTAGGAGACTTATTAGCTCTTCCCTGCATTGTCAACAACCCTGGTGAGATACTTCTGATTTAGATCCCAAAAAGAAGTGAAATGCAAGCATATCAGAAAAAATATAGTAAAAAAATATGTTCTCCTTCTCCAACTCCAACTCAGACTGCTCTGACTGAAAACAGCGGACTCACACCCAGACCGAGGAGATAGCCCCTCCTACACACAAATGAGCAGCCGGAGGAAGTTAAAAACCCTCTCACCCACAAACACACACACACGCTATCCAACCCCACACACTGACACACACACCAACCACCTGCACTGTCACACAGGGCCGGCAAAAGAAAACAAAGTAAACATTCCTCAAGTATTACAGTCTGGTCAGGGCTCGTCCACACCTCACGGAACAGCTGAAAGAAGAGCT